TAGCAGTAGATGCTCCAGACAATTCGCCGATTCAACGAAGTTCTGCTTGACACTTGGAGAACAAGACAGGACAGTACAACAGCATGCGTCGCTTCAAGGGTCGACGTCTTCTCCAAAGCAACTCATGTCGCTCTCGGAACCATTTCACTTGTTTAAGCAGAACAAATCCCGAAGCTACCATGTATACCCGCTCATGAGCACCCCCGGCTTCCCGGCTTTCATGGGCAGGGGTGAAGCGCGGAGAAGGGCCTTTTTCGTCTTGGGAATTACGACCGCAAAGTCACAAGAAGTCTTGTCTTTGTGCCCGAAATATGTTCTTGACCTAGCTATAGTGGTAATAGATACGGATACGAAGAGGGAGAAAGAAAAAAAAAACACCTCCCATGCTCGAAAGATATCAAACTACTTCCATAGTCGCCCATAACCATTCCATTTGTAGGTACACTTGGGAGGTTGCTGACCTCCTAAAACTCCTAAACACCCTACGCCGCAGACTTCTCCGTACACTATACTCGTGCTACCGGCATCAGCTGGGGTTGTTTAGTCCTTCACTCCACCAAGCTATTCCTCTACGTCACCTGAAGATCCCGGCCACAACTCCATAGTCGTCTCTTGAAGCGAGCCTCGGACGGGATCTCCTGCAGATGGGCCCGCCTACTACGTACCTTGCTAGAATTCCCTCCAAGGAGTAGTTCCACTTCACATACCGCTGATGTAGTGTAGATTGATTTGATCTACCATTTCAAACTTCAAGATTAATTCGTCCTAAGCGGTAACGTTAGCGAGAGGAAAAGAGTGAGAGACAGACAGACAGAGAGAGGTTTTCCCGCTGTAAGCGCCTAACTCGATTCTCTTTTTTGGGGAATACCCAGATATGTACTCGTGCATATACACACAAGGCGCCCGCATTCCCTCGTTGCTCGTACCATGGAATAATTATTGATGACTTGAATATATGTTATTTAATGCTTTTTGCCACCAAGGAATGGCCTGGTCCGGGCCAGCTCAACGACCAATATTCCAGGATGATTTGCATCGCGTAATAGAATATAACCAACCGTATAGCAAGCAGCATTTAATCAGCAAGGTCTCGAAACGGAAATTTTGGCTGCTCCCCTCCCCTTTGGCGCCACCACCAACCGTTTGAAGTGTTTTGCTTTGTGACAGATCACTTATAACCAAATATAAGCTCGCAAACTCTAAACTCGACTACTCGTGGCTGATTTTCGTAGGTTAACCTTGATCCTAGAAATCTTTCATATGGAAAACAGTTTGCTATATGATGATCAACCAGAGCCAAGAATTCTTCAATACATGGAAGACGGGCGCCCCCATCCACTGTCTATAATAATGGCTCATACTAAAAACGGAGGTTGGGACGAAAACACCAAAAGCCGAGGATATGTCACCATCGTAGTGCTACCTAAACTAAACTCACCACAAGTCTACTTAATACCCAAACGCGATGAACCGGGAAGAAACAAATAAAAGGGCCCCCCATGGGTGCGTTGGAGGTGGGGAAATATCTACTCTGGAGTATCTGCAGCCAGTTAGTCGAGAGATAGCCGAAGGATGAGCCACTTTAACGCGGCGCGCCGATCGTGACGAAATCCCTCCTCCATCCTGTCCTCTGCCCCAATTTCACCCGACAAGGGGAGGGTCTCTCTTTTTTCTTTTTCAGCCCTCTGCCTTACTAGTGTAGTGTCTGTGAGAGACAGAGGGAGAGAGAGAGAAAGAGAAAGATACATTGGGCAACGACTTTGCATTTTTTTTGCTAACCACCGGCGCTATTCGGCCGACTCCCGTTGGCGCGCGGCTGAAGATCATCACCGACATCATGCCTATTCCAGAGAACCTAGTGTAAGAGCAGGATTTTTTCTTAAGAAAGAAAAAAGTTCTTGGCTTTTCTTTTGAGGACCGTCCCCATGCGCGAGATTCCCGTTTCATACAGGGCAGATACAACCTCCGGGAATATTTCGCAGGGCTCTTCCTCCGTTTGACGGGTGATGATGAGGTATTATTCGAGCAATATACATACTGTGCGGACTGGACGGGCTAGAAACGAGGCATTGTTTCTTATATTGCAACGGCATCAGCAGCAGTAATAGTAATAGTAGCCAAACAAGCAGCACGCACAGTCTCTTTACCGAGTGATGGGCTCCCAATGTCGCAGTTCAGGGCTTCTTGTCTTTCACCAAAGAGAGATATTGATTTTCTTCCGGGGCTCTCTGCTTCATTGAAAAAGACAAGTACCTAAAATTGCGCATGGAACCGCGCCGATTCGGTCTCACTGCTCCTCAAGTCTCTTGCACAACACCCCAGATTCACATTTTAACCCCTCGGTTGCATTCTGCCCTGACACCTCGAACGGCACGTTCTCAGATTGTGATTGGTCTTTTATTTCCGCAGAGTAAAAAGTACGTAGATTACCACCCCATGAATTACAACCCATCCATCATTGTCCCCTCCCCATCCAGCCATCCGGCCATCCCAGTCCACTCCCCTCGCGTTCTCTATCTTTCTGTTTCTGACAATACGCAAACCCCCTTCCCACCCCTGGACGTTTTTTTCTACGCTCTCGCTGGGTTTGATAGGTTTTGCTTGCTTGGTTGCTTTCCTTGGGGCGTGATGCTTTCTGGGGGTGAGTCTGTCCGACATTAAACCTTGTTCCGCTTTGGCACGGCATATCTCGCGCTTCTTAATACTACCCGATCGGACGGCCCTGCCGAGTTACCTTGGGGAGAAGAAAACGTCGCAGATAGGGGGAGGCAAAAACAGCATCCCCCATCCATTCATTCGGTCTTTCAATCATTTTACCATGTATTACGCGTATATATGTACATGAACTCGGAGAGTTGGGGAGTAGAAGCGAGGGAGGGTGACATTTTTGTTGAGCTTTGGTCCCTACCTTTGCCACAGAAGATTGTTAATTCGGGCTTTGATATCTTGTTTGATATCAGGACTCGGGATTTCAACTGCATTACTATGGAGGCGCACTGTGATAGCATTCCCAAAATATATCATATGCCTGTATCTATCTGGCTTGTTCATGGATAGCGCTGAACTGTAAAGAGTGGATGGCATGTTTGAAGAAATGCATCCCTACTTTTGTGACGCTTCTGGAGAACAAGGCCAAATAGCTCGAAGCAGGATTCCCAATTTCTGAATCCAAACAGCTCTGGTTAGATTCGGAAAGCCCGGCTTCCGTGTTGAAGGGGGAAACATTCGTTCGTAGGGATGATGGTGACGACTAGAGGGAGTGGCCCATGTGATCTACTCCTTGACAACCACCCTGATCATACAAGGGACAAAACAACACCCTTTCGACAGGACCCTGTGATTCACAACAGAGAAAGACATTGGAATCTTGGTTTGATAAAGGTTGATATCCGTTGGGGTCATGACGAATTTTCCTGTTCAAGCTCCTGCACAAGCCACACCCATATCGTTTTTATTTGTTCTGATTCAACGTTACTCGAAAAAAAGTGTCGCGGTCTCTTCTCGGCCTCGAAAACTTCCCATCTCAAAAAACATGAGCCCCGTCTCCACACAGCCACACTTTGTTATATTCGGGGTAAGTCATATGCTGCCAATCTTTCAAAGACCACACACACTTGACTGAATGACGATACTGAGAAAACACGGCAAACCTCAAATGCATCATGGCGCGCTCCAACCCTTGGAGACCCTCCATCTTCGGTCTCTTGTGTTTCCCCAAACCAACCATCAATCAAAAGCTAGGCAAGGAAGACAAACCCCCAAACCCTCACATTTGCCCGTTTTGAGTAAAAGGGAGGGTTTGAAGAAAAAAGGGGGGTCTGGCGGTCAAGGTAGCCCTTGGTAGATGTTTTTGGTTATTACTTCTCAAGTCGTACGACTATCTCCATATGCAAGATAGAGCTTCGGGTATCGAACAACAGGACCAAAGTATAAAAAGAAGCAAGGAAAACAGGCTTGTTCCGCTCCTCCCGCACCCTGCGTTCGCCTCTTCAAGGGCGTATTGTGTGCGCACCTGGCTGGTTTTGACTTGAGTGACTTGATGGCTTGTGTTTCTCTTGTGTGTGTGTGTGTGTGTGTGTATGTGTGACTAGCAATCGGGACCCCTTCTCTTGGAAAGGGAGTAAGAGAAAGAAAAAGCTTCCCGCCTACAGAAGCCAATCATTTGAATTTCGGCATCGCTCAGCATTCTCATGCATGTCTCTCGTGTCATGTAGGGACGGGACCAAGCTTTTTTCCCTCTCGCTCTCTGTGTTTGACGTCCCTTTGTATGAAACCTGTCAACAAGATTCATCTAGACACATTCTTATTCGTGATGGATAACGGGAAACGGTCCACTGAGGTAGTATAAACTCGTCCTTTTTTACAACCACAAGAAGTAAACTCAAACCCTGGTTGCGCATGACAAGAAACATTCGGCATACATGATGCATATGACACAAAGACTCGGGCCGTGATGGAAGTTCGTTTCAATAGGAACATTTATGCGCAAGGGAGCAGATCAACAAGAGCGCAAAGGGATGAGCGAGTGACAGCTGTCACCTTAAGTTTCATGGCGTGTCATCCGAAAGTATATGCTCTGCCACAACGCACAAAGCCAACCCTCAAAGCACCTTTCGTCCAACCACTTATTGATAGCCTTTGCGTACTTTGCTGTTGATCTTTGACTTGATCTCTCTGCCGTGGAATATCAATCACCACGGTGCCCCTTCGAGGCATGCCATTCTCGTCTCCCTTCTGTGCCCGGGACCTGACCGTGGCTCACCATGTGTCTAATGGCCGTATCAAACTTCCTTCTCGCCCAAAAAAAACGGCACGATACGAAAGAAAACAGACTCTGGGTAACATGCCTGGTCTATAGTACTTTTGAATGTTGAAAAATTCAAAACCTAAACGCATCTGCATCTTCCACAAAGATCTCGGCGTACTATTGATCTCAACCCCATGACAGTACAGCCCCCTATCGAGTACGGAAACGTGAGAGATGACCCGTCTTGGGGCAATCAGTAATAGTACCTCCTGACATAGGGCGGATCCAACAGTTCGAGGGCATACTGGCGCCCTTGGGCCTCGATCCGCAACCGCGCCTGATTGGCATCGAGGATCTCGCGGGCGTTAGCCTCGGCAGTGCGGCGCGCCGCAGCAACACGTCGACGGACCGGGTCCGGCATGGCTGCAGGCAGACAGCTCCGGGGCAAGGGACCGAGATGCGGCCAGATGCGGTACGTGGTCAGCACGACATTGAGGCCGCGGTGCCCGCGCATCGGGTCCGAGGCGTACTCCAAGGCCATCATGTCGGTGAAGCCGCGCAGCGATAAGAGCGGTAGTCCGCCAAAGGGGAACTGCTGCCGCCCGGGGGATCGTGTTGTTGCCTTGTGGTCAAAGGACCATGCCTCGTATGTCCATTTGAGCTCGGCGTCGGCAATGTCCTCGGGGGTGTACATGATGTTGCCCTTGAGGTTTGATTTCCCTGTTTCTGGCGTTAGGAGGTGGCCTTTTCGTCTTTGTGAAATGGCTGGTGATTTCTGTAGCCCGTGTACTTTGGGCCCCTGTTTCTACTTTGTACAACGGAGTACCTAGTTTCTCTAACACTCTTTGAACCGAACTTTACTTACAAACATTCTCTTCAAATTCGCTCAGGTCAAGAAAGTTTGACAAGGTTTCTGGCCATATGTATCCTGTCTTTTGAGGATCCAAATGCGCGAAAACGACAGCCATAAACTGCTCAAACAGTGGCGTCGGTGTGCCATCAGGGTAATGAAGGTCTGACCACTGGCTAGGCTGCCCCGGAGGTCCCGCATAAGAACCCTGGCCAGGACGTGGACCAAAAGTTTGCGGAGGAGGACTGGAGGGGATGTACTGTCCTTGCTGTTGCTGTGCACCCGGTCTCGGTGGCAGAGGTGGGTTTGCCGGTGTTCTCAACTCATAACCCGGAGGTCGCGGAGGGATTGGTGGTGGAACATTCATATTGACAGTCAATGGATGGGGTCTCTTGCCACAGCCCAACGATTAAAACAAATTGTATAATACCTTTTGACGTGAGCGCTTGTGAACTGAATAAGTATCAGGAACGATGGGGATGCCCTCCAAAACGTATTTATTCTTTTGTTTTCATCAATGTGACCTCAGCCGCACTCACGATGGTTGTTCCGCATTGACCGCTAAAAGTCAAACGGGCGCAGTATCAAAGAGGCACGCCGCAGTCCTCAAATGGACAACTCATGTCATAAACATGGCTGGGGGCATAATTCGACCGCTTGCTGTGCCAAGCCATGATTATTGAAGCGCATTTCAGCTGACTATACCCAGGTAGAAGAAACCAGCATCTGTGATGGCGGAATTGGGCCGCTACTGAACGAGCGTGCGGCTGAACCCTAACATTACGCTCGCGAGATCCGATGCTTCAAGAAAGGTTTGTCTGCAGTAATCTGATCAAATGGTATATCGGCTAATGTAAAAAGCCCTCTTTGGCTCGGAGCCCTCTGTTTTACAGTCTACTCTGGCACTGTCACTCCAGAGCTCATAACGCCCTGGCTATACCACCTAGCTACTGTCTTGAACCTCTCATCGCCCTTGCCCTTGCTCAGGTCATCCTTGAAAAGATCGTGACGATCCGCTCTCTCTTCTTGACTCTGCTTCATAGCGCGGACAGTCATGTTGTTGCTTGCACACAACGGGCACTCGGTCTCTGCACTATCGCCGCCTCGCTTCAAGCATCGTTGATGGAAACTGTGCTTGCAAAGGAAATGAACAACAGGCAATTCCAACGGACCTCCACAGCCAGGACACCGCTGGGCTTGGAAAACGGCAGGCTTTGTGCCTAGCTCTGCAATCTCCGTGCGCTTCTGCTCCGTCTCCTTTCGGAACGAGTTGATCTGCCGTCGATTCGCGGCAATTTCGCGGCGCTCTCTAGATATAGTCTCTTGCAGATATGGCTTGATCATGCCCATTGTCGCGACTGCATTGGCGCCCAATGTCTGGATGACCTGCAGCGGAGCCATCAAGCTGTCTTCATCGATGCGCCGCAGCACATTTGCGAGCTCCTCCGGGCCAGCTTCATCGAGAATCTTCGTATCAGATGTAAAGTATGCCAGAGCGGCAGGGTACAGCTGTGGTTCGTCGGGACCGTATTTTCGAAGTGCCTTGATCGCACCACGCGTATCCTTGGCGCTCGTGTAAGAGCGGAAAATGTCGAAGAGCAGACCAGATTGCTCCTTTACCAAGGTTGTGCCATCTCTGAAATCAGACAAATGTGAGAGAAGCAGGACATTGGAGTTTTCAATGGGCAGATCACGCCCGGAAATGAGCTTCTTCGCCTTCTGCTCCCATTCCTCCCGATCCTCTCCCTTCTTTTCGCTGGCTTTGTGAAGGTACATCTCAAAGAGCGTAGTGTATATATCTGATTTATTCGAGTCCTTGAACGATTCTTCTTTCATATATGCTTCGAGAAAGATGATGAATTCGTCGGGGTGATCAATGAAGGACGAGAACGCTGTCCTCGGTGCTGGTGGTGTATATTTTGGCGGCTCAATCAGATCAGGGTCTATGGCATTCCGAGTCTCGTCGACATTCCCCGTGCCTTGCTCCTTGGTCCCTGCAGTCGATGGGCTGGCAATCGATGAAGTATTCATGTAAGGTAGCGGTAGTAGACTTGTGAGGTTATGAACTGCGCTCGCAGTACCTGCTGCCAGGCCTCCAAGAGCGCTTCCCAACGGTGTGGGCGCTTCTTCTACATGCGGGACTTGAATCATTGGTTTATACTTTCCTGTATAGTAATCGATAAACAATTGCGTCGTTTCCGACGGGCAATGTTCTAGTAAGACCCGTGCGTATTTCAATAACGCTGAATACGCCTTATTTTTTCCCGTCAGTCAGGCATTATCATCAAGTGTGCTTGGTATCATGACTTACAGCTTCGGGCTCCAAATGCCAAATGAAGTGCAGGGCGTCAGTGTAGCTCTTGGAATCCTCAATGAGTATATCGACTACTAGCTCATTCTCACCGTGCTTAGTCGCGAGATACGCAGCTTGCTCATAGTATCCACCTTGCCTACACATGGCGATGGCTGTGTCGGTATCGAATTTGAGGTCGCCTTCTGATTTAATAAACTTTTCAAGTTTTTCCACATCTTTCAGCTTGGCATAACAGTTGAGAAGCAGTGTCGTGTGGTCAGCAGTTGCTTTGTGGTGCTCATGGAGCTCCTCTAAATACTGGATGAGATTATGTATGCGTTGGGTATCAAGAAACTTGACATTGTTAGTTACCAACAGCACACCAGGAACGGGGAAATCTTACTTTGCGAATGACTTGGGATGGCTCTGTACTTTCAATGGCCTGAATATACTGGGCCATGGCGCTTTCGTAGTCTCCCTTTTGGTACAAGTGATCACCATACTTTCGATATATGATGTTTTGTTGTTGCTCGTCCATGCCAGCTTTCTTGGCCAAGTTGATGGCAAGAGGATAGAGATTTCGATGGTAAAGCAGATCCAATTTCTGCTGAAGAGATCTCTCGTGGTATCGGTGAATCTAATGAGTTATGAGCATCTTCCAAGTGAAGCATGATTCAAGAGCATGTCATACCTTTCCGTCCTGGGTCAGAATGAAGAAGTCCCCCCAGATTTCAAAAAGAGCTTGCGGTTTTGAGATTAGAGACTGGGAGTGTGCGATGATTTGCAAGGTAGGATCGATCAAGGTGAAATTGGATGCACTGAAGAGCGAATCGACACCCCCGCTGCCAAAGCGCCGGCGCAGGTTGTCCGAGTCCCCATTCTTTGATGATGCAGGCGGAGAGACAAGAGCGACGTAATTCTGATACGTGGCAGCTAGAGTTGTTGTTCCGTCATTTGCAAAGCAGAGTCCTCGGCCATCGAGGTTGTAGTAGTACACAGCATCGTCTCGTACCACAATGATGTCGCCGGTCTTCTTGTTGAGGGTCATGCATCCTACAGCACAGCCCGAATCCTCGACGGTTTTGGGAGGTTGGCCTTGTCCTCTACCGTTTACAACGACCTTTAACAACCGTGCGGTTGTTGCGACAAACAGTGTAGTAACTTTTGCCTCGGACACGAACTCGACGCCCGTGACAGGTTCCTCCGACTCGTGTACGGTCCGCTGCTTGGTTCCTCGGTCGTGAATCAGGTCGCCGCGGATGAGTGTGACAGAACCGTTTGCGAATCCGACGGCAAGTTGCGACAGATCGTCCACGGCCGTGAAAGCGGAAATGGGGAATTGCTTGCGGCCGTTGCTGATGCTAAGCGTGCTCAAACACGTGGGCAAACCCGTCTTCTTGACTGGCTTATCGAGCGCCCAAACCTTGAGGACTGGCTCGTTGCTCAGGTCCTCGGCAACGGTCACCAACAGACTGGTGCCCTCGACCTGGCGCATGTGGGTGATTCTGCCGGCATCGTGCGCCTGGAAGCTGCGGGCAATCTTCCAACTGGCCCCAATGATACGGACATATCCGTCAAAGGTACCCAAGAACAGGCTGTCGGAGCCGGAACAGACGCTCGATATCTCGTTATTTTCGAAGAAGGATCGTGTCTCGTCATCGCCAAGCTTGACCTGGCTAACTTCGAAGAAGTCGAATGCTTTCCACTGCGCGTCTCGTTAGTCAGGAGTTCTCAAAGGAATGACCCAGAAGAGCCAAATATTCGTCATCGGCATACCATAAGCAAGGCCATGGTCAGTACTTGGGTTGTTGAATGGCCAAAGTTGGCAGCATGCTGATAATATGCGACAACCCTCCAAATGCTGGGGAAGCTCGTGGTGGTGATGGCTCCGACCTTCTGTCGTCACTGGCTGCGAGGACGGCTTGTGGAGCTCTCAGCTAACCCGGCTCGAGTCCCCAGCCCAGCTGTAAGGTAGTGGCGGTGTCCCCTCCCCTCCCACTATCCTGGGTAGTAACGTGGCGCGTGGCTGCACTACGTTTAGGGCATAATGTAACTATAATCTGCACTCATGCAAACCACTATAATCACCATCATCTACGTACAACAAACACACTTCAAACGGCATCAAGTATGGACATGCTCGTAATCTGAATATTGCGACGCTATCAAGACACTTTACTTCATTATACTCATTTCCTACACTTTTCGATTCTTCTCTGGTGGCTAGATGCAGGGACTATCTTCACATTTCGTGGCATTGGTTACAAAGCGGTAACATATAATGACTGAATATTCTCATACATTTGTCATGCTAACTCCATGAATGGTATCAAAGCTATCTGCTTAGTTTTTTCCTGTGATTTTACATTTTTACTACTTATCATTATCATTGGTAATTTCAGCCTAGTCGGCATCAAGTCTGGCGACTGGCGGGGTATCGTTGACCTGGATTCCACCTCTCTTCTTCTCGTTCGAGTCCCAGAACGGGAGCCTCCAGCCGCCCTCCTCCTCGGGAACACTCAGCCAGAGTCTCATGAGGTGGCGTCGGGGCTTGCCCGAGTCCGGGCCAAAGTCCCGGTAGGCCGTCCGGGCGTGGAGGGTGTGCGTGTTGGCCACGAACTGAATGTCGCCGACCTCGAGGACCATGTGCAGCTTCACCCGGTCACAAGTCTTTTCCAGGATCTCAGTGGCCTCGACCTGCTCGGGCGACAGCGGCGGGATGATGCCAGCGTCGGAAAATCGCTTCAAGCTGCGGACAAAGTAGGGGTCCCATTTGCAGTACACGCGCTGCTCGCGGTCGGGGTTGGCTGGGTCCTTGGGCTCCAGGTAAAAGACCGAGGTTCTTATGTAAGGCTCCTCGCCTTCAGACACCTCGCCCTTGCGGTCAAAGTACCAGACGGGCTTGGCCAGGAGCTCGGCCACGTCGGGTCGCTCCTCCTGGAGAATGTTCCAGACAGTGTGGATCGAGGAGACGTCGGACTCGCCGCCAAACTCGGCTCTGGCAATGCACAGGAGACCGACCACGTCGCAGTCGTCGGCGTGGAAGAACTGACGGGCGTTTGTCCTGTAGATGCGGACCTTGTCGATCTGAGTGCTGTCCTCTCCGAGGTCCTTGACGTGGCCGAGAATGTGGCCCCTTCCGTTCTGCGAGACTGGGTAGCCAATGTAGGCACCGAGACCCATGTAGGCGACAGCCGACTTGTGGTTACCCCAAACGTCAACGGGGAATCCCTTGTACAGGATAAATCCCTTTCCGTCCAGCATCTCACGGCGCATGGAGGCTAGTGAGGGTGCAAGGTTGGGCAGGGGGAAGTTGTCCTTGGTGATGCCGGTCAGGGGCAGCTTGAGCTCCATGAATCTGTCGGCTGCGGCAGAGAGCTCAGTAATCTCCTCGTCGGAAAACTGGTGAACCCATCGCTCGGGGTTGTTGGAGTAGTCCTCTGGCCTCCAAACGGTCGGTCCCTCGATGCTCTTGGGGAAGTCACTGTATGGGTAGATTTGGTCGTACTTGGGTGGGTGTTGGCCTGCATCAATTAGCACCTGGGGAATTGGATCACTCGGAATATTGCTCAAACATACCAGTTGTCTTGAAGCCATCTGGGAAGACGCTTTTGTCTACATTCTTGATGTCGGCCTTGAGCTTCTGGATATAGCCAGATTCCGGCTCATAGTCCACAGCGGTGGGTGCCATTTTGACTATTGGGCAAACTCTCTGGGGTTGAATGGGTATAATCAATTGGCTAGGCCTTTGGCAGAACTATACTCAATCGCTAGACAGGAAGAGAGAGACGGAATGAATTGCTGGAAAATGAGGAAAATTAAAAGTGTAAATCATCACCAAGATGCCACATCTTTAATATTCAAAACGCAACACGTCCCTAACCCGCAATCGGGTCCCAAGAAAATTGCATCATCGCGCCATCTCAATCTAATCTGTCCTCCCATTGCAGTTCTTCCTTCCGATTCTGGGGCTTTGGCTCTGCTGCCGTTTCGTGTGAGTGGTGAGATTGGGCGAGGGGTAATGGGTTGGATTGCGCGCGATCACGCAATCTAGCACCAATTGCTCACCATCCCGGTGCGCGGATGTCCGCAACCACCCATCTGCCGACGCGGGCGATCTGCTCGGCGCTTTACTCTAAACGTCATGTATTTTCCCCTACCATTATGGGGGAAAACAGGAACTAGGATTGAAAAAAGTATATGCACTGCGAGGATCAACAGTGCATTCTGTCCATGCGTCGTGTTCATGTACATAGTTGGTGTCTTTGCCTGTGCATTTTCTTATCAGATCCATCTTAGCTTGGTATGGTCGTCGACGCTTCATGCATACTCATGCCATGTGTGGATCCGATGGTCCGGTTGACTTAGGTAAACCGTTTCAATTCTCAAGTACCTGCATGCGTATATTCTACTACCTAAGCTGGCGGGCAAAGTGGACAGTTGTGGATTGAAAATGGAAAAACAAAACTTCTTTTGTGGCCCTGCCGGAACAGTTTCTCCCTGCTGGCAGTGGACGATGATGATTGTTGAGCTCTGAGTGCCACGAGCCATGTACTGTCGAGTATATCATTACTTGACTGACGCAATCTCAGGTAGCGATAACCGATAACCATGCTTTTATAGGAAAGAGGTGTGGCAAGTCGGAGGCCGAGATATGGGAGCTAACTAGATACATACTCTTATCTATTTGGAGTTGATCGATTGGGACCCCATCGATACTGTGTACTGAAACTTCTGAAACCGTCTCCAAGTCTGGCTCCATTCTTGAAAGCAGTTGGTCGCCTTTTACGTATTATTTTGCATATTGGCTCATCATATTGCTGTATAAGCCCGGTTCTGCGGAACCTTTTGAGGTTACAACATGTCAAGTTGATCAGTTACACATGCTCTACGGAAAGCATAATGACATTTTGTCAAGGACAATCGGATCTCGATGTGTACTTATGCAAAGAAGACTCCCTCTTGAATATTGAACCCAGCGCTTGCAAACATATCGGCCCAAATATCGTCTTCGGCAAAGGAAAACTCTTGCCTCACTGACTGTGATCCATTTCGCTCGGCTTGTAGTGTATCGTCGATACTGGTCACTCCATTTCCCAGGGCATCTGTCGGTCGAGAGGTCCCGCTCTCATCTAGCAGTGTGACATTGATCCTTGTATGGGGATCATCGCCCAAAGGACGACTTTGGCTCGGTTGAAGCCTTTGCTCCTGCCTGCGCGCCTCAAAATCGGACATGATTTTTTCGAGAAACTTGGCTTGCAGCGTGCAACTCGAACCAGGGGGAGAAGCTTGCTGCGAGAAGATGCGGGCTGCCGTATTAATGGCCGCGGTGACATGATGCTCTATTTGACATGCGATACTCTCAGGTGTAGATAAAAGGAGCTTGAAACTCGGTCAGCACCGTGTCTCATCAGAAAATAATCATGTTAGAATTTGTTTACCTTGATAAGAAACGCTGCACTGTACGCTGTCATGACATGGATTGAATCTTGAGCAAAATAGAGAAACGATGTTGACCGGTTGATCAATTGTAGCATCTCAAGGGCACTTGAATAGCTCACCCACAATACCTCGAGATTTGTTGAGATATCCGGGTCCGACGAAGCCAATATTTCTTGCAGTGGCAGAGAAAACAACTGGAGCCTCAAATGGGTGCCGTAGAAGCGTATCAAGAATGGATGGCAAGTCTCTGAATATATCATGTCAGACTTCAAGAGCTACTGAGTAAAGGACCTGGAGTTGGAACTTGCCTGTGCTGACGCAGTGTATCCATCTTTGCTCCCACTCCTCGATACGGATCTTGATAATAGCAAGAAGAGACTCTATACTGTGCAGAGGACCACTCAATACTCGAGAGGACTTGGGTCCAAGCAACTTGAAAACCTCAGAGCTCAGGAGGCGCAGAGTGACAAAGGCCCCAAGCAACCGATCATTGTCAGTGGCTAATGGGTCTCTACACCACGACTCGATTGCTTCGATAAACGTGCTACGCTCAATCATCCATGGCTTGCCAGTTTGTAAGCTGATACTAGTGAGGTGTTAGTCCACAATTCGGTCTTGCAAAGTGCCAAAATCTGCCTACCTCCTGTCGTAGACAAAGAGAATGTACCACGTCCTCTGCACATTACGTGTCTCGCGTTTCTGAGCCTCGCTCAATGTGAGCTGGTCGCAGGAAGGATACGGTGCTAGCCTGTGCCAGCCCAAGTCCATGCCCATGCGTATGGTGTACCCAAGAAATATCCAAGCACGAGTATCCTCGGGTTCTTTCCAGTAAGTGAGGATGAGCACAGCTTGTGCAATCTCGATGGATTTTCTTCCGAGTCGAAAAGTATTGGCCAGAAGACTTTCGGCATAATCATGTAGACTCTGATACAATGCAGTGTTGAAAGACTTTGCTGCAGCCGCGAGGATCGCAGTAAAGAGGAAGGACGACCGCCTCCTAACGTAGTTGAACGTATGAAGAACTGGGTCCAGCTGGCTTATATATGGGTTCAGCACTTTGATAAAGCTGACCATTAATCAGTATAGATCAACATGATTTGCTTCATATTTCATACTTATCAAACAACGACTCGGCAATTGAGAGATTGATATGGCCAAGTTGCACAGGGTCTTCTGGCGAAAAAGTAGAACAAATATTCTCGTTTAGCACATCCGAGACATTCGACCCCTGAGGACTGAGGATACTCTGAAGGCTGAATCTGCCCTCGGTGGCAACATGATTGAGTAGACCAGAAGGTTGTAGCGTCCCCGTCTCCCAATCTGTGCCTCTCTCCACAGTCTGCGCCTGGGGTGTGATTGCTGCTGACACGACATCGTCGCTTTTGGCATGCTCAGGCATGGACGGTGTCAATATTGAGGCATCGGGACTGCTTTTAGGTTTTGAAATCCTGTTGGCTCGGAATTAGCTGCATTTCCCATACATGGCCTTACACGGCGGTACTAAAAGATGCTACTAACTTTGTGCCTGGTTTCCTCCCGCGCCGGTGATCACGAAAGACGCATTCCATGGATTTGCGAGCGCACCGCTGGCAACTCGAGCCGTCCCCGCCGGGACGGCATCGCATCTTTACTTTCCTGCATGCTAGACAGGCTTTAGTGATACTACTAAGAGCGACTTAGTAATGAGCGAATTGTCACGAGCGACATTCATTGCCTTGATAACTCACCTTACTTTGTTGCTCTGTGACGAAGTCTCATTCCCCGGATTCTCCATTGTGGAGTTGTGGCAAGCACCTCGCAGCGAATCCTCTGGAGAAGTTCACCGGCGTCTTAATAACAGTTCAGCAGAGGTAACAGACTCCAGGATGCCCGGCTTGCCTATCGCCGGCTCTCGGGGTTGCCCGACGCCCATTATCACCCATTATCGTCCTAGCGGCCTAGGGGCTTGTTACCGGCAGGCATCTCCGGTGGATTCCTTTTACTGGTATACTAAGACGCCGGCCTCAACCTCCACACTGCCGATCGTCTCTCAAATTCACTATCAACCTCCCCTACCTAGTTCCTAGACAGCATCGCGGGCCCCTGGATATGGCGGGGACACAGGTATTCAAGAGCCGACCACCCGGTGGAATGGTCCCGGGAACAATGAAAATTGGGGGTTTCGCGGCTTGTCTCCATGCATCCGTAGATAGACGCAGCTGCAAACTACTTACATAAAATCTGGGGGTTAATCCCTCCATTTCCCAACCCGACTGCTTGGGTTCGCTCATCATTCGGCACCTTTCTTCCTCAAAGGGACCGATACCTCTAGGGAGGTCGAGTTTGGAGGATGAAGTCGACCGCCATCATATCCCTCGTCGCCTTGTCGACGGTGGGTGTCAGTGCCGTTCAGCCATGGCTGAATACCTCCTTGCCCTATGAGGAGCGACTGCTTGCTTTCATCGCTCAGTTGAACGATACACAGAAGTATGCCATGGTACAGGGAGACACCGAGGTAGGTCATGACCAGACATTCAATATTGATGTTATTTTCATGTAGACTCATGTTATCATAGCTCGATGACAATGGAACGGGCGTCAATGCGTGCATTGGCCATATCAGCGGCAACGATACCCTCGGCATCCCATCGATATGTATGGGCGACGGCCCCGTTGGTGTGGGAAACTCTATGAACAATGTGACAACCTTTCCGGCGCCCGTCCTCGCGGCCAGCACGTGGAACACAACCGTGCAATATCTCTTCGGACAGGCGCTTGCACAGGAGCACATGGGCAAAGGTCGGAACGTGGTGCTGGCGCCCACCATCAACATCCTGCGCTCGCCACTGTGGGCGCGAGCCGCCGAGACTCTCTCCGAGGACCCCTGGTTGACTGCTCGCATGGCCGTCGCTGGTGTGGAGGGAATTCAGAGTCAGGGTGCCCTGGCCTGTCCGAAGCACTTTGCCGCCTATAATCAAGACACGAACCGTTTTGGTATCGACCCTGAATGGGTTACGGTTGATGCTGAAGTCGACGAGCGTGTCTTGCATGAGCTCTACTTTCCGGCCTTTAAAGCATCTGTTCAGGAGGCAGATGCTGGGTCCGTCATGTGTTCCTACAATAGACTGAATGGATACTTTACCTGCGAGAACGATTGGCTTCTGAATACCACGCTGCGACAAGACTGGGGTTTCGAGGGCTTCGTCGTGGCTGATTGGTACTTTTCGACGCGCAGCACTGTTGGCGCCGTCATGGCGGGCCTTGATATATCGATGCCTGGTGGTGATCTTACCAATGAGTATGGCTTTCCGGCGTACTATGGAGATCTTCTCATCGAAGCAGTCAATAATGGCTCCATCCCTTACTCGCGCCTGGATGACATGGTGAAGCGAGTCTGGCGATACATGTTCAAACTGGGAATGGTCGATAATCCCGTCACCGGAGATGCTCTATCCTACGTGCGGACGCAAGCCCACCTGGACCTTGCTCAGCAAATGGTCGAAGACGGCACAGTCCTGCTCAAGAACGAGGATAGCACGCTGCCCCTGAGCCCGGAAAAGTACACCAAGATTGCCGTTTTTGGCGTGGATGCTACCAGTCAAAGCCAGGTTTCTGAGAATCACGGCGGTTTCGTCATTGACTCGACCATGGTCGTCCAGGCACCCTTTGATGCCCTTGAGCGTCGTGGTGCTGCTGAAAACATTTCTGTCAAGTACGCCGAGGCCTACCCCGGCACTGGTCAGTTCGCCACCATCCCGTCCAGCATGTTCAAGAATGGCGGCGTCAACGTGACCTACTACACGACCACGGACTTTTCCGGGCCAGTGAACCAGACCGATTTCGTCCCCAACATCACCATTGCCACTTTTCCCACGGAGCTCTGGCAGGCCTGGCCCCAAGTCTTCTCCGCCGACTACGAGGCCGTCTTCCTGCCCAACACGACGGGCACCTATCACTTTTCTCTGTACGGCCAGGGCACCGCGCTGCTCTACCTCGACGACGCCCTCGTGGCCAATATGTCGTTTGCCAACTTTGGCAACTACGTCCAGGGCGTCGCCTACCTCGAGGCCGGCGCAGAGGTCAAGCTTACCCTCCGCTACGACATGGGCTACTCGCTGTCGACGGGCGGCTACGGCGTCACCCTGGGCGTGAATGTGGGCAACCAGACCCGCGACGCTGAGGCCGATGCACTGGCGGCGTGGGCGGATGTGAGTATCATTTTCGCCTCGGACCGCATTTCCGAGGGCGCAGATAGTGGCCTGGGACTTTCCCTGCCTGGCGACCAGGATGCCGTCATTACGCGTCTCGCGGGTCAGTCCAAGAGCACCATTGTCGTGCTCAATACCAACTCGGCCGTACTGATGCCCTGGCTCGACAATGTGGACGCCGTTCTCGAGGCTTGGTACTCTGGCCAGCAAGTCGGCCTAGCCCTCGAGAGACTCATGTTTGGCGACGTGAGCCCCAGCGGCAAGCTACCAGTCACCTTCCCCAAGGCGTTGGAGGACGCCATCCAGATCAACACCAATATCGAGGTCCCCTTTTCCGAGGGACTGTACGTGGGATACAAGGCCTATGACAAGAGTGGTGTTGAGCCCTTGTTTCCATTTGGTCACGGACTGACGTACTCGAACTTTTCATTACACTGCATGACAGTATCGGCAAATGACAGCGTCGTGACTGTTAGGACCACGCTCAAGAATGAGGGATCCGTCGATGCGAGACAAGTCGTCCAGCTCTACGTTGGCTATCCCGAGGCGGCAGACGAGCCACCAAAGTTGCTGAGGGCATTTCAAAAGGTAGAAGTTGTTGCTGGTGGCAGCACCCTGGTTGAGCTCATTGTACAAAAGGAAGATCTAATGGTTTGGTCTGAAGCAGCCCAAGGATGGGTTTTCGTCAGCGGTGATTATGAATGCATGCTGGGGTTCTCAGCCGGGGACATCCAGACAACTCAGGTTATTAGTCTGTAATTTCTAATGTCTTAGATACCTTGATATCTTCAAAAATTCATTAATTTCTCACTTGACCAGTCGCGTATGGTTTCAATGGAGTAGATATCATGTTCGATAGTTTTTTTATTGGATAGGAACCAGTATAACAGGGACTGCATAGAGAAGCTTTTTTCAAGACCAGTAGATGATAAGAGATCATTATTCCCAGCGTTTCCGCAGTTGGCTTTTCTGACTACTCCTTCGCATCTCCTTCTCTTTACGGGTTGTCGAGGGTGAAGTCGACATTTCCAGTCGAAGCACCGCCAACACAAGTTCCACTGATGCTTCCCGTCGGACACACGGCTCTCGCAGCACGGATACAGCCCTCCCATCTGCCCTTGGAGATGTTAATTGTCGCGCCGCTCGTTGCCGCGTTCAGAGTGAATAGTGCCGTGCCCGACTCGCCCGTCGTACTCTCTGGAGCCCCGCCGCACTTGGTAATGGATCCGGCTATACCGCCGCAGATGCCGAGTTCGGCCACGTTTTGGTCGTGAAAGACGATGTTGCTTGTAACAAAAGTTTAGTAGTATGCCATGAGAACAAGCGCGCTGGCTTTTGAATGAGATACTTACACGTTTGCATCTGTACATTCGACATTCGTGACAGCGTTGGGGTCGACGGTAGTCGAGGCGCGCATCGCCAGGACCTCATAATGTTCCAAGGACAGGTCGAGAGGCGAGGCAGTCACAGAGCTGACGCCCGCAAGGACGAGGACCGTCTGAAGGAGAGTTGTAGACAGCATATTGTATAATATTACTAGTAGTGAAAAGAGTGACCAGACCCGTGATCGTCGTGTGGAAGTGAAATGAATGCAATTCGATCACGGATCGACAGAGAAACGATTAACAGCAAGATTGGATGAAGAGGTGCGAGTGAGACGAAATCTACTGCATGCTACCTGCCGGCAACTTATGTAGAGCGAGAGTCCTGCCCTCTGCAGACCTATCACAAAAGCCCACTGGTCGGTTTCACGGAGTAGCGCACGCAGTACGAGAAACCTCACAAACCTTGTGGCGATCTATGGATCCTACCATGCAACAATCATAACTTCAGGGAGATGGAGAATGGGAGATTGAAAAATGCGTCCCAAGCGGGCGCTTGACGCCGACGAGCATCTTGCCAATAGCTGGTCAACTGAGACCAGGTTAACGGAACACTTGCCGAGGAGAGATCGTAGGGCGATCTCAGGGTTCATCTCAGGGCCAACCCAGACAAGGCCGAAACATGAGATGAAGCTTTTTGAGGCTGAGTGACAGGCCATGTCGATAGGGGTGGTGGACCAGGAGTAGGCGAGTCGAGACGTTCAATGTGCCATGTTCAACAGGGTATAGTCGGGGGATACGACCTGATTGGTTGTGGAGTAGGATTTTTGGCTATACGACAGCACAGAAGCTTCCTTATTTAAATGCTTAAATTCGCCGGTCCTGGGGAAACCTCTTCAACATGTATGTGTTGACAGTCGATCTTTACTCGGGTGAAATTGAGATTATAACATGTGTCTGTCAATTATGCACCTTTGTTTTCCATATTCGTACTTGACCTAGTAGCGCATATTGATGTCCTGCGTAGAACCAAGACGCAAGGACATTTATTAGTGATTTCTATACTTACTCAATCTCGTCACATGTGACCACAACCAGACATGTAATCCTTAGCCGCGGAATGAACTTGACACGATGTCTGTCTACCTAATGTAGGTACTTGCACCCTGTCTTTTTTCTTCGTCCAACCGAGGATGAACGAACAGTTCTCCTCCCAGGCCAGGCACAGCGGTACTAAACCGTATGCGTGCGTACACAGCGGGGCGCCTTTTCCCCCAGTCAGTGGAGGGGACGGACGGAGCTTGGGAGCTTCTTCTCTATGTCATAACCCGCCGCGGAACTCTAACGCAGGAGAAGTAAATATAGTGACGTCACGGCCAATAAGCCGCACTGATTTGCATTTGATTTCCCTCTGCCCGGCAAGAGCTCATAGGCTCAACTTAATCCAGACGTACAGCTCTTTATTTCTTTTTTCCCTCTCTGCAAGTACCTTGAAGAAGAAGAAGAAGAACATCGTGAACGACAGCTCAATTGAAAGACTACACTCCTCTCTCACACTCATATCCAAATAACCAAACAACCAAACATCCCACAGCATCACAATGGCATCCCGCACTTTCCTCTCTGCCTTCCGCCCTGCCGCAGCTCTGGCCAGCAGACAAACCATTGCATCGCGAAGCATTGCCAGCAGCGCCGTCCTGAGGCACAAGGAGGACTCTCTCCGTAAGCTATGCATCTCTTCCGAGCTCTTTCCACGAGCTTCAACTCAGTTGTTTCCCGAAGTGGTAGTAAGCTAACGCTTGATCAATAAAAACAAAATAGACGACCCGGAAAGCACACATGAAGCTCTCAACAAGTCAAAGAACGGCAAGGAGTGGAAGCCCGAGCTGGCTTCCAACAGCGAGGAGGCCGTCAGGGCTGATCGCGAGAATACCGATGACATCAAGACCCTGCAAGAGAAGACCAAGAAGCAGGCCGAGCAGAAGAAATAAGGGGCAATGATTTCGCCAAATTGCCGACCAAGGTGGAAAAGAAAAGATGAAGCTTGTAGTGTAACATAGTTGCCACTCGTTGTCGAGTTGCTCATGTTTTGCCGATTTTTTTAAGACTCACAACATTGATGGGTAGCGTTTCCGGGTGGGCGTACGATATGGTCCGAGGGGCAGACCAAGAGAACTGTTTGGCATCTTCATATACTGGAAGACCGCTCTCTATAATCACGCCTTAATTCAATTGCATTTGCATCTTTGAATCGTTCGTTGATAAGTGTAGAGAGATTCGATTTCTGAGTGAGCACAGGTCCGGTGCAAAACAGATGTCCCACTGTTGCTAAGCTGGCTCATAACCTGTACAATACATGTGTACAACTAGGTACATTGCCAGGATACAAGAGCGTTGTGTCTAATTCTATGGCAGCAAACCCGTGCCTAGCATAAACATACAAGTATTCGGATTAATTCCTCTCCTTTAAAGGCGCATTGTCAGAGAACTAGGAAAATGAGGAAGATAACAGAACGCTGATTGCGAGATGGCATTGAAAGACGTCTAAACTCCAAGAAGAAAATACCTGATATGAAAACGCCTAAACGCCCGCGATGCTATACAGTTGATAGTGTTGGCCAGTCCGCCACTTTCGACAAGATGTGCCTCTCAATGTAATGTCCTACGAAGTCAGATGTCGGCATGGACTGTTTATACAGACAAATATGCGCCTCTTGCGCATCCAATCCCGATCCTTCTATTTCAATAGAGCAATCAGAAGAATCAGAATGATAATCAGAACAATGATGGCAACCATTTGCTTATTATCACTGGCCGTCCTGGAAATCTTGTCGACCCGCCGCCGAGCTCGATCCATCCGCCCTTGATGCCGGTCAACTACGACGTCAACCTCGTCCAACATTGCGACCTGCTCGTCGAGCTCGTCGCCAATCTGCATGCTGAGCTCCCGCTGTCGAGAAATGGACACGCCCAGAGCATCGAGCTGGGCGTCCTGCTGGTCCATAATCTGCTGATGGTACGCGTGGATCTGCTGGTTGTCCATGTTTTGCGAGTCAATCTCATCGCGGTAGCCGGCCGCGTCGCCGTTGGGGTTATCCGTGTACCGCGAGCCAAACAGCTGCGCCTCGACGTCCGGATCGCGCCCGTCGCTTGAGGACGGGTTGTCGGAGAAGCGGACCGTCTTGGAGGAGGCGCCGCGCTGGACGCCCTGGGGCCGGAGCGACGAGCCGCTGGCGGCCATGTCCTTGGGCGAGGTGGTGGCGTGGGCAAAGTCGGCGGCCAGGGCCGGGTCGTTGGGGTGCGTGAGCGTCGAGTCGGTGGCCGGCGACGAGAAGCCGTGGAATTGCGACTGGAGGTCCTTGTATTGCTTCTGCAGATCCGGCAGGTGGTCGCCTATCGTGAGGGCTCCATCCTCATCGCCCTCCGCCTCTAGCTGCGCCTGCTTCTGCTCCAGCGCTTCTAGTCCATCTTTGAATTGTTCAAGCGACCGGGCAATGTGGCCGTCGTTGGCTTCTGCGTCGAGGTTGAGGCTCTGCGCCCGTTGCCGTTCGAGCAGCGAAAGCTTGATGTGGTCGGCTAGTAGGAGGAGCTGATTCGCGCTCGACATGGCGGGCTGCGGCTTAAACGACTGTTGCTTGAGCGCCGGTAAATATGGTACAGTAGTCGATGATACAAGATGATACGATGAGCGATGACGCCGAATGGACACTGCTGTGGTAGGCTGATGCTAAGTGTACATACAGGTGGTTTGGGTCTGGAGCGTCAATCGGTGTTGGTGCGGAGTCTTGCAACAGCCAATGAATGGAGACTTCACCAAGCTGACTTTAGGCGCCTGTCTGTTGCTTATTTCTAACTGATACAGGTAGGTAGGTACAGAGTACGATTACAGGGTCTGCGCTCCTATTTCCATTGGCAGTAACATAAGCAAGAAAATAATGTAGAATAATGTAACTTGTACTACTTGAAGAATTGGCTAATATTTTCATCTTGGCCTTTCACATTCCTATTGCAAATGCAAAGTGTCGATGGGCGCTTCCACAATTCATGTACTTAACGATTACTTGGCCAAGCCTTGGATGCGTCAAATTCAGGTCACTTTTCCAATTCAAGGTACCAACCCAGTAATAAGATTAACATGAAAGTTTAAAACAAACTTGTAAAAGCTCCAAATTTGCAAACATATCACAGTTAGCTCAAGTGCAAAAGAGGGCAGATATCTACATGAACTGTTCATGATTCAGTGCATCGTGTATGTGCCTGGTGAGCTTCGAGCGCTCTGGTGTCTTTAAACTACTATCGATAACAACCCGACGTCATCCTATCCGATTTCCTACCCACCCAAATCTATCGATCTCACTTTCAGGTTATACCAAGTACTACAGAACGATTGCCATCGCCTAGCAATTACTTTTACAAGTAGGCAACATGATAATTGTTCGTCATTCGAGCCAGATGATGCCTCGATTCTCTGCTTGTGACATATGACAAATTTTATTCAAAGCCATACTGCTGTTCCCTATATCCTCGATTCTCACAAAAGAGTATATTGATAATTGCTTTTCCTCGACTGTGCCGAATCAGTGACGTCTGTCGAGTACATCGCATGAATTCATACATGTTTACAGCTCAGTATATCACTGGTACCTGGTGTGATAGGATCTAGGAACCATTTCATTCTACAAAAGAGATACTGGACACACTACTATCATGAGCAACCAGTAGCCTCCCTCCGATTGAGTCCCCGATTTTTCGAGATCCATCTCAGATGTCCCCTAACCAATTGCCGTGGCGGCAATACTTGCACCCGCTTGCAGTACTAGCGTCGTACTGGCACGGGACCCTCACAGCTTTGCATTCTGAGTCGGGGCGGTCGGTTGAGGGGACAGCCCCGCGGTCCTTTCGGTTGCATGATCCAGGCGGTTGGAACCACCGAAAATCGACGCGTCTCTGATTCCCATTATTCGTCGATGCCCCTCATTGCCAGACATCTCACTATGGATATGGTACGATGCTGACTGACGCCTTTGAGCCAGTGGGAAAGAAGGGGTCCCTTCATAGGCCGTGAGTTCCTGCAGCCAGCCAAAACGGGCATCTTTTTGTTTCGGGGTCTTCTCTTCTCTCACTCTCTGCTTGGAGAAAACCCATCATGGGGCTTTCCACCTGAGAGGGAAGCCAGATCGAAAAGGATGAGGGTCCCAGCCAAGATAGTCCGCCATTATTCGCCATCTTCTCTTTTTAGCCGGGGGAACACTCCCCTTGCTCGCGAACCAAACGTCCGTCCGCCCATCATTCCCCCAATGCTATGCTGGCTGGGCTGGCTGGCTTGGGCCTGACCTGACTCCGCTGGTTTTCAGTGGAGATCGCGGCACATTCTTCTTGACATTGCCGGTAGGTAAGTAATAATGGTTGGTAGGTGGGGTGGTCTTGGGAAAATAGACCGAGCCCATTCGCGCCGCCCCTCATGTGGGAGGATGATACCGAGATCGCTGGTCATGTTACGGTGCTTTGGTTTGAAAGAAATATTGCGCCGTGATTTTTCTCAGTCTTGAGTATTCTCTTCTTCCTCATTCTTCCTTCTCTCTCTCTCTTTCTCTCCGAGTCTACACGTCATATAACAAGCTATATCCAAGCAAGGCTGAAGTCTGTATTCGACGTTGCCTTCTTCATATAAACATATACCAGTGTAAGAAAGAGCCTCAGAAAGGCTCTTTTTTTTTTCCCCCTCACATCAACATCATGCCTCTGCCCATTGGTGTCTACCGTGCCGACCAAGTCGGCTCCCTGCTGCGGCCGAGGGACATCCTGGCGACCCGTGAAAAGGTGGCCAGCGGCGAGCTCTCTCAGGATGACCTGAAGAAGCTGGAGGACAAGCACATTGCCGACGTGGTGCGCAAGCAGATCGATGCCGGTCTCCGCGCCGTGACGGACGGCGAGTTCAGACGCGAGTGGTTCCACATTGACTACCTGGTCAACCTCGGCGGTGTCGAGAAGCGCGGCGCTCTCCAGTCCACCAATGTCTCCAAGGGTGGCACCATGCCGCCGCGCCTGGTCGTCGTCGACAAGATCTCGCACCCCAAGCCCATCCAGGTCGACGACTTCAACTACCTCGAGTCGCAGATTGCCGCGGCCGGCGCCAGCGGCAAGGTCACCACCAAGGTCGCCATCCCCTCGCCCACCATGATCCACTTCCGCAACTCGCGCGAGACCATTTCCGAGGAGGCCTACCCGACCCTCGAGCCCTTCTTCGACGACCTCGCCCGCGTCTACCAGGAGGAGCTCGCCGACCTGTACGCCGCCGGCGTCCGCTTTGTCCAGCTCGACGACACCAACCTGGCCTACCTCTGCGACCCGGGCATGCGCGCCGAGGCCGAGAAGCGCCACGGCGACGCCAACGTCCTGGCCCGCCAGTACGCCGCCCTCATCAACAAGGCCATTGAGAAGCGCCCCGCCGACATGACCATTGGCATCCACCTGTGCCGCGGCAACCACCGCTCGCAGTGGTTCGCCCAGGGCGGCTACGAGCCCGTCGCCGAGGTCCTCTTCAAGGAGCTCAACGTCGACGTCTACTTCCTCGAGTACGACGACGCCCGCTCCGGCGACTTTTCGCCCCTGCGCCACCTGCCCGAGAACAAGATTGTCGTCCTCGGCGTCATGACCTCCAAGAAGGCCGCCCTCGACGACAAGGCCGACATCATTGGCCGTCTCAAGGAGGCTGCCCAGTTCTGCCCCCGCGGCCTCGACCAGCTCTGCCTCAGCCACCAGTGCGGTTTCTCCAGCACCATGGAGGGTAACGAGCTCAGCGAGGAGGAGCAGTGGGCCAAGGTTCGTCTCGAGGTCGAGATTGCCAAGGAGGTTTGGGGAGATGATCTCAGCCAGTAGACTGGTTTCTTCCGACAGTATGAGAAGATGCGGAAATAGATCTCGGTAACGGGATTTTGGAGTACATATTACACAGCATCTCAAGCATTATGATCAAAATGGGTAAATGGGACGAGGCTTCAACACGCCGCCATAGTTTTTGGGCGTAGGGTGATGATTATCAGCATAGCGTACGGGAGTAGTGGCCACAATGACGAAAACATTGTTGGCAGTATATAACACGAGAGTAGACTGATGATTAGAAAATGATTCACTATAATGACAACCGCAGAATATGATGAAATGCCATGATCAATTGAAGTTTTGTGGCAGATGAAGCAATCAAGTTACAACTTTTTTCCGTGGCCACAGAACTATACAACAATACAGTTTCCTATTTTTTTTTTTCACGAGACCATTTGCCTATTCCGTTCCATTATGAGCCTAAGCTCAGCCTGCCGGGGAGATCAAAGACAAAAAAACTCCCAGACTTCTTTTGGGGGGTATAGAAAGTCGGGTCTCCCAACTATACAAAGTCCAAAACGCCGTCCTCGATCACCAGAAGTGTCGGTATGCCCTGGGTCCATTATACTAAGGGAATAAAGGGAAATGTCATCAAGTGGCGTGTCGCTCATCCGCCATGATTATGTACTTTGAGCTGGAATCGGCTGCGAGACATGGTAAGACTTGCGTCGCACAAGGCTGCAAGTTTTCGAATTACTGTCCGGCAGGCTTGGGCATCTCACCACCGGTCTGACCTTGGGCAGCCAGGGCCTGGTACCACAAAGCAACGTAGTTCTGATAACCGCCATCTGTTCAATGTTTAGTATACGTATCACAAATGCCGAATGGATAATTATGTGACTTACAAGCTGCGTAGGGGTCGGCGCCATTGGCAGCTGCTGGGGGTTGGCCAGGGGCCGCTGCATGACTGGGTTGGCTATTACCTCCCTGGGAATAGTTGGGGTTGTCATAGTCACGTCGGTTCTGGGGACGACCGCCACCACGGCCACCACCACCGCTGTTCTTCTGGCGCTGAGTAATGTTGTTAGTACAGCAAACGCACGAGGTGACCATATGTTGTACTTACCACTGCCTCTACCTTGTCTTCAATGGCACGCTTGGCTCTGCTGATGGCGTCACGGGATCCTACCAGGCCAATCTCTCTCTCTGTCTCGCCAGGACCCGAAGACTGGGAGACGTTGATCTTACATCCGGTGGTGTTCTGCATTTCTCGAATGGTTTCTCCACCCTTGCCAATGATCATACCAACAGCTTCAGATGGGACAAAGATAGCATCATTGATTTTGTCATCGCCACCAGGTGCATTGCTACGACCATGATCATTTCTTTGAGGGCGGTCCATCTTACCGCCGGCGGCGGCGGGGGCGCCACCACCACCGTTGGCTTGGCGGCTGTCACTGTCCACGATCTCCATGATGAGCTCCTTGGCTTGAGCCGCCGCTTCGCGGGTGCCAATAAGATTGACAGGGCGCAGGCCATTGACACTCTTCGACTCACTGGTGATATTGACATGGCAGCCACTGCGCTCTTGCAGGTCACGAATAGTCTCACCTCCACGACCTATGATCAAGCCAACTGTGCGATCAGGCACCATAATTTGCATGACATCTTCACCCTCTCGGAGTGGAGCGGGAGCAGAAGCGCCAGGGGCATTGCGGTTACCACCATGCGGGTTATCAGCTCGAGCAACAGCGCCCATGCCGGAGTCTTCAATAATTCGGTTGATGGCATCCTTGGCCTCAGCACGTCTTGCACGAGGACCAGTTATTCGGCATTGACGGAAAGGTCCCTGGTTATCGGGACCAGTGATGAACTGCACTCGGCAGCCCGTGGAAGATTCAACACGACGCAGGTTTTCGCCCTGTCTGCCAATAATCAAGCCCACTAGGCTGGACTCTATTTGGATGGTCTCGGTGTCATCGTCACCACCTCTACCACTGTTACCGCGTGGAGAGTCCCTGCCATAAGACCGGCCTCTATTGGCACCAGGGGAGACAGAGCGATTGCGGCCATAGTTTCCACGGCTGTCATCACGGCGCTCATCTCGGTACGGGTTGAAGTTGTCACGATAAGTATCACGACCATGCGGCGAGCGCGAGCGAGATCTATAGTGTCTACCGTCGCCAGCACGGGAATCATGTGCCTGGTATGAAGGGGCAGCGCGCGAGTTGTCATAAGACGATATTCCCTTTTCAGTTGCGAAAGCCTTGGCTTGAGCTATAGCATCGGCAATACTGACAGTTCCAGAGTTGACGGGTTTGATAGCACTCAGGTCAAAGTTGCCACTCGAGGAGGGCTGAGGGATAGAATAGGCTCCTGCGCCATACGCAACAGGAGGTGGAACTCCGGGAGGCATTGTGGGCGGATAAGCACCAGGGGTTGGTGTCTGCTGGTAGGGGGGCTGCGGTTGGGCCGGGTTCGGGGTTGAAGTAGTCGGTGGTCGCTGTGCTGCTATGACATTGTGATGCGCGGTCAGTAAGAGCGCTGACTGATGGGCAGCTTGTTGAAAGCATGCGATGAAAATTTCATTAGCAAGGAAGGCAACTTACCAAGGGCAGCCAGGATAGACTCGATACTTCGGTTGGCCTCGGCCATGGTGAATGTCTCGGTGCAGTTGCTGTCGCAGCTGCTCTATCGGTGTGATACCTGGAAATCTCAAAAGACGCGCCGAAATAGCAAGGATCGATGAAGTCAAGGACACAACGATCAAGCGATTGCAACAAAGGTTGAGACGCGGGTTTCTTTGTTCAGAAATAGATGCAGGGCAGATAACCAATGCAGCAGGCAGGCGCACACCAAAGATGCTCAATAGCAGTAGTGCAAGGCAAAGGGTAGCGGCAGGAATGTGAAATGGCTTGATATCGACGATGCAAGTAATTATTGTGGACTTGTGTGTGAATGACGAGTCAGAGTACAATACTGCCCAGGCGCATCAAGATATTCACGGCAGACGACAAGTGAGTGAATTGTGGTTGGGGGGTTGGGATGGATGCAAAAGTGAGTAGATTAGGAACCTCGGGAAATGGCGACCAAGTCAAATCACAGTTTTTTTTTTCTCTCCCACCTCAGCACGTCAAACCCAGTTGCGCGACGGTCGAGAGTTTGTGAGTCCTGGTTGTATTGTTTCTGATTGATCGCTCTTCTGCCAACTGTTATCACGGACGATCCGCGCAGTCAATGTCGCGTGTCGGGATGATGGCGCAAACAGAAGAAAATGTGTTGATGGAGAAGAAGAGAAGGAGGTGGTAGAAGTGTTTGGTGGGATGAGACGGGTTGGAGGTAAGGAGCTGGAGGTTGACGTGGTTCCAAATGCGGCGGCGCGGCTAGACCTTTCTGCTCTGGCCGCAGCTGTGTTGTTGCCCTGATTGAAGGGCGCGCATTCATTCCACTGCACTGGCACTGGCACTGGCAAAAAGCCTTTGCGCCAGGGCAAGCACAGGGCATGTTTTTTTTTTCCAAGTTCCCAACGCTAGTGAATGGTTTCGGCATCTCTTCTCGAGTCTCCACTATTTTATGTCGCCAAACGGTGCGTTTCCCTCGAAAGCTTGGACCACAGTATTTTTTTTTCCCTCCTCTTTTTTCAAAAAGTTTTTTCTTCTTTTAAATGATTTATCAATTGATGTACCAGACTGCTAGGCCTCTTATTATGCATATGTATTATGTTATGTGTTGAGCGCCAAGACCGAAGCGATTCCAGGCACAGATACCTTGTAGTTTATCATGCAAGGTACGGTTGAGGCACGGCTAATAGTATAAAACCACCTACGTGGTCCACCTTACCTTCAAAGCTCATGATCAAACAATTAAATAGAGTCCAGTAATAAACATGATAGAACCTTTCTCACATTAATAAATAAGCGACCGTCACACAAACGTCAATGACTTCATATGAACATCAGTGACTTGTTTCTACCATTGCCGATTTCAGCTACGGTTCTTGGTTTTATAAGAATGACAGAATCCCTACCTCGCCGAGAAGGAACCGCGCTCTATCGGACTGCGCAAGAGGTATAATCTATCCCCGCCAATGTTGAAGTAGACAAATCTTGTATCAAGATGTCTACGCGTGTACACCTGCATGTAAATATCGACGTGTATCAAAACATTGGGCTATGTTGGATATGGTTGAAGATGGCGCACTCTCGTGGCACATGCATGCAAGTTGGTATTTCAGTGCTTGCTTACGTCCACGAATCAAGCATTTGTCCGGAACTTGTCGCATCAACCCCTCATGAATATTCATCGCTTCACAAATTGACCTTTCGGAGCTGTTTGACTTTAATACTCCTCGAAAACTGGTGTGTAGAAGTCGTTGGGCTTTAGTTTGGTTTGTTTTGGAGGCAGTAAATATTCCGTGGGCGCTGTCCAAAGGTGTTGTCTAACCAGATTATATGATGATCGTGGACGGACTGACTGGACTTTGACCTACAGATCTTAATATTATGCCCAGCAGCAGGCTTTCGTTTGCCGTAAGAAGGTCTGCTTAATGATATTTGTTCACAGTACCACATGGGAGGGCGATTAGAGCTATTTATACAAGTACATACTGCCAGAGCTGACCTAGTCATGCTTGTCCAAGTGAGCTCTGGATCTCTATCCAGCTGGTCAGTGCCAGATGAAATGGTAAGGCTGAGTGAAGGTTTACAGCCACGAACCAAATTCTCATCCGCCATACTGAAGGTAAAATGCTCGAGTGGTGTGGTCTGGTGCCTTAGGTAATAGCTTGCTTGTTTCATGTGTGAATTGGCGCCGAGCGATGGACTGGCTGTCAAGATTCAAAAGCTGCTGGAAGATCGCGGGCGCTAAAGAGACTCCACTGAAGAGCGTTGCCGTTTAGAGCAAATGGCATCCAATCATTTCTCCCTTCAACCAACTCCATCGAACACGACCCCTGGAACTATAAAAGCAAGGTTAACAGCGACAGTACCTTAGGTCTCTAAGTAAATTCCATCGGATCGCCCGACTACTATTCAAGAGTACCAAGAATATTCATTCTTCACTTGCTATGATTGTCAAAATTAGGATCGAAGTCGTGTCAAATTGAGCATGTTCTTGATCTGAGTTTACAATTGGACAAGACATTGAAGAGAAGGAAAAAAAGACTCAAACCGGATTTTTGAAAAATCTTGTTCTTGTCAGTGGCGAAAAAGAAGAAGGGACCCTTGCTGATCGTCGGCCAAGCCTCTAGCGCAGACCTACCAGGGGACTCGACCTATGTGATGATTGGCAGTGAGACCATATTGCCCTGGGTGCCTCGAGCTATGCTTGCTACGTCAAGTCATTCCCAGCCACATTTGGCTACCTTCGAGATAACCTCTGCGACCCTACCTACCGCTTGAGCAATGATTTTCAAGCCGCCAGCTGCATTGACAGGGCCGATGACCAAGCCGCACCGCAAAGCATTTCCAACCGTTGCACCGCTATCTTGCTGCTGGCCAATGTCGTCACATAGTCATTTGACGAGGCGGAGGCGATGATAAATTCCAGCCGTGTCTGCCCTCCTCCGGGATGGCGAACCTTTTAGAAAGATGGCCACCATCCACCTATCACTCCGTGGTGTCCCCTTGCACGACTCGATTCGTACATAGTATATCAAGATAGCCCCGTCGTTCTACGGGCACACGCTTGAGAACTAGCCAATGTGCAAGTCTTCTTCTCTGCTCCCAGAGCAAAGCAGGAGTGATACTCGACTTTGAGCCCGCCAAGCTCAATTCACACTTATCAATTACTGACTGCAGTGTACTCCGCTTTGTACACGCATCTGAATCACTCATCATTTGTACAACAGCGCCGATATTGGGTTGTCGTGGGTCTACCCGGTGAACCCCCAGACAAGGGAAAAACGATTGGCTCACAGTCGCCTATAGGCGCTTACAGGATAGCCCACCTTTCAGACTGGCGCGTACGGTGAAGAGAGGTAGCCGACAAAGAAGAATTCGCTATTGCTCAGAGATTGGAAACAAAGGGAATTTCTATTTTTCGATTGCCCGAAGCCCCAGTCATTTCTTAGGCAGAGTCAGCTGGTCCCTTTGACTGGGTCCGCTCGGTTTTCTGCCCATTGGGCCGAGAGGTACGTGGTGTTGTTTGAATCCATTTCGACTCTCCCTCTTTAATGCCCCTCCACCCCTCCAAATAGGCACGCTTGCTGGCTGGTCTTTTCTTTGATCACTCACAGCTCGTGGACAATCAAACATAATCACTTTTCTTTCTTTCATTCGCGGAGTTTGGGGGAGACAATCTATTTTTCTTTTCATTCAGCCATTCTCAATTCTTTAATTTGTGCTTGACGCGCATCTATTATTATCATCACATCCGGCTGGTCCAATCTTCATTCTGAATCACTTTCTTAGATCTCCATTCACACACATAGAGCACATCACTTCTCTTCACCACGTCCAATCACATTGACAATATTTTTCTTCTTGTCAATTTGGAGCCATAATTTACGGCTTTACTTATTGATACTTTTCAGTTCACTCAGAATTACTTCCTCGGCAACAGATCACCGTCGCCCCCCATGGATTCCTTCAGGCGCAAGCTCGCCAATCTGCCGGGGTCACTCAAAAGTCAACCAGTCGACTCGCGTGCATTCGAGGAAAAAACACCCACATCGACAACAACCACAACTTCAGAGGTGTGGCGGAGAAATGGAACGACTCCTTACCTAGGCCTCAATGCCAGGCTCTCGCAGGTCTGGTTCAACAAATGGACAGTATTGTTATTGCTGGTTCTGCTTCGAGTTCTCCTCCTGATTGGAAGTCTAAACGGCAATCTGGGCGATGCAAAGGTCAAGGCCTTGTCAGCATGCACAAAGGTCGAAGATGTTGGAAGCGCCATGGCCTCGATGCCGCACTACCTATCTGTTGGTGTAAACCGTCTCGCCGCAGCCGGCATTACCGATGTTGTCCACGGCATGATGAAAGGACTCGACTTGATACTCATCGCTGTCCGGGAACTCATTCTTTTCGTCATTAACATGATGACCTCGACATACACATGCTTGATCGCCGCAGCAGTACATGGAGGACTCAATGTTACCGCGCTTGTCATTACCAAGGCGACCGATGAAATCAACAGTGCGCTTCCAGCAGTGGCTGACACTATCGGGGATGCTGCCAACGACGTCAACGATGCCATCGACACGGTTTACAGCTGGATCGATACAATAACTAGTGTTTTCAGCAACGGCGAGCCCGATAAGCCCTCTATCGATCTTACTGACGAACTTAACACGATCAAGAACTACAAGATCGACACAACTGGATTTGTGTCCGATCTTGATCAGCTCAATGAGGATTTGCCAACATTCAAAGACGTGCAAAACTTGACGGCAGAAGTTGTGGATTACCCTTTCAAATTGATCAGGGATGCCTTGAACGAGACATACGGGAACTGGAAATTCGACGAAAACGTCTTCCCAGTGGCCCAAAAGGAAGCTCTCTCATTCTGTTCGGATAACTCGTCGATCAACGACTTCTTTGAGGGATTGTTTGAGTTGGTTGCCACTGCCAAAAAGTGGTTCATTGCAATTCTCGTCATTCTTGCCGTTGCAGTCTGCGTTCTGATGGCATTTTTGGAGATTCGCAGTTGGAGACGCCTCAAGAACTACCGCAATACCTTTGTCGAGCGCAAGTTTGACGAAACAGACATGATGATGATGAGCGGACGCCCATTCCCGTCAAAGATTGCCCTCAAGGTCTCCGACTGGCTGAATCGCAACAAAGATCACAAACGTCTTGCCAGTCAGGAGGCTGCCAAACAGAAGCGCGAGACGTTGATCAGGTGGGCTGTTGCGTATGGCACCACTCTTCCAGCATTGTTCGTCTTGTCCCTTGCCATTGCTGGCCTGTTCTCCTGTCTCTGCCAGTATATCATGCTTCGGGCCGTTGAAAAAGAGATCCCAGCCTTGGCAAACGAAGTTGGCGACTTCGCCAATGAGGTGGTCTCCTCTTTGCAGCATGTATCTCAGGAGTGGTCCAACGATGTCAATGGACAAATCTCAATCTACAGCAATGAGATCAACAACGATATTCTGGGCCATGTCAGAAATGCCACCGACATTGTCAACAACACCCTCAACACATTCACCGATGCAATGGACGATGCCCTCACCACGGTCTTCAAAGGCACTATCCTCATGGATCCGATTCAAGAAGTTATCTACTGCTTGATCGGTCTCAAGGTGGAAGCCGTACAAAAAGGTCTGACCTGGATCCATGACCATGCCAACATCAGCTTCCCGACGCTGCCGGATGATGTTTTCTCGCTGGGAGCGAATGAGTCAGTTAATGGTGACTCTGAGCTCACCTCGTTCCTGTCCACACCAAGCTCGGCAACAACTGACGAGGTATCTGGCGCTGTTACCAGCGTAACAGACGCTATCCGCAGCAACATTATCCAGGAGGCTCTGATTTCCCTCGGCCTCCTACTAGTATATGTGTTGGTGGTATTGATTGGTATCACGCGCATGCTCGTTGGCATGACGGGTCTCGGCTATGACTCCAAGGGAGGCCCGGCTGAGGTCACTTCTCCGTCGCTCACGACCAACCGTCCGCCCGGAGCGTTTCGTTCCGCCAGTGAGGCATCTGCCGACAGGAGAAAATTTGATTATGGCGAGAAGCACAACTCTAGCAACCTGAATGATAACCCCTTCGGAAGCGGTGCGTTCAACGCCGGCACGGCTCCTCCCAGAGATGCCGTACCTCCCAGCTACTACTACCAGAAGGCAAGGCAATAGTTCCGCCAACGCTTTCCGGATGTAGAAAAGCAAATAGAGGAGGGAGAGAAATCAAGACGCGAGACTGTGCCTCCCAGCTACTACTACGACAAAGCAAGCGAATGGTGCCACCAACGCTGGGCCGTCGTAGGCAAGCAAGCAGAGACTGTCAAGCAGAAGGCAGAAGCTATCAAACAGAAAGCAGAAGCTGCCGTCAAGCAGAAAGCAGAGGCCGCCAAGCGCAATGGCAGCCCAAAGCATGAATCCATCGAGCTCGAAGACAATCCCTTTGGGATCGGCTCGTATCGAACCAGCGAAAGGCACGGTGTACTCGATGAGCTGGATGATATGGACAATCCCTTTGGCAGCGGCGCTTTTCGTACCCCCGCCACTCCACCTCCAGCTCCGGCTCCCAAGGACTCTGTCACTCCTAGGCACTACGCGAAGCCGCGAGCACTGAGCTCGGGCTCCATTGACATAGCGGACCAGGTCAATGAGAGACAATTCGTATAACGCGCTCGTTTCCTTTCTTCCCACCAATTCTCGGGCCTGGGCTGGTCTCGGGGCACCCAAGAAGTGGAATTGTGAGAACGGACAGGCGATATTTGACCAAAGATGGACGGGCCGTTTTCAACGATACTGGCAACAGGGAAAACATCTTTTGAATTTCTTTGTGCAAAGCATTCCCTTTTGACTTTTGGAATTTGTTCTCCAGATCGTACAGTCAATATGATATTCCCAGGGCTTCACAGCCCGCAGCAAATAAACAACCAAACAAATTTGTTTTCCTTCTTCAGCACCATCAATATTCCCTTCTCGGACTGGACACACATCTTTCAGGATTTTTGATTCCTAGTTTTCAGATACTTGTTTGGAATTGGGGTTTGAAGGACGAGGTAGCCATGGTGGTTCTTTTCTGAATGTTTGATGCAGGATTTTCCAGGATACGTCAAAGTCAAACAGCCCATACGTGCTGCGTACGTGGCTGGCACCAGATATCTCAGATAACCCAAATTGATTTGCCTGCGTGGCTACCTAATACTGTTTATGTGTTGCTTGAAATCATCATTTCACTGATTGCGTTGAGAGCCTGCTGCTATAAAATACACTCGTGACAGATATCTCATTTGAACAAGAAATGATCGCTAACCTCATGCTACCTATCGTAACAAAAACACACCATCATCACCCTAGCAATATTGAAGTACCCGATCGCTGTTTTTGGGGTAAATCTACTGAACATGGCAGCGTAGAAAAGCATCTGACGTGGTTCCTTCCTCATGACGTACTCTCCTTCTTCACATATTGTACTTCTGTAGCGCTCGCTTTTAATAGCCTGTTCTAGTGGCTGGGATGACTGCCACCCTCCCACTTCAAGAATACGATGAATAAATGCTTTGTCCTCTATTCCCTCAGTCATGAGGCATGACTGCTTCTGGGCGCCGTTGGTATACGTGGTTGTTGTGCCCGACTTACGTCAACACTTGCTCGAAGTGAACATAACGTGAGACGGTGCTCTTGATGCTCTCCTTATATCGTGGAACTATGCCTTGTGGGATGTTTCAGCTGTACAGGTACGGCGAAGCCGACGTACCATAATGGATGACCGCAGTATCTCATTAGGCAGTTCCTTCTGTATCACTCTAACCCCGGAATGATTCTTGTTGCTGGAGGAGGCTTCCTTCATCAAGACCGACCTTAAGTGAGGATTTGTGACGAATGTGGAGTCACTGGCGAAAATGGAGTTGCTCATCGGATCCAATGCCGGAAAAGGCAACAAAGGATTTGGCTTTCGGCCTGCCGCTGGGACTTTCTATCTTACAGGAGCAGCACCAGTAGAGGGAAACATTCTTGATGACAGGAACATGCCCTTTACGCTCCGTATCGCATCCTTGGTCTTCTTGATTTCGTCGTCTGGATCGGAGCGGCCGAGCCCAAAGGTTGAACCACCATAGAGCGAAGAGTATTCCGTGGCAGGATATGCCAGCTTGTCTACATCCTCGCGGATTCCCTGCATGGCAAGATGGAGATTGCTGGAGTTTTCAGCTTGCGTTGTGTACATGGTCGATAGCTCTTTCAGGCACGTAGTCAGCTGCGTAAGTTGTCGTGCCTGTTGGTCAACGGCGCAGCCTTTATCTTGATGAATCGGCAATTCGGTGGTGAAGGGTGAAGTTTGAGTGCCAACGTCACGGTGGAACATTTCCGATGGGTCGCCATAGCTACTATTATCGTCACCATCGGCGTCCGACTTGGAGAGCTTGCCCTTACTGTAGGGCACCTCGCTCACAACGCCCTCTAACTTCTCCACCAAAGTAGAAAGCTTTGTATTGACGTGTTCGTAATACTCGGATCGAGATTCTGCCAGAGTATCTACCATCGGCGCAACGATGAAGCGTGCAGCGCCATATGCAAGCGTCCAAGCTGTAGTCAATACAGTGGCCGCAGTGAGCAGACGCGACGGCGTCAATAGGGGTGGAGGTTTCGGTGAGTGTGTCAAGAACTCGGGATATGTGATGATGGGTGCAGGCTCGCTGAGTGGAGCTGAAGCTGCTTGTGCTGGTGTAGATGTGGACTGAGGCACGTTGGGTATGTCTTTTGTGTCGGTCGCATCTTGCGCGCGATCGTCACTCGTTGATCCTTCTCTCGAGGCTTCTTCACTCAATAATTTCTGGATATCGTCATCAGAGAAGCCTTTGCCTCTGAGAAATTCCGACTTTTTTTCTTTGCTAGCACTTCGAACTGTTTCGTCATTGAGAAACCTCCGAGCTTGTTCGAGGGTCGGCGTAGGCTCCGACTCTGGTCTGGACGATTCGCTGCCGGGTGGTGGCGCATCTGCTTCTTTGGACTCTGCCATGTCGCATGCGAGTGTGTATGTATTGTGTAGAGAGTTTCTTTTTGCTTATAATATGAATTCAGACTGGAGCGGCGTTGCAAAATGTGAAAGAAGTCAATTTGCATATGGGAGTGTTTGAATGTAGTAGGTATGTATGCCTCGGCAGTCGTGAATCAGACAACCGAGCTCAAGTGCTCCCCATAAGAGCTACGCCAACGGAAAGAGAGCGGCTGCTTATCTGGCCCACCGTTTTGATGTCCGTTTGGTACACCAGAGGAATAAATGAGTGGAGACTCGACATATGACTCCAAGTTGTCCCCCGCCATGGGGCCGTAAAGAACTGAGAGAAAGAGAAATACGGCAGAATTCCGTTGGGTTAAAAAACATCCCTGCAGCACTCACCGAGCTCACCGATGGCAACGTCGTTGCTGCCCCACGTGATTCAATGCCTCTCTACACTAATGAATGACTGGAACTCAACCAACAACGCCTAGAATTTCGTCGCGAGTTGTCGCGATATATACTTGTCCGCCTCCCATTTTATCTAATCAGCAAACCTATTATTCGGGTTAATTACTTGTTGGTATTATTATCCAGTACTCTTGGTGATTCTGCCTCTGGGACGCGTGTGTTACGCTTTGCATCCCGCGAAAACATCGTCGGCGGCCCGGCAGCAATCGAGGTTCGCTTTGCCGACTTCAACTGAGCCTAGCGATCACGACCAGATTTGCTGGCGCCTCCTAGCTGTATGTAGGTTGCATTTTTGGTATCTTGACCTTTGAAAGCTAAAAGCGACAGTAATTTATTTTTTTGTACCGTCTGACATTCAGCTTAAGCGATCGGTCGCTGCTGCGTCAGCCATCAAGGGGTGGGAAGTCTGTGGATAGTTACCTCGCCAAATACTCCACGAGGTTTCCCGGTGCACTTTTGTTGGTAAGTCACAGATGTACTAGTATCACACCTACATACATATGCAAACAATTCCCGGAGTCGTTTTCAATGCATTCCACGGTACACAAGCCAGAACGAGGGGGTTTGCCACCTCTGGCCTTGGCACCAATCGTCAAGGTCCAGCACAAAGGGGATTGAAGACGCCTTCATTATTATAAAGAAAAAAGAAAAAGAAAAAAAAAGGGTCAAAAGGAAAGTGCACAGTGGAGAGGAATACATCCATCATATGCTGCAAAGACAAGTGCTGCGCATATGATTGATTTGCAGTAACAGCTGGCAGCCCCCCTCCGAAAAAGCCAGAAATCCAGGGGTGGTTTCGATTTGGTTATGAAGTTGGGCTTTGCCTGCCGTACATACGCGAGCGCGACAGCGACAAGGAGCCAATCGACTGGAATCAAGAGCTGGGCGCACCTCGTCGGCTCCTTGCCGCAACACCGTGTCACGGCTGCTTAGACGCCCGCAAGCTTATTTCAACCTCTCACTTCCACCCAAAATCCTTGCCTCCTGCATGCTTCTGCTGGGCTACCTTATGCCCACCACGAAATCTCAACATCTCCAACAAAACGGCCTGTTTGTCCTCTGTGCCAATCACCTTGCCGTACTCCACGCCCCTCCACGGCTTACTTCGAGGAAACGACAACACACTTTCTGCCTTCTAGATATTTTTTCTTCTTCTTCTTCTTAATAAGCCCCATCCATAGATTGACCTCTTTCCCTCCATCATCACGTCATTTTGTATCCCGCGAACCCAATCACCATGGCCTCACGCCCTCGCCGTGCCGCGGCTCAGAAGGCCAACACCGCGATTACTGACATGGTCGATAGCGACAACATCATTAGTAGTAAGACGGGCAAGATCATGTCTTCCAGAGCACAATCTCGTCGATCTGAGGGTAAGATTGCCGCCACAACCACTAGACGCGGCCAACCTTCGCCCTTGGGTTCTAACCAGCATATGCATGTCACAGTCAAGCTCCCAGCGAGCAAGCTTCGCCATGCCACCTCGAGCCGCAACGGCCATTCTGGAGGCCGGGAAAGTTTCGAGGGTGGTGAAATCTTGGAAGGAAAAAGAAATCGAAGTCAGAAAAAGAGCTACGTTGTCGAATCTAGTGAGGACGATGCCGAGGGTGAGGATGATGATGATGCCGAGGCAGAGGATGACACGATGGATCTCGGCGATGATGATGCCGAGGGCGAGATTGTCGATGATTCCATGGACCTTGATGTGGATGCCGAAGGAGAGGAAGATGACGACCTGAGTGATGAGGATGCGGAAGGTGAAGAGGACGACATGACCATGGACGTAACGCCTGCAGCTCCCGCCATCAAGGTCTCGAAACCTTCAGCCTCCAGAGCAGCCGCTTCGAAAGCGAGGGCAGCTGCCAAACCAGCACTCAAGCAGGACGTTGCAGACGATAACAGCGAACTCAGCGAGCTTGATAGTGACGACGAGGAAATTCAAGACACCGTTAATGTCGGTGGAGCGGATGATGAAGAGGACGAGGACGCGGAAGGCGAAGATGACGACGATATTGAGGCTGCAGGTGCCGCTGCTCAGGACGACGACGAGGGCGAGGAACTACTCAGCGATGACGATGGTAGTCGAGCAGCATCGCCCGACTTTGCCAAAATGACGAAGCGGCAGCGTGCCAGATTCGAGGATGACGATGGCAGCCTGTTGAAACTCTCCGATGGTCAGCATAGGGCCCCTCATGACCTCACGACCTTTCAACTAATATCTTTACAGAGGTTCAAGCAAAGAAGCATTTTACTGCGGAAGAGCTTTCCATGCGACGTGCCGAAATGGCACGACGAAGACGGAATCTGAGTGAGAAGCGCAATGAAGAAGTCAAGGTAAGGTCTCACTTCTGCCACGTTTAGGCGTGCACTAATAGTGGGCACAGAGAGAAACCATCGACAAGCTGCTCAAGAAGCAAGCGCCCAAGACGAATCGCAAGGCGCAATTAGCAGCCGAAGAAGCAGCTCAATTGGAAGAGAAGCCGAATCCAGTCTTTGTTAGATGGGTGAGCAACAAGGACGGCAACCGAGTTGCAGTCCCAGATGAGATCATCGCAGGTCCCGCTGGAAAGGTCTTTATCCCTGGCGGCCTCAGAAGCGGTAAAATGGTCGAAGAAGTTAATTGATTTAGCGTACCTCACCCGGGATAAGAGGCAAGCGTGCGACAAATAACAAAACTGTTCATGCCCTCGTTGTTGCAGGCTTTTGCCATCTTGGCAACTATAAGCATCGTCAGAAGCAGCTTCATTTGAGTAAATAGATAACGGAACGGGTCATGGCAACAAACCATTGTTTGATTAGAAAAATTATCGAGAATGACTGCGCAGTCAGCACCACACAAATACCAGAGAAAGATCAAGATACTATGACTGGTTGAAAGCATGCCATGTGTGCAATATGGTCATGCTTTGCTTATGCTGTAGAAGAGTAGCACATCATCAAGGATTCAGAATTTACATCAAAAGCAAAGAGGTTTAGAACAACTGTTTTCAAGCACAAATTCAAGTTCACACCAGACTTTTACACCTTCATCCCTTTTGAGCTAGAACTGCGCCTGAAGTCATTTCTTGAGAACCTCTCGACGAATGTAATGTTTGTCTATCCAAGCCAGCCAGTCCCCTTGATGCGCTACCTACAAAACTCGATAGATTTTTTATAGCCCTAATCTTGTGATATCTACATAATAAACAATTCAGTCATATAGGCAGCTGGAACCATCGAGTTTGTGGTCCCTGCCGCTACTGGCACACGAAAGAAGTTTTCACAAATCTACACGACTAGGCCTTCTTCGCCTTCATCACGCTCCAGCCTCTCGAGACCATTACACACGGCGCCGTACACTCGGATGGGGACCGCGACCTCGAAACTCTCGCACTCTAGGTTTTCGGCAGCAACCATGACCAGACCGCCGCGGTCGTCTTGGGAGATTTCTTCCAAGAGGGCGTGTGGACCTTCACGCCTGCGCTCTGCCTCTTCCGTCTCAATGCTCGACGACGGGACCACGAACTCGACACGAATCTTCCACTCCAGACTGAGCCCACTGGTCATAAATTCTGGAGTGGCGTTGATCGGGATGGTGGGACTAAAGACGACGCGGCGTGAGAACAAAGTTGCCTCGCTGGAGCTCCCGTATACTTTTCGCGTAACTCTGTGAACGCTTGCCTCGCTGCGCAGAGCAAATGCCGGCTCAACGCGCTCTGCTGTTTCTAGAGCAGCATGTACAGCATAGCAGGGAATTTCTGCCTCGGTGAAATCGATAGCCATGCTGACCTGTTCGCCTAGCCTATAGGCTGGCCTGGCAAGCATGACAACTCCGACCCTTTGTCCGTTGCGAGCAATCTCAAATCGATTTGTGCTTTGGCCGCTGTCGTATGAGGAGAGGTTTGACCGCAAAATGGCCAGGTCTATCGCGTCCCTGGCAGTCGCTGCGTCTTCGAATGCCGAGGGGCGCCTAGAGGAAGGGCCCTGTGCTGTGGGCGAAAGCAGGCCGCCTCCATTTCTTGGTCGGTCGAGAAGTTCCTCGACGTAGCCAAGGAATCCTTGCAGAGTTGACTCTGGTTTGACAGAGTGGTGGTGATGTTTCTTCTTCACCAAACTGGAAGCGTGTTTTTCAAGTTGTTGAACCTTGGCCAAGTCTCTGAGAATTATATATGGAGACATGAGATCATGGCCCAGGATTTCGCCGTGACTGTTCACGCTTCCCAACACTCGGAAAGGAATGTCTACAGATTTGACCTGTTGCTCCCTTGTACCGCCAGGTCGCTGGGTGCCGATAACGAGGCTGTATGTGATTTTCATTGCTTTGCCTTTGTGCGTAGGCGGCAGTCCCTTGGGCAGTTTGAAGGTGTATTCAAAAGACTTGCTCTCTCCGGGCGCCAGTTGCAAGTCCACAAAGAGAATCGACTGTGGCGTCGAAAGAAGAGGTATCGACTTGGAGCTTGCAGTACCACGCATCTCCTTGATGCTGCTGAGCTCATTTCCTCCGAGGAGTTCGCCAATTGAATTGCCCCAAGAGCCCCAGCCAAAGCTCTTGAGAAGCCCGCTGCTGTCTCTCTTTGACGGCTCAAGACCTATTACACCGCCGCCCTGTCCGCCAAGGACTGCTTTACGCTTGACTGCCTCGAATGGGCCCAAGTTGATGAGCGAGCCATCCAATGTAAAGGACCCCTGCACTTGAGCGTATCCCATCATTAATGTTTCTGGCAGCTTTGCCATTGCTGCACTTGGGATGCCAGAGCTTCTTCTCAAATGAAGTGGTTTGACTCCATTACGTAGCGGTTGGGTGACATATTCCGAGGCCAATGTCTCGCTCGAGTTATTGCTCATTGAATAGAAGTCGCCGCTGCTCCTAGGTGTGCCCTCGGCGAGGCTCGTCGTCGAGAGTATCCTGGCTGCTGGCGCCGGATGTTCTACGACAGATGGTATGGATGCGTCTTTGGACCTGACCGGAAGATTATTCAGGCCACCGCCCGATACTGATACGGGTGTCGTGATATAATCCTCCTCTTGGCCATTAGGAGATGTGCCTTGAGACTCGGACAATGGTGAGCGGACCGTCGGAAACTTCCAGTCTGGCATTTGCAGGGAGCCTTTCCTGGGGGAAAGCCCTGGTGCAGGAGTGTTTGGCGCCGTCGTAACTCCAGACATTCGCCCCTGGCCATAGCGGGAGGGAGGGAAAGAGTGATTGTTAAATACGGGCGACGCTTGAGAGTATGCCGTGTTTGATCGTTGCGGTAAAGATGCAGACTGTGGTCCGTTCAAGGCACCGCTGCCGCGAGGAGATATCTGTAGACTGGCTGACCGCCCGTGTCCTCGGCCCGGGCGCTGCGGCGGCAGCATTCGGTTCCCATTGCCCAGGGATGGATCCTCGATCGTGGCCGAGGAGGTCGCAGACCCGATTGATACGATGGACACGGAGCGCTTGTGGCTGTGGCCCGATCTGGCAGTGGTCGGCGGGGGTTGCTGTGGTAGCCAGGAAGGTGTGCTGCCACTCTTGCTCCTCGAATGACCATTGGGAACATTCAGACTCAAGGTCGCCCGATGGCCTCGTGTGCCTCTGGCGGACACGGGTGGCGTCAGGCCATTGCTGTTGCTGCTGCTGAAGGCCGACTTCCTCGGGGTGCCCACGAGGGCGAGGGGGGAGGGCTGCCTCTGGCGCTCGGCGTGGTTGTTGGGTGGTGCAACGTTCTTGAAGGTGACGCGGCACTTAATGTCCTCGCCGGCAAAGACGGTGTTCTCGTCCCAGTGCACGAAGACGCGGATGTTTCCTGAGGCAGCGGAGGCGGCAGCGGCGGCGGCGTCGGTAGGCATCGTTGTATGTATATAATTGGGGGGTCGGCCCCGATGCGCCCGCGGTCTTAATGTACCTATTGAGCTGCAATCTGGGGGAGGTGGTGAGAGCCACTCACTCACTGGACTGCTAGGGCCAGTGGGTTAATTCCCGTAAGTCATGAACGTTGCAGACGCCGCATTGTTGGCATTTGGGGTCAATCGGGAGCCGTCCTTTAGAGGAGCTGCCAATAAGGCATTGGACAGCGCCGACTCAGGTAGGGGAATTGACTGTAAGCAAAGAAAAATCAAGTACGTAGTTGGTGGTAAGACGCGTCGAACAGAAATGGATGCTGGTTGGCAAGATGATAGATAGACGGGCTTTGGGGTTTAATGGTGTGCAGCCGGGGACTATCGAAAGTTAAGGTAGGGATGATGTCTTAGCTGGGGACCAGGATATGGAGGCGAAAGCTTGGGGGGTACCATTGGTTGAGTGCACACTGCAGTGAACCACCACCGCTAACTGGAACCACCCACCAACGCTGACGAGTCGTTATCCGGGTTCCATTGAATTGGCGTCGGTCGTTGAGGTGTTCCCCTTTGGTCGCCTGTAAGCACGCGTGCGTCAGGCGCCCCTGTAGTCCGCCAAACCTTGACCAAAAAAGCATTGGATTTCTACGCTAAAAGGTGCATGCATATGTACCTTACTGTACGATGCTGAATCTTCTACTTTTAAATGTGTACCTTGGCTAAGAAGATCATGTTCCCAGGCCTAAATCTTTCAAAGGGGTTTATTATCCAGTGGTCAGTCATTACAGGTTGGACCTTATTCTGAAAACTAATTTGAAAGGCACTCGGGATCATTCTCTTCTTAACGCTCGGGGAGTCTTGATTATCTACCATCTACGAGGCTGCCGTGCTAATTGATGAACGGTTGATGTCTGTCTCGAAAGCGTAGTGAATATACATTACGCATGGCCCCAACTCCTGTCTCTCCTTTCTCCCCATGGTATCTTATATAGTTTATTTTACCGTGAAAGAGATCGCTCCCATGGCCCAGTTTTCTCTCATAACGCCTTGCACGATTTTATCCGAAGGTCCATGTTTTGGAAAAAAACAGAGAAAAGAAGGAAGAAAAGGATATACTCGGAACGCCAAGCAGCCAAACCCTCCAGTATTCCCTTTGGAACGACCCAAGCGCATATCACGGAGCGCTATTTTCCCGTGGACACCATCTTCTTTACCCCAGAAGGAAATATCAAATCACAAAATGAAATCAAAAAAGTGTTATGAACTGTAGTTGGAATCTGTTGTTGCTGTTGAAAGCGACTCGGCCCCCGACGAGTTCGGACGATGCTCATCATCAGGCGAGGGCGTATCCTGTCTTCCCGACGACTGGCTGTTGAGCTGTAATTTTTCGTCTAGCATCAATGCTAGCTTATTGGAATATTGATCGAGGATGTTTTCGATCACAGAGTTGCTGAGCTCTCGACTCTGCTTGGCTTGGTCACCCAAGGCTAGAGACGTCAAACGGAGCTCATGGTCTAGCTCTGCTAACGCGCTTTCGCTGACCCTGGCTTCCGACTCCAGCTTCTTTCGAAACTCTCGTAGCGCTCGGCAAACATTCTCCGTGGCTAGAGTCAGACTCATGGCTCCTCTCAAACTCGACGAACTCTTCGTTTTCTTCGAGTCCATAGCCGGCATAGAGGGACGCCTAATCGACCGCACCTTGGGACTAATAGGTGGGCTTGATACCTGACTATCGGAGGATGTTTTCCTAGCATGCATGCTGCCCCTGACAGTGGAAGGACTCGATTGGAAAGTGGAAGTTGGTGATCGCAAAGGAGCTGATCCCGTCAAACCATAGAGAGACCGTTTCTTGGTGAGGGTTTGTGGGGGCGATGACCGTCTTCCTGAGGCGACTGATGAGGGTCTCTGGAACTCTCTCAGATCAGCCTTGGACCTGACACGTCTCAAAGGAGCTCGACCGGCAGTGGAGACATCTCCGGCAGGGGAAGGATCGCGACTTGCTGAGCCTGTCACCTGCTCTTCTGACCCGAGACCCCATAACATGATGGTCCCATCCGATCCCACGCTGACGACTTTCTCGGAGCCGTCTTTTTCCTCAACCAGCGTCACGCCAGTGATACCTTCCGTGTGCCCCCATTCGCGGTCCAGGAACGCGCCTGTCGTGGCATTGTATAGTCTGACAGACTTGTCGGTATTCGAAAGTCCTAGGAGAAAGGGAGGTTCTCGCTCCTTTTCAGGCCGACAAATGAGAGAGTCCAGCACTACCGACTCAACGCCGACCTCGTCTGTGCACTTGAAAGATTTTACCAATTTACCAGTCTCGAGGTCGTATATATAGGCTGACCGATCTGTCAAGGACACAATGATTGATTTGCCATCTGGCGACACGACAACTGATGTTGGTGATGTCTTGAGAGGAAATGACCGGACTGGGAAAGCTGCCAAGTCATCGCCATCAGACTCCTTGCGGACAATTTCGTATACTTGCAAAGAGCGGTCCAATGAGCTCGTGATAATCTTGTCTCGAGATGGAATGAGAACCTGTGTTACTTTGGAAGGGAACTCGAGCGTCTGGAATAATTCAAATCGACCAGAAGATGTCCGGTGGAACAATTGGGCAGTCCTGTCTCTACCAGACGATGCAATCATGAAGTTCGACTCATCCTGAAAGGCGGCGAGTTGCTGACAATGACTGGAATGTGCCTTGGTCTCAAAAACACATTGCTTTGTTTCGGCATCCGTCACCTTCAACACTCCCAGTTTGTCACCAGTGATGAAATAATCGGCAGCTGGTGTAGTTGTGCACGCAGTCATTTGATTGACTGGCTCGCCGTCGTTCTGGAAAGTAGCGTTCTCGAGGGCCACGTCGAAGGACTCCTTGATGTTTCCCTGCGTATCCCAAAGCTGAATGCTACCAGACCCAGACCATGTATAGAACGTAGCTTCTGACCGACTTGACCGTGGTATAGCACCCACGCCTTGTGTAGTGTCTCCATTGCCAGCGATCTGTGCACGTGTTGATGTTTCGCTTCCAGACCCCGGCATATACGAGGCATCCCAGATGTTTATCGACTGGTCGCTATCGACCGTGACCATGTTATCTGTTAGGAAATCGAGGGCCAAAAGAGAGGCGTCAGATTTCGAGGTGCTTGTGATACAGTCGAGGTCCCCTTGCAAGAACTGATCCAGATTCAGAATTGCAAAGTCCCCAGAGCTGCCCGAGACATAGATCGCCTCATGCCGAACCGCAACACAGGTAGTCGCAAAGCCTATTTTCAGGATCCTTGTCAGCTTGATCTGCTTGGAATTTTCCTCGAGCAGACAGATGTCGCCGGCTTCAGAGCAGATGATTGCCTGGGTATCGCTAACGGTAACAGCGCAGGTGAAGGTTGCTTCTATCAAGTCACCGAGCAAGGCATTGCGACCTGGCAATGCCTTTTGTGGCTGAGACGGTGAATTGACTTCATTGCCAAACCTCGACTTTGTGGGCGAGTTGCTCTGTGGGTCCTCCACTTGCCAGACCTTGACATGACGAACACCTAATGTAATGAGGTTGTTTCCCATCCAAATCATTCCACGAATAAATGATACGCAGCGATTCTGTTGATAGAGCTTGGCAGCGCCAGTCCTCGGATCAATCCTCCATAGATACAAGAAACCATCATTTGCAGAACCGAGGGACGCCAGGAATCTAGTGTTGGGTGACCACGCGACAGCTGTGACTCCTTGCACGTGCTCGTTGATGGACACAAGTGGTCGGTCCGAGGAGCTATCTTGCAGACCGAAAATTAGCACGCGGGGATTGTAGCCCGTCTCGCCAACGGCAAGATATTTCCCATCACGGCTCAGGGCCAAACATGTCGCGGCCTTGATGCGCTCCCGACTTGTCCACGTCTTTGGCGCATCTGCACGGTCCAAAGCCCCGTAGGATGATTCTCTAGGCGGGATGGGTATCCTATTCCTGCTATCGTTGGCTTTGGGGGTGCCCGTCGGCGTCGTTTGTGTAAGGCCTTGGTTCGTGGTGCCATAGAGGGGAATCGCGGTTGGTCTCGCCCTGTAGAAACGTTGGCTGTATGTTTCGCCCTCCACATCAACCACCACTACGGCACCTCCAGCAATGTACGCGAACGAGGACTGACAAGTGTCGAGGCCGGTAGGCGAGGCGCAAGTTGTTCCTATAACCCGCCTCAGAGACAAACGAGGTTCTGGTAGGTACCGACCTCGACTGGGGGTCCTCGGTGTTGCAGGTAATTGAAGATACGGAGAATTGGACGGCGTTTGTCTCAACCGATTGGAAGGAGTGGAAGGCATCTTCTCGCCATTGACCCTCAAAGATTGACTGCTGCTGGTGAGGGTGAACTCTTCAGGTCTGGCACAAACCCGGATACCGGGGTTCAAGTAGTATTGATCGTTCCAGGGACTGTGCTGACTCGGACGTGAGACATGGAAGGAACTGCGCACTTGTCCGATGTCTTGCCAACCAGCAACATGTGGTCGTTTTGTGGAGGCTCAAGTTTCACAAATAAGTAGTAGCAGCTTGTGGGGTGAGGCAGAGGAAGAAAGACGATTGCAGAGGGAGAAGAGAGGAAGAGGCCTTTGCCTGTTTGCCAAACAGAGCAGCCAGCAATCAACCCTAGGTATGTAAAGGAAAGTAAGTTTTTTTTTTTCTTGTCGGCGGGCAAGTACGAGAGGAGGGGAAAATGCTATTTTTGAAAGTCTGGCGTCAACAACTAAACCGGAACGTACTCGCGGGGGTCTTTGTTTGTCGTGTATTTTCTTGACTTACAGTGACGCGAAAGGGAAGAGAGAAAAAAAAGAGCCCCTCAAAGACAACAAACAAAACGGGGATCGGGTGAAGTCTTCCTAGCAATCAAGGTCTCCTTGGATCCATACAAGCGCCGCCCATTGACCGTGGACGTGGATTTGTTCGGGCCGTGGAACCAGACGGGGAGCATAGGGATCAACTGATGCTCCCGGTCAAACGGTGAAAGGTGGAAGTCTGATCCATATGGGATGTGTAAGTGAGGATCTACTGTGGACAAAGACAGCACATGAGTGCATGCTGGAGTGGTGGTTAGGTTTTGGATGGATCAACTCCGAGGCCCAAGGCTGCGGTCAAGCAAAGTACATTTACCTAACCACCTAACCAACCACGCAAAGTTCCCATCTCGGTACACTAGCAGAAAGCTACCAGAATGCACTAGCAGCTCGATTTGTTTTCTTCTTGCCGCCCACCCGCCAATCAGCTCGGGCCGGGTGTTGGCCAGTCCACTGATCAACGGCAAGCTATATCCCGAAAGCGGAATAGAATAAATTAGCATTGCGGTTCTCGGTTGCCCCGTTCGCTCGCTTGCCCTTTGGTTTTTTGTCATTGGTAGGACCCCTGATCGTCTTCAGTGACAACTCCTTTTGGGGCAGCCCCATTTGCTATTTTCCATTGTTCGATAGTGCTTCCATATGCGGAGTTGGTAAATATGGATTGCTTGATGCTGCTTGTTGGCTTCATTCTGCTGCTCTTTTACCCCTCCAATCCATGACACAGTTCAAAGATTTCTTTATCTCATGACGTACGTACGTACACTACTGTGTACACTTCTGAGTAATCATTATAGCGCATTCGATATAGGTAATTTTGTATATACATTTGCATAGACGTGGTGGATCAGGCAATGTTTTCATTCCTGCTCAAGAGTGGCCAAACTCCTAGAGTCTATTAATATCCTTGAAAATTATGTTCATGCTTTCCATTGGCATCCATTGTTGATCCTGGCCGTGAAAATTTGCCAAACATAAGATGACCAATAATCCATACTATTAATTGCTACAAGAGCAATATATATGTCTTTTTACAGATGGATAGAAAACCGCACACCCACTTTGGTCATTATCTTCTCAAATACTCATACAACGCTATGGTGGTTCAACAAGACATGGAAGAGGTGTTTCGTAATTGAGTGGTCTAATAGATTCGAGTGTCCGTGATTGCCTCATCCGCAGGCGCTTTTTGTACAATAGCTACGCACATGATAGATTACAATGTTAAGCCAGCCAAGAGTCGAGACGACTCTGAGATGCTTCGAGTCTTTACATAAGATTGTCGCCCAGCTTCTTCTGGGCACTCTCCTCTTTCCACCGGGGGACATATGGATATTCGACCCTGGGCCCTTTCTTCTTGTTGAAGCGAGCATCACGCGTAACGCCAGCCTCGCGCCAGCGCTTGGGCGGCTTGGTGCCCAGCTCTGCCATTTGCTCCCAAATGTTCTTGCCCCGGTTGAACCAGCGCTCCTGGCGCTTCTCCTCTTCCTGCGCGTTCGGCTGCCATTTGGACTTGAGAATGCGCCGCATGGCCTCGGGCGACACCTGGAACTGGTTCGCCAGCGCCGCCGTCGTGTAAATTTGCGGGTACTGCGTGTGTAGCGCCCGGATGCCATCGAGCGCGTCCGGCGAGAGCTTCTTGCGCGGGTTCCAGCCCTCGGGGAACTTTTCCTTCAGCGCGTCCTTTTGCAGCTGCCACAACTCTCTCTGTTTGATGGCTGCCTGAGTGTCGTGCTGCCGCGGCTTCTCCGCAGGCATGATCTTGCTCCTCTTCAGCCTGCTTGGGCCCGAGAGGCCAGGCTTCCGTCTCGTGTATGCTTCGGGGTCTTGTTGCGATCCGCCATTGACTTCGCCGTAGAGGGCATTCTCGTTCGGAGTCCGTGAAGCGTCCGCAGCGAGAGCATCAATGGCTTCTGGTGACAGGTCGAAGATAGCGTTGCTTTGCCTCGCCTTTTCAATGTCAGAGGCCGAGGCATTGGTTGCGCCCGCATCGGTATTCGAGGCGTAGTATGAAGTGTCGTGTGATGGTACTTCCTGGCCAGTCACGGCGCTGGTACCGCGATCGAGGGTGCGTAGATGTTGCCTTGGGTAGCGAGCTGCCGAGGCAGCAGTAAACGATTTCACGGCGCCGCCATTGGTGGTGTATGTGCCCAGTGGTCGCGGGTTGAGGAAACCTGCAGATCTTTCGCCTGTCCCAGAGAGTTGGGTCCGGGTAAGGCTCTGCACAAAGATACGCAACGACGAGGTTCGGCAATTGCAGGCCATGGTGGTTGTGGTCTCAAAATGGAAGAAAACAAAACGATCAACGTGGTAACTGGTTATGCAGGAGTGTCGGCCGAAAGTTTTGTCATGTGAATGCAGTGCAGTCTAGAGAAAAATGTTGCCTTTTCCGTAGTGCAGAAATTCGCCGCCTCCGCATCCCTGTCGGCCCCTGCGCGTCCAGCAACGCTAAGCACTAGCGAACGCGAACGGTGATAAAGTGGTTTTTACTTCTACTCTTGTGTGCTACTATGACATGTTCTAACTTCTTAGCATCTACATGTATGTAGGTTGGTAGGTAATGTATCTTCAGTAGATTGGGGCCCGTATAATGCCAGGCCGTGCACTTTACTTGTATACACTATATAGCAACCACATCGACAACCGTCATCCAAACCAAGGCCATCCTGTTTAGGACCAGACTATTGCAACCTAAGGCGAGGACCCAAACTATATGTCTTCCGTGTTAATGAAGACGTCAGTCCTTGGCGGCAAAGAGATGCCTCATGAGGGGCACGCACATCTTTTTCCACTCAAATGTTCCCGGTTCCCATGATTCATCTCCAAACAAGTTTGAGGTGGGGGGCTACCGAGGGAGCCTCCAACAGCTTGAATCCAGGCTGCCTCGGCATCCCCCTCATCATCAGAATTCACTCGGCCGACGAGCTGCTTTCCCATTATGAGCATTTGGTACTGTTCACCAGCCATGTCAGATCTGATCCGTACCCGGCATTAGCCTAGTGGCTGAATGTAGACGTCGACGAATTTGGATTGGACTATATCATGTTCAAGTTGTTGATCGGTACCAGTCAACATCTATCAACTCAACGACTTTGTAACCTCATCTTTGCCTCAAATACATACTGTTCTCCATAACTTACGATACCCCATAACCGAGGGCGCAAAGCACTAAACATAATTGAATATATTATCTGTAACACTGACTGTGACAATCGAATCGGAGACGAAGCTCGGTCAACACTGAATCTGGAATTTTCCATGAGAGATTAAAAGAAGAAGAAAACATAAAGAACGTTATAACTCATCACACCGTCTACTCCCTTTGCTTTCGCAACAAACATAGCTCTTCTAGGAAAACCTTGAAAGACAATCATATATCAGCAACCACGCTGTAAAGGAGCATATAAGAAGAGCGGTACATTTTTGCCACTCTAGACAGACAAGCATCATGGGTCTGCTTTCAACGGACCCCGACCAGTTCGACATCTATGGAACCAAGTTCAAATGGGGACCTTTTCATCAATCACCAGAGCAACTCAACCACTACATTCACACATACGATACCGTGGCCGCAGAGGCCCTCGATGCCCTGGATGAGATTGTACCACCAGCAGCCATAGCGCCCCGGAAAGACATACAACAAGCCGTTGAGGTGGAAGGCAAGAAGCACAGAGACTTGTTCAATCTGGTAAAAGAGCATGCCAAGACAGACAAGCGTGTTGGCAGGCTATGGGACGAAGTCAATACCGTGCCAGAGTGGGTGGACTGGAAGCAGATTGACAGAGGCCAGAAGGTCTTTTGGCGGTATGGTGGTGCGTCGATTACAGCTGTGAGTGTCTATACTTCTCTACAACCTCCTCTATAGCCACAGCCTCTGATTTCTAAATACAGCTTACCTTCTTGTCATTGCTTGGCGGCATGGGAAGTGGTAGAACCGTCGAGACGCTGGACCGGACTGGTGGTTTTGGCGCCAAAGCCGTCCGACGGCGTCTTCTCGAGACAACACAGCACACCCTCGGCGTCCACAAGGATCTCGAGGCCATCAAGCCCGGCGGTATTGAAGGCTTTGAGTCATCTGTGCGAGTCCGACTCTTGCACGCCTCGGTCCGGCAGAGGGTGTTGAAGCTCGCGCGAGAAAAGCCCGAGTACTATGATCTCAAAAACTATGGTGTCCCCGTCAATGATCTGGACTGCATCGGGACCATTGGCACCTTTAGCTCTACCGTCATTTGGCTGGGCTTGCCGCGACAGGGCATCTTTCTTCGAGAGCAGGAGATACTCGACTACCTCGCCCTCTGGCGCTACGTGGCGTACCTCATGGGCACGCCGTACGACTGGCTCGCGACGCCCGAGACGGCAAAGGCCATGATGGAGTCTCTGCTCGTGTCCGAGGTCAAGCCCACCAAAAAGTCAGGGACCTTGGCAAACAATATCATCACCGGATTTGAAGGCCAAGCTCCGACGCACGCTTCTCGTGGCTTCATGAACGCAGTGACCTATTGGCTCAATGGGAAAGACCTCAGCCGGGAGTTGAATATTGAAGAGCCAACTCTTTACTATAAGACGCTAGTCCTTGGTCAATGTCTCTTCTTCATGGTCTCTGGTTACATCAACAGATTGATTCCGGCATTGGATGAAAGAAACGTTACGGCAAGTATTCCCAATCAAGACTCGTGGGAACATGCTCGAAAAGAAGAGAAGGACCTAAATAGATCCATTATTCATGAATACTTTGGCTAACATTCTTGATAGCTCGCCCGCAAAGTCCTCTACGACCTTCTAGTCCACAACAAGAAACGCGGCGCTCTAGGTTACCGGACAAAGTTCAACTTCAAGTGGGTGCCAGACCTACAGAGCACGACAACACCGCTCGGTGAGCCCGTGCCGGGGCAGGCACAGAAGTCGGGAATCAGGCAAAATGGAGTGGAGCGGACGGCTTTCGCAACGCTTGTATTCACCGGGGTGGTCCTTGGCCTGGCGGTTTGGGGAGTTTGGAGCGGCTTCCACGCGGTGAGCAGTCTGGCGCGTGGTGGATCTCCAGACTCGGCTTTTGTCAATATTGCAGCACCAATCTGGGAGTTTGCCAAGCAAGTCAAGGCCTAGTCGAGTTTGATGTTGCAGAATGTCGAGTCTTTGTCAGTCGATTTCGATAGTATAGCTTGGGTAGCTCAATTTCGGAGTACAATTGACATGTCTGTATTCGTAGGAAAGATTCTCTGCCCATATATACATATTGGCGATCATCTAGAACGTAATTCCTCCATCTCAAACGTTCCCCTCCGAGGCAGATACTCATTATCCGTCATTGGCTCCAAGCTATTCGCTAGTTGCGCTGTGGAAAGAACTTGAACAAAACTAGAAGCACACCACAAGATTGTGGCAGCTTTCCAATTCCAAGGATAAGTAATCACGGCGGCCCCGGCTGCCATGAAGCTGATGAGTAGAAGACCCATGAACCAGAACTTGTTGATGAAGGCCTCTCGTCTTTTGCTCCGAAGGACAACCGGGTAGAGGGTGCAGTAGATTGTGAGAACCAGGAAACATAACTGGCTCAACATAGTCCAAAACCCGTCATCGGTCACCAGTGTATCTCTTGTTGGATTGCAAACAGGGTCCCGTGTCTGGATCACCGCAAGTGTTATCATGGCACCTCCTAGCAGGCCGAATACAAGCACTACTGCCATGAGCATCGACCGATGGAAAATGGGAAATAGCATAGGCCATCTCGCGATTTCTGGGGATAAGTTCTGCGGCACTTCTTCCTTCTCGACTCTACCTGTAGTGCTGTGTGATGATGTAGATGTTGAATCGATTTGAGAGGTCTGTTGCTGAACAGCTCTTGACCGGAGGTTATCGGCTCGCTCAGTATCGTCTCTGCAATGTAGCTATATCAGTCCCAAACGTCTGACACTCGAATAGTATACTTACCGTTCAAACCCTGATGCTGTATTGGCAATATTTAGTTCACGTGGTCTGATCTTGTCGAGCACCGCTTTGGCATAAGCACCCGCCATGGCTGCCGCGTATGACCTCCACTTCGAAGTATCATGCCCATCGCCGTAGTTACAAATTCCCCGAATCACATACACTGGGAGACGAGTCCCCATGTCTTTATTTTCCTTGAATATACCCCAAAATTTAGGGTCTTGAGTCGCATAATACTTTCCGGGGTCAACAGGTCCATGCCACACTCGGGTGCGCTGCCGACTGGTTCTCGGGACGCGCCCCTTGACGCGCTTCTCAATCCCGTCCCCATTGGTACGATACAATATATCGAAATTCTGCCCTGGGTCAATGAACCTCTTAGAATGATACCCTCTAATCTTGAGTGCTCCGTAATAGTCGAAGAACCTGTGCGTGTCACTTGGTGCTTCCAACTCGATGTCGCTGATAGCCGTTTGAACATTCGAATTCATCGTCTCGCGTGCTTGACCCTTTTCAGGTGTATAAGATGCGTCATTATAAGACGGGTCTGCTTCTTTGCTGAGTCTGTATGCTGTTCTTTCCGCGGTTTCGCCATTCAGGAGACCAACAAGCAGATCGCCAAGTCGGACGTCCTCCGAAAAGATCTGCGTCAGGTCTGGTACTGTTTCTTGGATTCCAACGATGAGACCCAACAAAAGATTCGGGAATTTGTTTCTCATCTCGCTAAAGAGATTGTATGGGAAATTGATGGGTGGTCCCTCAAAGAATCTTGCTATTAGGACGTCACGTCCGCACATCCTACCCGCATCGAGACAATTCTGGTGAGACCAGACTTCTGAAGAAAACTCGCCTGGGTATCGCTCGTCAAGCAAGAAATAAGGTATATCCGGGTCACTACCAGGGAGGACGACCCAGACTATTTCAAAGTCCTCGGGATTCAAGAATGCTGACATGCTAGGTCGCGTGATTGTCGCGGGGGCGGCTCAGCGCAAGACGTGGTTTGCTCCTGAGGTTGTTTAGTGGTTCGCCTTGCTTCAAGACTTGATATATCTTTCGCGGCTGTTTGCGAGAATATAAGCAGGTATTTTTGCAGAGACTTCGAAACTTTTTGGCCTGATCTCCATCTCTCCCAGTTCTGATGACTGGCAAAAGTGAGCAGAATCTCAGCCTTGTGCGATTTACTTACGCCCCGCCTCGCGCAGTACGGCGCTTACCTGTCCAATAAAAATTCAACGCTTCACTTACATACATGAAAACCTGTGTCAAACAATACAATTCTCGTTGGCTATTTCGATCTCAATCCAGCTAGGTGACAGAGCACGTGTATGTTCGTGATATGAACCGTATGATGAAGCACCTGCCAAAAATAGTGACTTTGATTCATATTTTAATCTGCTCAATTGGGTAAATTTAGTAGAAATGGTCAAAAAATGGTACCTTGCCTAATATTGTCAGATCAGGGAAAATATTTGATGCCCATGCCACTGTTTGTTTTGCTCGCAAAGCTTTCCTCTGTCCATGGAGACCGTCTCAGGAATCAACATGGGAGAATAGACCTGAAACTGAACCATTGAAACTTCTTTAAATCAATCGCCATTTCGTTGTGAATAGCAACGTGTTCCATCGCTACGGCAGAAAGATCATGGATCCAGCAGCAATTACATTGATCTCAACGACACGATTAGAAAACCAATCATCCGCCCTCTCGTTCGACTTGAGCCACGAAACTGGGTCATTACAATATCCCCTGATCACATTCTTCATTAATAACACAATTTGTAGTGTACTATATCCTTTCCTAGCAGGGTTAACGGACATGGAGATGTTGGTTCGATGGTTGTTTTTACTCGTGACAGATATTGGTATCATATTTGTTGTTCATTTTCAAACAAACAGCCAAAGGCCTCACAAATTATTACTGCTTTAATCGCTTGTACGGTATGGAAGTCTTCGAAATACCTTACCGCGACGTAATGCAAAGGCGCTCATAAAGCTGTCGGTCCGGACCGTCAACCATTTCGTATGATTTCATGGCCAGTCTTACAGCTTCGTATCAGCAGTAGCAGCTAGCTGGAGCCATTCTCAGCCAGTACTTACGATCGACTACTTGGCCCAATGGCACTATTGCTTTATATCGCTTTGAGACCATTGTTTTTTTTTTGGGGGGGGGGGGGGGGGGGGGGTCTTTTTGCCTGAGTCGACCAAAAAGTCCAAGATGTTGAACTTTATGGGTAGGCAGATGCCAACTAACGTTCACCACAGGCGAAGTAATCATGAGATTGATTGCTTACCAACTTCACGACAAGAATGATGTAGAAATCACAAGTGATGTGGGCTCATAAGGCCCAGTGCCCTAAACTAACAACGATTCGGCCACGTGAAGATGAGCTTGTGTTTATTTACCTACTTACCAATCCTCATCTTTGAATAATGGTTGGTCGAGACTATATATTAGTGCCGGAGGACGGTTGTTTCGGGGGCAACTACCTCGTCTAGATTGCCCTTAGGATCGACGCCATGATGGAGTATCGAAGGATGGAAGGAGAATCGGTTGGCTGACTCTGAAGTTCGGACAACATTGGGTATATGTGCTTGGAAATGTACTAAAAACTAAAAAGACAGCAGATGTAACTGCCGTACGAGGTTGCATTCTCGGGAGCTAAAGCCGAGGCCAATGGTGGAACGATTTCTTCGCAGAAGTTGACAGATAGGGAATAGGCGGATTTGGCAGCGAAACTAAAAAGAAGTATTCATCAGACTATGGGCCACGCCAGTCAACGTTGGCTTGTTTGCGCTTTGACGAACGGCCAGACTAGAAATTTCCAAAGTCCTTCGGCGAAAGTTTTCTTGTAGAACCCCGTTGCACAGGCATGCTATTTCCCTTTTGAAACGATTGCGGCTGGCAATTTCACGTGGCAAAGATCATATCCACGAAAGAGAGTCATCGAGTTGTTTTCAGCAAGTCTCGGAGCGCAACATTTACTGTTTTACCTATTGAAATGCATAATTAAGCATTGTTTATAACACAGGTTCTGAAGCTCAAGACACGTATGCGATTTTCTTCATCATTCTCTGCAGTAAGTTTCGCTGCCAGTAATATGTTCAGATCTTACGATGCCTTCTGTTATTGTGGGACCGTAGGGTTTGTAGTATACGAGTCATCAAATAGTTCCACAGTCTTTGTTCCTGACTTGATCTTGGCGCCAGCCCAGGCGATCGGAGCAACTCGCTAATCGTGCACTGTCGCCAGCGTTACATTACAGGTAATAAGCTGATCTTTCATCGAATGTTGTCATGTTTCGGCGAGATCAATGGCAATGCAAAGAATGAAACTGTTTCTATATTTTATCAATTCTGTCCCATTACCCGGGGAAGATCCGCAACAGGATGGCGACATGGTGTTTGACACGCTCGGATCGGATATAGCCTGATGTTGTCAGCGTCAGGTCAACTACTAGTAGCATCCCCCTTGCATCGGAATGTCTTTACCGACGCAGCATGGTAATGGCATGTTCAGGTCTGCAGTAATCCCTACACTACAAGCTGAGGTTGGTGTATAATTGGAGAAGAGAGCATAAAGATGAGCATATGGTTTTCCATTGCCGCCTCTTCCGACCGTGGAGCTGAAAGATGGAATAAGATAACTCTAATGGCCATGTAGATGAATCGCGTGTGTGTAGTCGGTCCAATTGTTCTTGAAGACCCAGATTTCGATCAAAGATGCCGAGGATGTAGAAAATGGGAACAGCATCCATGGTGGATGGGCAGGCATTATAAAAGCAATGGTCAGTCTCAGGGCTGCGTTACCCCGGCCGCGGAGACGATATGGCGTCGGCCGCAGTGGTTGAAAATCCACTGGGGCTTCGGCGATAAAAAGTCCAGCCCTTCAAGGATGAAAGTCTTCGAAGCTCCGAGTTCAGCTCGACGATGGGATGCCCACCGTTGAGGTTTCGCCACTACCACGCTGTTGATTCCCAGTCGCTATCAATCTGTGACCACGGGTGTCCATTGCCCAGGATTCCGAAGCAACGAGACTCTCAGAGCTAAACCCATATAGTCCATGTGGATATAGACTTATAACCCCCCATTCGTCGATGTGAACCATGGATGCCCGGTCCGGGGAAACTGTTTCGACACACACTGATGCATTCATGTTCTAGTGTGGTGTATCGTACACGTGTAAATGTCTCCTTTAATAAGTGCACACTAGATATGACTGTTATTGATTTTGCTCAAGCACTGGCTTACTTTGTTTGTAGGCCCAGACTAAGAGTCCCGTTTTGGCTTTGTGTGGCTGGCGCCGGCGAGACGTCATCTCATTACTGAAGACTAGAAGCCCTAGAACAACGCCTATCCCAGCCGTTGATGGCTAAGAACCTCATTAGTCTTGCCCATCCGCATATTGAGCATTGGCTGCTTAAGGAGGTGGGAGAGCACAGATTTTTATTTCGTATTCGCACGGGATAGGTGCCAAACGTGGTTTTGGAGAACAATGGATTTTTCCGCTTCAATCCACGGCAGAACAAAAGTCAAACTCAAATGTGCTCGGATAAGAACAAAATCCCTTGTCTTGATTACGGAAGTGGTCTCGGCCACCCTTGCCAGCCACGTTTTTGGTTCATGCAGCAGCCGTCAAGGGGCCGAGGGGGCCTGTGTCGATCTTGCTGGGAGCACGATCTGAAGATCTGAAGCTGCCCTGGCTGCCCCCTCAACGACCATACTATGGGCCACCTACTTCGGGCTGTCGGGAGAGGGGAGGCACTTGGGGAGATGGCCCAGGACTTCAATGGTCTAACGCCAACTAGCCTCTTGCTCCGCGCCGGTCCAGATCCTAAGAGCAGCGAGCAGTGAGCACAATTCTCAAACCGGGGTCCTTTTTATAGACTTGTGCAAGTGCAAGATCTGTGGAAGCAAGCTCAACAAGGATATCCCAGCTGTAAGGCTTCTGACCCGCAGCTTGCGAGACTTCAGGACAGCCAGCTTTGGGATTCCCACAGGACAGGACCACCACAGGGTTCCCATTGCCAGGAGCAAGCCCGTTCCCCATTTTCGTAGATCATGGAGTCCAAGTCCACTGCGTTGGGACCAAGTGCTTAAACTCCCTTGTATGGCATGCATGTGCAAGTTTGTTTTTCCTTCTTCCTAGCATCTCTTCTTGTTCTTGACGTTTGTTTATATCGTTGCCGTTGCCTTCTTTTTATCCTCATGCCATTGAGACATATCTCGGTGTCGTCGATATGGGTGTACAAGTGCCGGATGAGGCCCTTGGCACAGTGGTCGGCGTCTTGATCTTTTCGCTTCTCTGCCTAACATGTAGCATCCTTATGATTTGGTTGGTTTGGGTACACCACGAACGAGATTCTTGTAAGTCCAGCTATGCACCTTTTTCGCCCCAGAGCAAAGAGACACCGAGTTACTGACTTGTGCAGTTGTCGCCATGATTGGCTATTTCACCTTTTTGAGCACAATTACGAGCATCATACAACAACTACACACGATGATACTGTGGGACGATGTCAAAACGGTCCAGTGGGAGCATGCTCGAGCCAATATTGGAAGCGTCGAGGTTGCCGTAGCAGGACCATCCGTCGGCCTCGACCTCGTCCTTTTTTACATACGTACGTTACGAGTGACTCAACACGGTACAATTTGTTTGCAGTGCTGACGGGCTCAAAGAATATTTTTCATACAATGTGGAAGCACTACTTACATTATTCTGGGCCGGTGCTCTGGCCCAATCCATTTATGGCTTTGCAGATATAGCTGCTTTCAAGCGTGTCCGTCGGAGGGCAAATGGAATTGCCAAATTGTTTGCAGTCGTTATGCCTGCTACCCTAATAAGCCTCCTTCAGCTGCCCTCGGTACGCAGCAGCTTTACAGGCTTCTTGGTCGTAGCCAACATCAATAGTCAGTGAACAGTCTATAATCACCATGGAAATATATTCCTCGGCTTGTAACTAACAGACTGCACAGTGATTCTCAGCCTCACCCTTGGAGCTCTGCTTTTATTAGCCATCCTGATTAAATACATCCATACAAGACGACAATTCTTGTCTTGGAACGTACAATATGGCAATTCGACAAAATCAAGCCAAGGTCGACGAAGGGCAGCATCGAACCGACAATCGGTCATCAGCGAGCGCCCCCGCAGCATCTACGACCAGTGGCTCATGACCCGATTCGCCATAACCTTTATTATGCTCAGCATCTTTGAGCTCTTCCTCATCATGTTCCAGGTGTCATCGGCCAGAACCACCATCCCAGCCGACGCCCCCGACCTGAGCGCCGACAAGGCCAAGTCCGACTTTGTCCTCTTCATGCCCGGCTGTCTGCCCGGCGTCTTGCTGTTTGTCGTCTTTGGCACCACGACGCCGTTTCGCGACCACATGCGCAAGACGTTTCTGCCCAAGCGGTTCCAGAATAAAATGACCACTCCCACAGACGCGGGGGCCGATCAAGTCGCCCTCGCCACGTACTCGAGCCAGAATGGCAAGTCGCTGCGGCCGAGCATCATGACGGACGATGGTCCTCTGACGCCGACGGATGCAACGACCATTATCCAGCTGCGCGAGGTGGAACTGCATCGAAACTCCACCCGCAAAGACGACGATGACGAGTGGCCAATCTTGGCAACGACCACGCGGGTGAACAACAATGTCGTCTGATTGACATGTCTTTATCTCTTTCTTCTTGTCGTTGAAACCTTTTTTTTTCTCCCTTGGTTATGTTTTCAGCGAGCTTGTATGTTATTACGTCCGAGCGCTTATGATCGATGCGCTCAACTTTCAATTTGCTGGAAGATCTAGATTTGGGCACCGTGTGCAAATTCAATTTTCAGGGTTATTAGACAACACGGCATGGAATGGTTTTCGAATGGCACATGGGTTTCCGAGGGCGGATATATGGAGCGGCAGATTGGCGGAAAATGCCATCACGGGGGCCCATCACCACAATCTCGGAACACGGGATTTGATTGATAGACACATTTCTTTTGTTGCTAAAAAGCAGAGCGATACCCAGAGTTTGAGATGTAGATTTCATGATAAAGACAATATTTTACTCCTTTGACAGTTCTTTGCAGCACTTTGAAGCAGTTCATGACCGTACATTACCGGGACATGTTCCGTCTCGAGCCATGGGAGAAATAATTGAACCATGGCCCCAATGAAAGCAAGTTCTACAGCAGCAACCAAAACGCTCCTCGAATGAAGAACCACCAGCAGTTTGTTGATCAATCGGCAATGCAAAAAAAATAACAGCCAGTAATGGTTGAAGAGAGAGCTGGAATCGGAATATGCAAATCGTAAATGTGGATATGATTTTCTGATTGAATCATTACATTATCATTGTTTCTACAGCGCTGCAGACTCTGTGCTGCATGATTCCCATGATTTCATTCCGCCGCTTGGCCAGTATCAGAATAGAGCCCCGAGACTAGTGTGCAAGGTCGGCGACTTGGGCAGCGCAGCAGCACAGGATCTCCGCTAGTAAAAACGCCACGAAACGATTGCCCCTTGGGCCGGGTGCCCATTTCCACCCCGAAGAAAAGAGGCTGATTTCTACAGCTACCGGTGAACCGGTGAGAAAGCTTCTCAAATTGATTAGCTGAACGTGCGGCGAGAGCCGTTGCCGTGGCGCTCGCTCTCCTTGCAGTAGTAGGAATCCGGGGTTTGCAGTGTTGCCAGGCACGACTAGCCAGAGTGGAAAGACACCATTGCCATTTTGACATTTTAAATCGTGGTAGCTTTGACTTGTCTAATTGGATAGTTTTGTTGCTTGGTAATTGGCTCCCTCCGCGCAGAGCCTATGATCGCCGGGCTAGAGGCAATTCCCGACTCCGAACAGAACCTTTCCGCCATAGTCCAAGACCTGGCCCGGCATGACACTGTTGGCCATGGCCAGACCAGGCCATAGACAACCAGGGCATGTTATTCATGTACTATTAAATCCAATATTGAATTGAACCTTGAAGATTCAATAATGGATGCCACATAGGGCGTGCTGAGAAATCAGAATGGAACGACTTATCTGTGCTCAGGTGTTCTATATTTCTATCCGAGATGAACCCAGGGCTGTCTCGTCAGCCTATTCAATACCCATGGTACACGTCTGGACTTGCAGGAGTGTTCTGATGTGTGACAACTGCACATGCTCCTCAATGTAGATGGAGTTGATGCGCCACATTCCATCAAGTCAATAATAATAATACAGAGAATCGGTTTGTCGTGATTCTTTTCGTGCGGCTTAGGATTTTATGCCAAACATTCTGTTCAGCCACTCGCCCCCAGCACCCTCAGTGTACTGGCGCCAATCCTGTATTGTATGGATATGGGCACCGTTCAAGGCGTTTGTCGGAGACATGTCAGTGATCCCGCCTGAGAGAATTTCGCCATGACGGGCATCGATGAGAACCTCAAACTGGTACATCACGTCAGATATGATTGTGTTTGGTGTAATCTATACAAACTTACTGGTTTGGGAATCTCATCCGGCAAAGCAGGTTTTATCCTCTCATCCTCGGCATTGGAATGTGTTGAGAAGAGGAACCGAGGTGTTTGTTCATATGTCCACTTGTCATCCTACAATTGTGTCAGCCCTGAAGAGGTCAGTAAAGGCGAGATGTGGTCGATCTCACAATAATTTCTTTGAAACCCTTCTGTATGATTTGATTCTGGAATGCTTCATTCTCGTCAATGAACTCGGCATCGGCGTTTCCATACATGCTGCCAAACTCGGCGACGACAGCCTCCTCAAAGTCAGACGTCTCCAGCTCGACATTTCTGATCTTGGATCGCACGCTCTCCACGCCGCGTGCCATTATGTACGGCGCTGCGGGTGACCGAAGGTACTGGCCGATGTTTGGTAAATTTGGTGATGAGAGAAGACATGTCCCGTGGTGCAGTGAGCGCAGTCTCGTGAGTTTGTACGCCGAGCCAGAGATCTTGTATGTCTCGGAACCGGATGAGCCATCGACGTCGAGGACTATATCATGTCGCTCATTGACGCGGGCCGTCTCCACGCCCAGGCTTCGTAGAGCTCGTACTACCATCTCGGCATGTCTGTCGCGGTCAAACACCTCTGGTGGGCAGATGACGCTGTAGTTGACGTTTCCCTCATCGTGGAAGACTGTGCCCCCTCCAGACCGTCGTCTCACTAGGAGAACATCAGAAGACTCTCCTGGGGATGTCTTGTCTGTCCATTGCTCGAGCTCTCTTTTAAAAGACCCTGGAGAATTTACCAAGCCCAGATTGACCTCAAGCCATGGATTTTGATTTCGACCGATGACGACACAGGGTCGGTTGGTGTAGAGAAATAGTACAGTCGACTCTGGAGCGGACTTTTGCAGGAGGAAATGCTCAATGGAAAGATTCAACCACGGATCTCGACTCTTTGAGATGTAGACCTGGACCTTGTTGGACGGTTGGGATACGCCTTCTGAAAAGAACCGGACACCGGGCAACTTGGGCAACCGAGTGCAACTTCTCATGAATAATCGGCTCATCGAGTCCAGCTTCCGATCCTCCAGCAGGAAAGCTCTTGAAATCAAATCTGTGTCTCACATGAACAAGGCTGAAGGATCGAGGTTGAAATGTTGTGTAGCCTTGCATTCTTCCCCAGTCTGTCCAGGTCAGAAATAGTAAGCTCCACCCACCACCACTTAATAAACATGTAGCGGAACCACCCGACAGGACAGACATGGCGGCTGGCTCTCGCTGCGGAACGAGACCGTTTCCAAATTGTTACCCCTCCATTGGCGTCTCTGCTGTACCTCTGTACCTCCTGCTCAAGCGAGGCCGACTCGCGGAGTTTTGAATGTGTCTAATTGTTGATGACGATTGCTGCAGAAACCCCGGCGTATAACTCTGCCGTTGTGCTCTTCTCCTTGGAAAGACGTGATCGCTTGAAAACCTAGAAGTTACCTTGTTCAGGCTTATTCAAGACGCTTCATATAGCCTCAAGCAGCACGCCCATGTATACGGCTGAGATATTTTCAGTCAGTCCAGACCTGGTGCAATGATCGATTTACGCTGCTTACAGGGAGAACCCGCGAGTGCAGGGGAGGTGGTAATAAAGAAACTCCATGAGGATTCGAAGCTGAGCATGACATGTACGCGACACCAGCAACTGCCCTACAGCCAAGTAAGCAGACTCTGACTATTCGAGTCAAGAAGAGCAACCATTCAATTGGGTTCTGGTACCTTGCATTGTAAAAGTGCTCCAAAACGATAAAATCAAGTCACTGGAAGGAGTCTTACGATTACAGTGGTACATGGCCTGTTTTAGCGGACTGCACCAATCAAGGCCCAACCATGCCAGCAGTAGTAAACCCTGCACCCAAAGAGAAAAAAAAAATTACTCCGGATCTTGCTTAGAAGAAGCCTTCGATCTTTTTGAGTCACCGACGTCGGGCTTATTACACGTAGAAAGCAAGGGAAAAAAGATAGAGTGTGTGTGCCCAAAGCCGCGACCGAGTCAACACCAGGAATTCGCAGAACTTTTACTTCTTAATTCCTCTTCCTGAACTTCGCATATACGGATTCTACACTGCAGCTGCATTATTTTTTCTGTTTTGCGCTCCAATCATGTCCACATTCGGCAACCACTTCAGGGTCACCACGTATGCGCAGCCCCCAAAAACTACCCCTCCAAAATATATCTGCTTGCTGCGAAATGTCCCATATACTGACAGTATCTCCTTCCGTGCAGCTATGGTGAATCCCACTGCCGCTCCGTCGGCTGCATCATTGATGGCTGCCCACCGGGTATGGAGCTCACAGAGGCCGACATCCAGCCCCAGATGACCAGAAGACGGCCGGGCCAGTCCGCCATCACGACCCCGAGAAACGAAAAGGACCGCGTGCAGATCCAGTCCGGTACCGAGTTCGGAGTCACCCTGGGCACTCCCATCGGCCTCATGGTCATGAACGAGGACCAGCGCCCCAAGGACTACGGCAACAAGACCATGGACCTCTACCCCAGACCCAGCCATGCCGACTGGACCTACCTCGAAAAATACGGCGTCAAGGCCAGCAGCGGTGGTGGCAGAAGTTCTGCCCGTGAGACCATTGGCCGTGTCGCTGCCGGCGCTGTGGCCGAGAAGTACTTGAAGATTGCCCACGGCATCGAGATCACTGCCTTTACGACATCCGTCGGCCCCGTCCACATGTTCCCTCCCACCGCTGAGGCGCCCACCCCCAGCCAGAACCCCGAGTTTCTCAAGCTCATCGAGACCATTGACCGCGAGACCGTCGACAAGTTCCTGCCGGTGCGATGCCCCAACGAGGACGCCACGAGGAGGATGGAGGAGTGCGTTGCCGACTTTAGAGACAAGGAAGACAGCATTGGCGGAACCGTGACCTGCGTCATCCGCAACGTCCCCAGCGGCCTGGGCGAGCCTTGCTTCGACAAGCTCGAGGCCAGCCTGGCGCACGCCATGCTCAGCATCCCCGCCACCAAGGGTTTCGAGTTTGGCTCCGGCTTTGGCGGCTGCGAGATCCCCGGATCCCTCCACAACGACCCCTTCATCCGCGCCCCCGAGTCTGCAGTCAAGGCTGGTCTGCCGCGATCCAAGCTCGCCACCAAGACCAACAACTCGGGTGGTGTCCAGGGCGGTATCACCAACGGTGCCCCCATCTACTTCCGCGTCGCCTTCAAGCCCGCGGCCACTATTGGCCAGTCGCAGACCACCGCCACCTACGACGGAGAGGGGGAGGGTATTCTCGCCGCCAAGGGCCGACACGACCCTTGTGTGGTGCCCCGCGCCATTCCCATCGTGGAGGCTATGTCGGCGCTGGTGATCATGGATACGCTGATGGCACAGATGGCTCGCATTGGCGCAAGAAGCCATCTTCCCCCGTTGAGCTCAACTGTGCCTCCTTCTAGTAATGGCGTCTCGAGTGGATTGTAAAAAAGCGATTTTGTCTGTTTAGATAGCTGCCAATGAAGAAAAAGTTAGAACACACTTCCAAGTTGATTTTGAAAGAAAGAAAAAGATTCCTCGCGATCCGAATATTCGTCGTCTTGCTTCTCTAGATGACATTCTACTTGGCTGGAGATGACTTGAAAGCGTACAACCGGCCAAAAACTCCCTAAAAAGGCGAAGCTGAACATGCCGAGAAATCATGAATAACGATGACGATGGTCGTGAGTTGAAAAGTATCTGTGGAACTTCAATTACGATACGATCAGTTAGATATCACACTTGCCTTTTTGTTTCTCTTTTTCCTTTTCCCTCCACTGTTATCAGTCACCACATATCGTCACCAAGTTCAGTGTAATCATTCCAAATTGGCGAACAAGATCTCATTGTTCATTTTCTGTATCCGTATCTGTATCTGCATCTCAAAAGCATCCTGCCTCGCTGCGCTTCCCTGTCAATCTGTGATGCTCATCGGTGATGCATCGGGTATCGCTATAGTGAAGGAAGAAGAAGAAGAAAAAAACCCTGGAACTTTTCTTCAGTTTCCTAGAAACCATTCCTAGAAACCATTCCTAGAAACCATTCCTGAAAATGCCAGCCTCTTTGTGAAACCATTCCTTGCTCTCTTGTTCAGATTGAGAGAAGGTTGCTTATATCTCGGGCTGGCCAGTTGCCCGCATCATGGTATTATATTCGGCAACCGTGCACGACATATTGCTGGCATTTGCGTTCTCGCTCTCCCAGTCCTTCATGCACAAAAACAGCCTGACCATGCCTTGCATGGCTGGGGTTCTACTCGACAAGACATGAGTTAGTAAACACTTGAGAAAGGGAAGACAAAGTTTTGTCGTGAGGAGAAGATTAGAAGAAGGGGTAAAATTTGAGTGAAGTGAATTCAGACTTGAGAGGAGGGGGAAGGAATAGTTTCGAAATACTGACCTGTGACGCATATCGCGGATAAAGGCAGCGCGAGTCTGCATCTGAAAGCCTTGCTGTTGGGACATGACATTGAGACAGTCCCAGAAAATCTCTCGGGTGACCCTGAGGTGCTCGCGAATCATGACGGACTTGTCCTGCTGCCAGACCATCTCGGCATTGTCGTGCTCAAATTGAATGTTGTTGGCGAACTCATGGGGGAGCATGGGGATAGGCCATGCAGATCGGAGAGGTGATAGGGTATTAATGAATAGGGTCCATAGCTGTCGGTCGCCAATGGGTAGGAAGAACTCCATACCTACACGACGGTATGGCTGCCGAGTACGGCTGAGGAGATCGACACGAGTCTGTCTGAACGTCTTCAGGGGCATGCGAATGTAATTACGCAAGGGACCATTGACTATAATATTCAACATTAGTAACAGCTTTTATCATGGTAGCAGTAGATACTACTTACCAAATGCCTCGAATGCCTGAACGTTGAGGCTGATCTCAACAATCGGCTTGTTGTGAATGGGTTGAATGATGACATTCAAAGTCTGCAGTTGCTCAAAGGTTGTGCCAGCCAGCATAACCTCAGCAAGGAGACCAGAGTCTTCAGGGTCTCTAGGCACAAGTGCCTCTTCATAGACCATGACGGTCTTTGCGGCCCGCAAAATCGTCTTGGTGTTATCTGGGTATGTGTCGGGAGCTCTGTCGGTAAGGAAGACAACATCTCCAGACGGGTAAACGACAGTTGTCACGGCTCCAAAAGCATTGCTGTTGCCACCGGGAATAGCAGACTGGACTTGTGCCACGACGAGGTGGCGAATCGTCTCAGCACGCCACTGCTTGCTAACAGCGGCCGAGGCTGGCATGCTAGCCAGGACATTTGCTCCATTCTCGCTAACGTGCTGGACACGGCGTCCAGCACTGACGTAATGATTGTCAACGCTCATTTCAATGATCTTGCTGCGGAGCTCGGCAGGAAGATCATTGAAAGGGAAAGTAGTGGCTACAACATCCTTGGCTGTCTCCTCCTCCTTGGCCAACGTGAGCCCAGTGATGGGCTCAGCGGCCTTGAAGTCGTTGCTCATGATGTATTCTTGAGCTTCTTGGCAAGTCTCAAGAACGTGACTGGTATTGGTATGGGCAGCAAGAACCTCAACGTTGGCACAGAGGTCAAGAACCGTCAGGCTCTTCGGGAGATGGGTTCGCGTGATGGGGGGTTCCATATCGACCATTGCTCGGACCAGCGAGGACATGGTGTCCATAGACTGGACAGGGAAAGATGCCATTATGGCTGGCACGGCAAAGTCGTGATGGGTAGTGTGATATGTGAAGAGCGTGAATATGGGTGGGTGGGTGGAATGGTGGAATGGTGGAATGGTAGAATGGTAGAAGGTTGTGATGACGATGATGAGTATGTTGTCCTCGGTCAAGTCTACTGCCAGAGAGAAACAAGTAACTGGGTGGGATGTAGGAAGGAGGAAAGAGTCTAGAGGTGGGAAAAGCACCTGCTTTAATAGTTGTGGGAGAAAGGAAAAGGTGGGATGATTGGCAGTCTGTTTGGCTGTCAGGTGGATTTGATTCTTCTCTGTCAGTGTAAGGGGAATCTGATTATTCTCTGCAGGTTCGATTATTCTTTGCAACGAAGATTGTCGGTAAGGGAGCCGATTATGTGCAGTTCTGGAACTTGGTGAGGGAGTCGATTATTGTTTGCAGTCTGGATTCTTGGTTGCAGATTAGATTCTTGTCGAGGGAGCTGATTCTTGTTTGCAGCTTAACCTCTGGCCAGGGGATCAGGTTCTTGTTTGTAGAATAATTTCTCACCAGTGGGATTAATTCTTGCCAGTAAATCGAATTGTTGCAGTGTGGTTGGATTTGTTTTCGTGGTCTTGATCCTCTTCCAGAGCTTTGAATTTGGTCTGCGGATCGGATCCTTTCCAGTAAATTCGATTTTTGTGTGCCAGTCGACAGTATAGACTGCCAGTCGAAAGTATAGGATTGCAGTAGGACAGGTTTACAATGGCTTGGAGTAGATTTTCGCCCTTTGGCCCTATTTTCGTCCCAACAGGTCTGTACCTAAGATCTGTTATACTATCTCTAGGGGTGCGCAGTAACCCTATAGACAGATATCAAAGCCTAGTTCCAATGAAAGGCTGTGCTTTGGCAAACAGCGGATGTGAAACAACCCGAAACAAACTGGGTTGATGTGCTGACAAAGACTCAAGTAATGCGTGACAGTCTGGATTATTCCTGTGACGCAAACGTATCTGGTCTGATAAATAGAGCTCCTGCTGGTTCACGGGAATGGAACAGACTGTCACGGGCGGAGTACTTGCTTAGGTCGTTTACAACAAACACTCTGGAAATTGCAGAGTTTTCTGGACAGCAAGGTCAGTAGCTGTGACGAGAGTTGGACGTGGCAAGTACAGATAACGTTACCGTTGCCTAATGTTCTTGAGACTCCAGTTGAGGTTCAGAATGGCAGGTACAGACATCGTCGTCAAGGTTGGGCTGACTATTGGGGATAATGACGACGACGACAGAACCAAGATCCGGATGCTGGTGACGATGATGATAACAATGACCTCAGGGTGCGGATACCAGTGGCAGCTACGAGAACGACGACTTTGGGTTGGAACATTGGTGGCAATAATGGCGACGATGAAGGTAACTTGAGGATGTGGGTGTTGGCGACGACGACGACGACGATCATGATAGCTACCTTGAGATTTGAATATTGATGTTGGCGACGATGAGTTCAAGATTTGATGGTTGTGTGAAAGTCATTTGTTAGTGTGACTTAGGGGGACTTCACATGAGAGTCGAGAGTGGCACAGTAGGAGTAAGCAGAATTACCTTCAACATAGCTGGGGTAGGTTGTAGATAAGTTATTGTCACAGAATCCGAGTGCGATTACCCGGAGCGCAAGCCCTTTGTGATTGACACAGGATCTTTTGGTAATGACTGTATATGAATGAATGAAGCTACATGGATTGCAGCTTTGACAATGGATAGGTTACTGGCGTGAAAGGACCACATAGGGTTACCTGGAGAGTGCGCCCTTGATGATTGATCTCTAGGTGAAGAGTGAAGATACGGCATGATTAGAGTTACATGAAATACAGCTTTGATATTAAATCGATCGTCGGCGTAAGAGACCGAATGAGATTACCACCCAGAGCCAGGACCACTTGTGAGAAATTAGCAACCCACAGACGAGTATAAACAAGCTTGCCCGAACATATGATGTACTATATGGTCGGCGCCGAAATATAAAAAAAATATATCTCGCTTAAGACAGATCATATACGCCGAAGACTATGCTTGGTCCGAGCTATTCGACTTCACAGCCTGGCGTTAATAAGAGAAGCACCCAGGAATACCCAGACTTAATAATGGCTGGCTGTGTGGCTCTGCCACTTAACGAGATCCAATTGAGTTACGCCATTGCGCACGTTATGGCTCTATTCCATATATTCTGGTTATATGGTAGCCCAATCTCCATAAAAAGGGGCCATTTGAAGTCTTGAGTATTACATCAGAGTCAAGATTATAAGGATTGACGTAATGAAAGAAAGGGCAAATCATGGTCTGTTGCTTGGAGACCACATATTGCTTAAACTATCTAATGGTTTTTTCATCAAGCTTGGGGTATACTCCTTATATCATATCGCTGTTATCATTATGCACTGCTCTTGCCTTGTACCTCACAATCAAGTCATTTGAACAATATTGTGTCGGTTGTCACAGTAGTAGAAGCACGCGGAGTATGAATTGATCCAGATGGCAAAAGTCCACAGGACACGTCTCCGAGTCTGCTGGCAAGATGAAGGTGATCCGGATTGTCTTATACAAGCTATAAGCATTGCCTACTTGAAACACCACATTCTGTTGCAGGTATTGCGTGGTTATGCAGTCGTGAACAGAGTTTTGATTAGAAGTCAGTTCCGGGACCGCGACAGATACACCAGCTAATGACACTAAACTGATCCCAGAAATGCATGTAGTAAATATTAGTATATCATTCTGATGTAAAGGGAGTGAGCCAAGTGAGCATTCAAAGGTCATGCCATCCACTATGTACTTCTTCGGGGTGGGTAATTGTGGGGTCTGTGTGAGAGTTATGGGACTGCATAACACGGGGATCAATTATTGATACTTCTTGTCTTTGTTGAACATCATGTAGAGATTGGAGTACAACTTCCCCGCCAATTTGGTGGGCGACGGCAGTGCGTGTGCATCTGTAGATGACTGGCCATGGTGGTATGCCTAGGTCCAAGATAATCTTGGTATTCCGAGGACGAGGCCTTGAGTGCGCATTTATAGCGTTGCACCGCCATCCGCCAACCGAGGCCGGAATCTTTTTGAGGCGTGACAAGGATCTCAACAACACTGAGGTCCTGAGTGGTTCGAGTACCTGGCACCTCTAGCTTACCTAGCTACATACCTACCAACTAGCCCGCCACATGCATCTCTGTATGTGCAGGTACGTACTTTGTACATCATGTGGGCCCTCCATTTCGACTGAAAGTCTAACAAGCTGCATGTGCCGCTACGTACTAAACACATCGCCATCCAGTCCAAGAAATCAAATCCAAGCCTCAACGACGACGCATTCACTCACTTGCTACCTGCCACACCAGCAGCGATCATCTGACTTGGCCACGGATGTTGTCGTAGCCCCCCTCCTATGATGGCCTACGTTTAATCAATTGGCATCCCTCGTTATTTCTTCGCATTCATTAATACTTCTTCCACCTGCTGCCGCATCTACACTACCTACCCGTCTACCCGTCCACGAATGCGACCATCGGTCCCGTAATCGCGATCCGACCCCAGACCAAAGTCGCGAAGAAAACACCATCAGTCTCCTACGAGACAACCTGCAGCTCTTCACCTACAAATAATGTCTTCTGGAACGTACACGTCGCAGCTGAGCAAATGGCTCCTCACTTCGCCGCCCATAGAATGGGCCTTGAAGAATGCGAGAGAGCTGCTCATTGGCACCTTGCGCCAGGGTCCCATACCGCAACATGTCGCCTTTGAGATGGACGGCAACCGTCGATTTGCTCAGAACCATCATATTGAAGCTATCGAGGGCCACAACCTGGGCTTTGAAGCACTGGCTCGTGTTCTCGAGATCTGCTACAAGTGCGGCGTCAAGGTCGTGACTGTCTACGCCTTTAGTATCGAGAATTTTAATAGACCCAAGTCAGAGGTTGGAGGGCTCATGAAAATGGCCAAGATCAAGTTGGAGCAATTGTGTCAACACGGTGCTCTGCTCGATCGCTACGGAGCTTGTATCCGTGTACTGGGAGAGAGAGACTTGATCCCAGCCGACGTCTTGCCGTTTGTTGACAGAGCTGTTGAAATGACCAAGCACAACAAGAAGTCCGTGTCCTCTCCTCGATATGCCTTGCCCCATGTTTTCTCATATCAAGCTAATCATGGCTGCAGTGCTGTTCTCAATATCTGTTTCCCTTACACATCGAGGGCTGAAATGACGGCCGCAGTAAAGGCCACCGTAGAAGAATTCTCTGCGCCGCCAAACCCACCACAGACCCCTTTCTCGGAAGCAAGAATCACACAAGCGATCAAATCGAACCAACTCAAGCATTCCGATTCTCAACCCTCGCGGGAAGGATCGCCAGACCTGAACGGCAAGTCAGATGTGGATGACTCGGTCTCGACGGATACCACCCTGAACCCTGACTCTCCACACCACGAGACGCAAGACTCGACACACAAGCCAGCAGAGTTCAAAGATAAGGAGACCATCACGGCCGAGACGTTGAGCAGTCACATGTACACTGGCGATTGCCCACCACTTGACATTTTTGTCCGTACCAGCGGAGTGATGCGACTTAGTGACTTTATGCTGTGGCAATGCCACGAAGATACTCACATCTTTTTCTTGAAGTGTTTCTGGCCCGAGTTTGATCTGTGGCATTTTGTTCCCGTCCTGCTGGAATGGCAATGGCGGCAAAAGCAGATGGGCCGGGAAGGGCGGCTTGGTAGGCGAGTCAAGACCGAATGAGCGATTCTGGCGAGGCCGTTCTGTCAATGACAAGTCGAGAAGAAAAGACTAAAAGGAAAAGGGGGCATCGAGTTCGTAAACTTGCACAGATGTAGAAGATACCACTCATAGAATTTGTCACATCAGGCTATGCATACATGGTCTGTGTTATTCAGCAGGCGTTCAGGAAATCTAGACAAACAAGTTTTGATACATAACATGATTCCTCACTTGGGATTGGCTCTTCAGGAGTCGCGCGTGGCGTATAATGAACACACCTCCGACTTGAAAAAATGGCAGGCATGGTGATGAGCTACAACGTTGTGCTTGCTCATGGGAACTGCAGGCTCGAATAGTTTGATCATGAAGTCGGTGGTTTCGTAGGGGAGATCGACGTGACCAGGAAAGATCCGGCCATAGAGTTGAGGGTCGAGTCAATGGCCCCTTGGTGACAGGCAGCTCATCACATCGAATCAGTCAAGCTTTGGCATTGCCCATATCTATCTTCTATAAAGCTGCATGGATTTGCTAGCATATCTTCGAGGCACGATCGGCGCTGTGCCTTCAACCGACTGAGTCTTGTGCCCTGGGACCTGGCTGACTATCGCATGCACACTTCATGTCTAGCTCACCCGCCCTATATTCAGGTCCGAGGCGACACAGCGACATATGCGGGTCTCAAGAAGATATCGGCGGCGGAAGTCCTTAGTCTGCGATTATCCAGTGTTTTATAACGTCATTCTGGAAAGCCTGGCTCGTTCTCGCTTCATTAGACAGTCCTGACGCTCGTTCACATCGCGCGAGTCAATCGCAACCATTTTCAGGCACAGCTTAAAATATTGATGTGCTTCGAAAAGTTGGATCGAATAAGATACATTTTCTTATAATGCTCGAGAATAGTGTTGAAGAGTAGCAATGTTGTACAGTTTATAGTGTAGATGTGGGGATATGCGCAAGGTCACGTGATTGCCAGCCAGTCTCAGTGATTAGATATGGCGCCGAAGCTCGATCCCATGGTTGATTAGATTGAGCCGTGGGTGGGCGCTAGTCCAAACTGACCTAGAAAGAACGGGAGTTCGATAAACACCCTACGTACAACCTTGCCCACCTGCTTTGCCTACCTACCTACTTACCTACCTTCCTGCCGACCACTGCATATTTCCCCCATGTGATTCAAATTTCACCAATTCTCGCGTTCTCGAGCATCGCAAAATGTCTTAGTATTCGGTTTCAGGAGCTAGTCGTCCATATCCTTCTCGCCTTCTACCGAAAGTATTACAGAAGCAAGACCAACAAGACGATCGTCATACTCGGCGTACAGACCTCAACCACCCGCCTCGAAAACCACTTCTTCTCCCCTCAAACCGCCTCTTCTTGTTTCCAAACCCTCGTTTTCGGAGACGATGAGGACTGCAAAACCTAGTCAGCCAGAGCCCTCGTCTGGCTCCAGCGCGACCATGTCTAGTCGCCGCCAGCCAGCTCGTCAAGCGCGCAGTAACCCCCCACGATCCGCTCTCCTCGCCGGCTCAATCGCCGGTCGAGATGCCCATGGCCACGACCAGCCGATCGACATCTTCCCCGCCATAACACACTTTACCGACGCCATTACCTCATTGCCAAAAGATCTTGTTCGCCATTTCACACTGCTCAAGGAGGTGGATGCCAAGATCTTTCAACCCGAGGAGCGACTCTTCCAGCTGGTATGCGACGCCATCAAGTCGGAGCCGCCCGCACAACGACCGACGACGGACGGCTCTGGCAGCTCTGCGCCTACGCCGGCACCCATGAGCGCTCAGAACAGCGTCAATGGCAGCCTTCCCACCGCCCCCTCAAACGATGCGAGCTACAATGTCGCCGTCTATAGTCGCGATAATGTCCCGCGTCGGCAATTATTCCGTGAGACTGCCTTCAAGATCCAAGAGATGCTTGTGTCCCTCGAGGAGAAAAACCACGTCATATCGACCGCCAACGAGGCGCTCTCCAAGCAACTTGCCCGTATCGACAATGTCTGGCCTCACCTCGAAGGCGAATTCAGTGACGAAGCCAAGTGGGGTAGCAACACACACTGGGCGTACCCAGAAAATAGAATTAAAGCGAGTGCCACGGAGCGATCGCGACGAGACGGCGCATCAGCTATCACTGCCGCCGCCCAACAGCTTGCTGAGGAGGCAGCTGCGAGAACAGAGGCTAGGAAACAGGCCGTGGCAGCTAAGAAGAAGCAACATCAAGACTCGGATGCCGACGCTGATCAGGAGAAGAAGAATGAACCAGCTAAGAAGTCTGGCACGAAGAGCTCGCGCAAGGCTGCCGAGGCTGCTGCTCCGGTTGGTTTAGGCATCACAACAGAGACCAATGGTAACCCACCGCCCAAAAAGCGAAAGGTCGAAAACAAAGACAATAAAGAGAAGCTGGCCAGTAATGGTGGACAGCCGATGGAACGCGCGCTCAGTGGCGTCTTTGGAAGCAGTAGCGGTAATACCAATTCCAACAGTGCAGCCTCTAAAGCGAAGACCTCGAGCCCAAGAGCCACGCCAGCACCAGAAGCGAGTGCGTCCAAGAAGCGCAAGGCTCTGCCTACAGTGAATGGCGGTGCTCAGCCAAAGAAGAAGTAAGTTGCATATTTGTGCCATATCCGCCAGCTCATTTACTAATTGTTACGAGTAGCAAAAACGCACTGCCAGCTGCACTATCACCTTCGGTCACGACGTCTCCCATACTGCCCAACTTCGACCCTAGGACGATCGGCCGTGGCTCACCCGTTCCTCCAGTCCCGGCTGCTCGTCCAACCACTTCACGAGCCCGTAACAACTCGACAGCCTCAAACCTCGCACAGCGTCCATCGTCATCGGCATCGAACAAACCTAATGGGGTTATCCTCCCGGTACCGGAAGTCATGCCAGCACCCAGCGGACGAGTCGTCCCAGAGGTCAAGCCCACGACGAAAGAAACACCAGTACCTGTCAAGATTGAGAGTACACCCAAGGAAGATGTGCCGCAACCTACTGTTCCCTCAGCATCTGTGCAGAGTCGAAGCAGGAAAAATTCGGTAGTGAAGGAAGACACGGAGCCAAAGAACGACATGGCACAAGTGACGCCACAGATGGCTACGCCTCTCGTGACTACTAAGAGTGGACGAGCGAGCAAGCCCTCGACACCGGCTCTGGCTGCTTTCCCCGAAACCGCCAGAACTGCTAGATCATCGAGAAATACGCAGGCTGGCGGCGCAAAACGAAGCCACAAGAAGGGAGCCTCACTCCAGGCAGCACTCGCTGCTGCTGCGCAAGCTGCCGACGACGACGCCAATTCTAGTGGTCAAGGCGATGATGAAGGCGACATTGACGCCAACGAGCCCCGGTATTGTTATTGTAATAATGTTTCATATGGCGAGATGGTCGCTTGTGATGCCGTCGATTGTGAAAAGGAGTGGTTCCATCTCGGCTGTGTTGGCCTGAGATCAGCTCCGAGCTCAAGTAGTAAGTCAAGCCCCCTTGCCTTGTATATACATCGGCCAAGCTTACTGACAATGGCTCCAGCGAAATGGTATTGTGATAATTGCAAGAATCGCATGAAAAATGGCGGGAAGAAAGTAAACGCCCGATAGCGGTTGCCTGCTCGGCCAAGGCAGCCTCGACATGCGAAACGATACCTACATTATTATAGTTTCTGGGCTTAGGAGTTGTTGGTTTTAGCATTTAATGGTGTCGATTGAATTTCTTAATTGGGAGGATATACCACTATAGGCCAGCGTTTGCAAAACAAGGCCTTAACATTTGAGCCAGCATTCGGCTCTCGTCTTGGATATGGTACTGCATTCGGTGTTAATGAACGACCGGTGGTCATGACACGAAATGCTTCATTCGGATGCGCGTCGGGTTTTGCGCGGACATGATACGGATACGCTACAGCATGATGGAAACAGTATTACCCGTACTACATACATGAGCACAATACAAAGACGGCATACATACATACCTTCGTACATACCTCTGCATACTAGTCTTACGCAGCCAGCTCAATGGCTCCTCGGATGCACTGACGAGTTGTCGTCATTTCACGAGACAAGGCTGTGATCAGCAGTACTAATACGTATGTCTGTGTGTGGTGTCGGATGCGTGTCCGGTCTGCTTCCACTTGCCAACCTGGGGTAATCGAAGACACGTCCATGGCCAAAAGCAAACACGTATCCATGCTAGTTCCGAGGAGATGCGGATCCCACAGCTTTCGTGTAACTCTGCAACAGGGAGACACGGTTTCTGAGCCGCAAATAATCAGAGTCATGCACATGGTGTTGGGGTCGGCTTTGGATTGGTCGGGTCTCCAACCAAGCTTTTGCGAGGGTAGGCCGAACGACATATCACCGCAGCATGGCGTATGCCGAGCGTCTCATCTGGTCTCTTTTGAGGGTGGACATTGCGCAGGTCCGCTCATCAGGGCGTGTTACGCAGTACGGTAGGTTGGTAGGTACAGCAACACCTTGAAATTTTCTAGTGTAAGAGAGAGAAAATCCTGCAACGATTGAATAAATGATGCATAATAGTAGTCAGGCCGTCAGGGTTGCCCATGAGCGAAAACGGAACTGGCTGCCAATGCCAAACGCGGAGCAGAGAATTTTATTTTTATGACTCGACGATCAGCTGACGAGCCGCCAGGTTGACAAGGTCAAGCTGGCTAGCTCAGTTACCTGGGGCTATTTAGCAACAATGGGCAAAGAGAAATAAAGAGAAGAAAAGAAAAATTTCAGAAGCGTCTTCGGAGTCCGAACCCCCAGGAGAAAGAACAGGCTTGGAAAGTCTAGCCAGCAAATCCTCGAAATAGGTAGTCCCATCGTCCCCGACGGCCCTTGACCGTTGCGCATCTGCTCGGCTTGGATCGGCCAAGCCTCAAGTTCCTTCTCGGTCAGGCTAAAACGAGATCGAGTATTGGACCCGTGACCCGGGGAGCTAATAAATAGAACTGAAGGCTAGGTGCACAGCTAGGTATACTTGATGCCACGCTGACGAGGCACGTTCCGTCCCCTGAATCAAGTGACCATTTCAGCAACTCGACCATTGTCAGAACTAGAGAGCTTAGAAGCACAATCTCATTTCATGGCTTCTATTTTGTATACAGTATTGGACTAGTAGATTGAGTAGTAAATATAAACAACAAGGGGTTGCGCTTCTTTGTTGCCCCCAAAAAGTACCTACTACACTACAATAGCATGAACCATGGGGTACCGATTAGATTAGATAGGCTTATGTCAACGTCACCCTGAGATGGGAACAAGCGATATCGCAGCGGCTGTGTTCCCAGGTAGAGGATAACGCACTGCAAGAATTGAGCCGAGAACGGCGAGCGCGAGTGGGCTGCTGGATCACTGATAATCTAGAGTGTTGATCTCAGATAAGGAAGCGAGAATAGCAGGGAGCAGATGAAGCCGTCCATGCATTTGGATTCTTTCTCTGACGAGCGAAAACAAAGACGATAGGATCATAACTTCTGATAAGGGAAAATTCCAGAAGAACCCTCTCCTGTACGTACAGTACATTCACCGCCAGCTTGGGGGGATTCTATGGGGCTAAAAAGGTTGACAGGGTCTTTACCCCAGATTTTCTTTCGCCTTACGAGGGGGGAGCCGCTTAAGAAGCATGCCGCTGCAACCCAGTAAACAGGCGCGGCAGGCCGGCGGCGGTTAAGGTACTTTGAGGAATTATGGGAGACAGGCACAAGGTGCAGGTATGCAGGTATGCAGGTCAGGTCAGGTCAGGTCAGGTCAGGTCTGACAGGGCGACCGATGACTTTGACTTTGTCAACCAAGGATACGTATTTCGGACCAGGCTGGACTCCAACATCACCTGGCATGCTGGAAGACAGACAGGCAATAATAGCTAATGTACCTAAAATGTAATTTCCAAGGTTCCCAGGCGACGATCGTTCACAATTTTCCGGCAAGCAGCAAGCATATCGTGATCCATTCTTTCCCATGCTCGCCCGACCCGACCCTCACTAGAAACCACAATTTCTGTCGTCCAGAGTCCACACACACACGTACATCCGACACGCCGACTGACCAACCTCGTCCCTTGCTAGCCGACCGACTGGTTTGAACAAACATGCTAAAAAGCCCGACGGCCAGGGGCCCAGTTTGGGTTCATCGGTCCAGCACTGAGGAGCCTGCAAAGTTATACACGTGTTGTACTATGAAGAATACAATAGCAGTAGCTACGGAATTTACGGAATACGGAATGCAAAGGACCACCTCATCCGCACCGCTGGTCTCGTCATTTTGGAGTCGTGCACATGGCGGCTGGCCCATGGGCTGCCTAGGTATTCTCATTACTCACAGATATCCAACCAGAGCACAAGTCTAGTCTTGGCCACTGGCAATATGGTCGTTGCTGTCACGCTGTCCGCCGGCGCCATGGACGAGTGCTCAGGTGACCAAAGGTGACAAAGAAAAGCGCCAGCCACAAGCTGCTCTCCCTTGTTTTCATTACCCAATCCGTGATCAATGGAATCTGCACAATGCTGCCCCGGAGGCAAAGTTTGCTTGGGCCATGGTGCCGCCCGGCACCTTACTATGACTACAATTAGCTTAAAAAAACCGACAACTACTGGATTGGGGGAGAGCTAGGAAAGCTATATTAATTCAAAAATCTGCATAACGAGCGGGAACCAGCAAATTGCAGCAGCTTGTTGTTCACCATCTCGCCGGCGCTAGCTCCAAACGTTGAGGTCTGCCCTTTTTACGTATTTGCAACCTCGCCCTCGCCCTTATACCGACGCACGGCCAGCCAATGCCCGCAACGCTCAACATAAGTAAGACAATACGACCCGGTTCTCATTCACCAGAAACTCGATTCCTGCGTGTCACAGATTCATAATCCTCGCGTTCGACGGGCCCATCATCTCTCATTCCCCGCATTGCGCCAACTCAAGCTGTTACCTAACAATCCGACATCTTGACTAATAGAAAGCTCATATCCTGGCCCCGTCTGTGCCTGCTCTTCTATCCTACGAGGCCGGGCCACCTTCCTGCCTTTATACGTACTATCCCGGGGGGGAACTCTCGTCTCCAGTTGTTTGATTTTCTGACCCCTACATACGTTATCATTATCAATACATTACCTACATACAATATACTTTGCATATTGTACTGTACCTCACCGGCGAGCCAGACACACACTATTGCCAACCCATCTCCCATTGCGCAAGGACCAGGACTGGACGGACGCGCCCGTACCGCACCGAAGGAAACTCTCTGCCCACCACTGATTGCTCCCTCTGCTCCCTTGTCGCAAAGATCAGCCATGGTCACGACACCGACCTTCTCGCAGTTGGGCCTGGGACCACCAGAGCAATCTCTCGGAGTCCCAGCCGAACTTAAGACCTGCCCTATGCCCCAGGCTATTAATAAGATGTCTGACACACAACAAGAGCAAGAGGAAAGGGAAATTTCTCCTGAAACTTCCGGTCGTTCATCCTTCTCTTCTGTTCGCGAGAACGATTCGGATCTTGCTCAGACCTTTACTAGCACCAAGGTGTCTTCATACTCTCGCGAACCGGAGGAGGACGCCGTGGAGGATTTGCCGTCACCTTTTGACATGGCCACCGTCACCGAGACACAGTTCAGACCACCACTTACGCGGCCAGACAGCAGGTTGCTCGGCAGCTGGCTTCCCGCCGTCGCTGCCGATGGTTTTCAGGGTTGGAAGCAAATCGACGTGAGAGGCAAGCCGGCAAGCAGGAGCTATGGCGATTTGCAAGCCTTGAGAATAGTATGGTCGTCGCCGGACGCTCCCACCAAGGCCAAGCAACCAGTCTTTGGTCAATCAGCCATTGAGACCTTGCCGCTCGAGCTACTCGGTATGTATACCTGGCAGTATAGGCATGATTGTGGAAAGACAAAAGGAAAAGAAGCTAATATGGCGTAGGCACTATTATTGATCATCTCATCCTCGATGTTCCGCCCAATGGACTCACGGCACGAAACGTAGATCTCATGTCGCTGTTGGTTGCGTCCAAGACATTGCATACAGCCACATTGAATGCGCTTTACAGGAACATCACAATTCCTCACTCCAGGATCTTCCGCAAGTTCCTCAACCACATTTCATCCAACCAGGAGCTTGGCACTATTGTGCGGCGGCTGGATTTCAGCCACTTCAACCCGCAAACACTCTTCTTGACAGCAACTGAACGTGCTTCAACTCAGAACCTGACACCTGAGACGCTGCTAAGATGCCTTGAGCTTACACCTTACTTGAGAGAGTTCTTGGCCCAAGAGTACATAGATGATGAGATTGATGTGAGCGTTCTCAAGAAGGTCTTCTTTGGACTCGAGAGGCTGCAAGCTGCGGATTTTACCGGCTGCTCCTCAGCTTCTTTCCGGGACCATATGATCTCGTTGGTGTCCGATGAATTGCCTGTCTCCATCTCCATGTCGCGGCTGTCTTTGCACAAGTGTATTAATTTGCCCGCCGAGGTGTTCTCTACTCTACTTCCAAAGCTGGCCCACTTGACTCATTTGGACGTTGCTGGCACCCGCATCACCGACGAGGCACTGCTATCCATTCCACCCACGGCCAGGCTCTCGCACTTGAACCTTGCCAAGTGCAAGCAGCTCACAGCCGGAGCTGTTATTGATTTCATTGCCCACCATCCCGCTGCCAAGGAGCTCGTATTCCTGAGCTTGGGTGCCGATGCCAGAAGCCATCAGCTTTTGGACTGCGATGACATTACTGCCCTGATCCCCATTCTACCATCTACCCTGCGCTCGCTGAGCCTCAAGGGTAGCAAGATGGAGGAGAAGCATATAGACATGCTTCGACCTCTATCCAAACATCTCGAGGAGCTGGCTCTGGGTCGCAGACTTAAGCTTAGTGACGTTGAGCGCCTGTTCAGACCAGACGAGAACGATGACGACCTGAGCATGGAGATTGATTGGGTGCCACATACCCTCAAGTACATTGACGTTTCTGACTATCTTGGCACAGAGTTGGATCTCAACTCCCTGCTTAACAGAAAAACTTCAATTCTCGAGAAGTACTCGGCACCCCTCGAAGTCGTCGAAATTGGCGACGACGTGTACAAGCGCTTGTCCAAGTCGCCGAGCGTGGAGAAGAGTGGCTGGACAGTCACCGAGTTTGGAAACAGGGCCTGGATGGTACGAAAGCACCAACTCGAGGACGGCCCAAGAGACTCTGGCATGCGCTCCTGGAAATGGGGTGCCTCGTTCTGGGGCATGCGCAAGATTCCCGTCGCCAAACAGGAGGTTGGCGGCATGTACGGCTCTTATATGTTCAAGCGAAAGCTTTGATTTCTCGGCATTGAGTCGGCGTAACAAAATGTTTTTCTTTTTTCGATATACCCACGCCTATGCCTGGCTCCAATCTGGAAAGAAAGAAAACTTAGCCAGAGGCGTTGGCTAGGATCACTCGGTACTCCTCTCGTTGGCATTTTCTGGTTTTATCGTTTCGCAACACCGCCACATGATGCATCGTTTGGGTATGAAAGCGCGGCGCACATGGGAAACGAAAGAAAAGTTTGTAAAACAAAGAAAAAAGGACACGCATAATTCAGCATAAAAGCGTAATGGTAGCATAGGATCGACCTCAGTTAGTATGAATCACGAATGCATGAAACCAAGTACAAGAAACTTGTCTTTTCGAATGCTGCTGTATAATCTGAGTGACTTGGCAATCAACGAAACGTGACTCGAAAGTATAATTCTTATGAGCCAATATACGATTTGTGTATCTAGCGCGAGATCGAAGCGTAGTTCTCACACCTTCGTTGAAATCTGGCTACTTATGGTTGACAACTTGAGAATATGGACTAGAGGATCTGTCACTATTCATGAGGCGCTGACTTGAATGTATAAGAAAACATGTTTGGATAAGTGATGGAATGCTGAAAATGTGGATATGGAAATGCCATGAGCGAGGCCCACCAGGTTGCTGTCGTCGCTCGTGTATTGTTTCCATCGTGACTTCTGAGCGCACGGTGCAATGCCAGAGCTCAAGCAGGCAAGGCGAACTGCTGCCAGGGAGGCGTGGCGCAGCTCCCTCCTGCTGCAGGCTTAATGACGTTTTTGCAGAATCGCTAGTGCTAAATCCATTACTTATGCATCTACGCGCACCAAAAGGTCGGGTAGAGTACTAGCTCCAAAACACCCAGGCAATGACACTCAGGTGCTACGGCCAAGCTTGCAACAACCTCAACATCACCTACGACAACCTGCATCTTGTCAAAACCCGCAGCTTCGGAGCCATATCGCCCATCATGGCTCCAAACCAAACGTCCATGTTCCGCTCGGCGGACATGAGCATGGTCCAGCTGTACATATCGAATGAAATCGGAAGGGAGGTCGTCAACGCCCTGGGAGAGCTTGGATTGGTCCAGTTCCGTGATGTACGTCGGCAACACCACCTCAACAACATCGATCATTTCCGCCAGTCCTTCGGGGATCAGCGACCCGCCGTCACATTTTTGCTTCGAACCCTTCTCGGCTAACAAAACATATAGCTCAACGGCGATGTCAGTGCCTTCCAGCGTACCTTCACCCAAGAGATCCGACGCCTTGATAATGTTGAACGCCAGCTTCGTAAGTCCCATATCACGTCCAGACCACAGCGAATACGCTTCTTACTTTGACAGGCTACTTCCATAGCCAGATGGAAAAGTCCAATATTCCTCTGCGAAAGTTGGATCTCGATGTCGAAAGCCTTGCTTCTCCCACCACGCACGAGATCGACGAGTTGGCTGAGCGCAGTCAGAGCCTGGAGACGCGAGTTGCATCCTTGAACGAGAGCTACGAAACACTGAAGAAGCGTGAAGTCGAGCTGACTGAGTGGCGATGGGTTCTCAAGGAGGCTGGAGGCTTCTTTGACCGCGCTCACGGCAACGTTGAGGAGATTCGACACTCGACCGAGGACGACGATGCCCCCCTTCTGCAGGATGTCGAGCAAAACGGCCAGGCAGCTGATGCTGATCGATCGTTCTCGGGCATGAACATTGGCTTTGTCGCCGGTGTCATCCCTCGTGACCGCGTCGGCCCCTTTGAGCGTATTCTTTGGCGTACGCTTCGTGGCAACTTGTACATGAACCAGTCCGAGATCCCGGAGCCTCTGGTCGACCCCACAACCAACGAGACTGTCAACAAGAATGTCTTTGTCATCTTTGCTCATGGTAAGGAAATTCTTGCCAAGATTCGCAAGATTTCCGAGTCTATGGGGGCCGAGCTCTACAAAGTCGATGAGGACGGCAACGAGCGTCGTGATCAGGTCCACGAGGTCAATGTCAGGTTGAACGATCTCCAGAATGTGTTGAGAAACACCCAGAACACCCTGGAGGCTGAGTTGACTCAGATCGCTCAGTCGCTGTCTGCTTGGATGATCCTCGTCACCAAGGAAAAGGCAGCATACCAGACGCTCAACCTATTCTCTTTTGATAAGCAGCGCAGGACTCTCATTGCTGAAGGCTGGTGCCCTACCAATGACTTGCCTCTCATCCGCTCCACACTTCAAGATGTGACAAACAGAGCAGGTCTCTCTGTTCCATCCATCATTAACGAGATCCGCACAAACAAGACGCCACCAACCTACTTGAAGACGAACAAGTTCACCGAGGCCTTCCAAACCATCATCAACGCCTATGGTACCGCAACGTACCAGGAGGTCAACCCTGCCTTGCCTGCTATTGTTACTTTCCCTTTCCTCTTCGCTGTCATGTTTGGTGACTTTGGTCACGCCGTCATCATGTTCCTCGCCTCCCTGGCCATGATCTACTGGGAGAAGCCCCTCAAGAAGGTCACGTTCGAATTGTTCGCCATGGTCTACTATGGTCGATACATTGCCTTGGTCATGTCTATCTTCTCGCTCTATACCGGTCTCATCTACAACGATGTCTTTTCCAAGTCCTTGACTCTTTTCGATAGTGCTTGGAAGTGGAACGTCCCTGATGACTGGAAGGAAGGCCAGACCCTTGATGCTCAGCTCGTGAGCGACTACCGCTACCCGTTCGGTATCGATTGGAGATGGCACGGAGCCGAGAACGATCTTCTCTTCAGCAACAGTTACAAGATGAAGATGAGTATCATCCTTGGTTGGTTCCACATGACTTACTCCTTGTGTCTTTCCTACTTCAACGCTCGTCACTTCAAGAAACCGATCGATATCTGGGGCAACTTTGTTCCTGGAATGATCTTCTTCCAGTCCATCTTTGGCTACCTGGTCATATGCATCATCTATAAATGGTCGATTGACTGGTCCAAGGCTGACTCTTCGCCTCCGGGTCTGCTCAACATGTTGATTTACATGTTCCTGCGACCAGGTTTCGTTGACGAGCAGCTGTATCCCGGACAAGGCACTGTACAAGTCATTCTTCTCTTACTCGCCTTCGTCCAGGTCCCTATTCTTTTGTTCCTGAAGCCATTCTATCTTCGCTGGGAGCACAATCAGGCGCGCGCCAAGGGCTATCGCGGTATTGGCGAACACTCGAGAGTGTCTGCCCTAGATGAGGACGAGGATGGCGATGGTCATGTCGGCAACGGTAGAGCCAGTTTCGACACGGATGACGGTCAAGGTGGTGCAACTGGTCAAGGTGATGATGACGAGGAGGGTCACCACGAATTTGAATTTAGCGAGATCATGATCCACCAGGTCATTCACACCATTGGTAAGTCGATTGACCGACATAATCCCCCATGGACGTTACTAACACGAAGCTAGAATTCTGTTTGAACTGTATTTCTCACACTGCTTCATACCTTCGTCTTTGGGCTCTGTCACTTGCCCACCAACAGCTCAGCGTCGTCCTTTGGAGCATGACCATTGGCGGTGTTCTTTCCAAGACTGGTGCCCTTGGAGTCATCATGATTGTCATTGCTTTCTACTTGTGGTTCTTCTTGACTTGCGCCATCCTTATTGCCATGGAGGGCTGCTCTGCCATGGTAAGTCTCCCAATGCCAACCTCAGGATTTTATGTTTTATTTGCTGACATTGTCTATAGTTGCACTCTCTACGTCTCCAGTGGGTCGAAGCACAGTCAAAGTACGCAGAGTTCGCTGGTCACATGTTCACGCCGTTCTCCTATGGCACCTTGTTAGAAGAGGACGAGGGCCTGGCCGAATTCCGAGGTTAATGTTCATTGTATCATTTGTAAAGATTGGAGGAATGTTTATGTATAGAAATATTTGTACGATGAGAGTCGTATTCATAGCATAGAACAACACTGATTATTTTTCGAATTTTTCACTTGGCGCCGGTAGTCGTGTGTATATGTCTCCACGAGGAGGTTGGGTATCAGGGTATAGAGGATCTCGATTTGTATGCTGCGCTAAACGGTGCAAGGCCTCGAAGCGATCACAGGATCGGAAAGCCAACCAAGCACTCGACGGGCAGAGATCTACAGGCATTGCCTTAGCCGCCAGCACTAACCACCACTTAGCACTAGTGTATGTGTGAACAGGTATCATTTACGCAAGACGGCGTCGACGCTTGGTGTCCAGGTATCTGACATGGGGGTCAGGTGTTTAAGACACACACTTTTTAGAGATTTCGTAAGGACTAAGACTCGTGTTGTGTTTCTATGACTAGGCGAGGAGTTGCAAAATAAGCTTTCGGAACGTGGAACATTGCTGTATTAGACCAGTGAGATCAGCCATACATATATGTCGACCAGCGCCATATATACAGATCTGTCTGTCTCTTGCTTTGGCAGTCGCAGCATGATAATACCTCTAATTACGAGGCCATGGCAGCGGAAATGACGCAAGAGCAAGAGCCTGGCGTCCAAGTCATAACGGTGACTAACGATGAAGGCACCGGCGAAGGACCTCCTCTGGTAACCCAGGACGGTGGCACACCCGAATCGGAGGCGCGCCGCTTGGAGAGTGCGCCCTGCTATATAATTTCGGGCACGACGGAGGCGGCGGTCGCCCAGATTGCCGCGAGTCCTGAGTCGCTACAACAGCAACTTGGAGAGGAGATGACCATTTTGGGAGCCGCGTCGAAACGTCTTGTGGTAGTCCACGGTTTGCCGACGGGGTTTACACCGCTTCTCAGCACAGAGCTGGGTATCGATCCAGATCTTATCAGGGCCGTGGCGGGCAGGAAAAGGTACCGTCCAAAGCTAATACCGGCGGGTTCTTGTCCTGCGAGTGTAGTTTCCTACGAATACCCGTTGCTATTGGGAAGTGATGGTACGAGGGCAGTTTATGAGGGCAATGGGGATTATGACGAGATTTACGGGCAGACCAGGGATGAAATGACTCCTCCACTTGTTTGCCCCATGGCGAGTTCTAGCAGTGATAATGTCGCCTTCTGCCGGGTCACGGCATGGCAAAGCGATACGAATAATGGTAAGTAACCTCTTGGGCTTCACTCATGTGAAAGTCGGGTGAGCTGATGATTTCACTAGTTCTGTTCTTGGATCGGCCGTCATGGCTAGGAACATCTTCTTCACCTGATGGCGATAGCTTGAGTGAGATGGATACACTTGAGAGGCAGGCTTGGCAGTGCGTATCTTCAGAAGAGTCCATGAACAACTTCACAAGCACCATCGAGACCATGGTTCATGAGCACTGGGTCGAGTTCATGGATGCTCTGCAGCCCGGCATGGATAAATCCTCGGAAGGTACAATGTCCTTGGCTTGGGAAATTCAAAGACGACTGGAAGCAAACCTACATGCATCGTTGTCGTCGTCCTCGTCCTCCAGTGGCGGTAGTGTTCCTGGTCTACAAGCGTATAGCGCAGTGAGACCGAATTGGCAAGCACTGCTTGATCGAGGAGAGCGTCACAGGCGACTGGCATTTGACATTGCATCGCTCAAATCCCGGATAGAACGGACCGTGATATGGCCACCCGAAACCATAGAAAAGCCACGTCAGCCAGGCGGTAACGCAACGCCGTGGTATCCCGACGAGGTCAAGCAGGAGTCGCTACAGACAGAGGAGAACCAGCGGAGTCTCGACCGAGTGAGCTACCTCGGCGGCGTCCTCCTTCCCGTCTCCATTGTCTCGGGCATATTGTCCATGGGCGACACGTTTGGGCCCGGTGGCGACCTCTTCTACGTCTTTTGGGCCGCTGGTGTGCCGCTTACCGTCTTGACGTTGCTGGTGATTTACGCCGACTCGATCCGGCGCGAAGTCGTCTACGTGCAGACGAGTCACCGGGGAGGTGATTCTTCATCCGATTCCTCGTCGCATCAGGTTGCTGGGGACGGGAGTGGCGAGGAGGGGTGGAGATGGAATCGTATGGGTAATGAAGAACAAGTCACGGTCTCCATGCCCGACCTAGAGAGTGCATTTCCGCCCACCGTGCCGTACACGGAACAGATTCCTATTTCCGAGCCCATCAGCGCGGTTCCGGCTGCATCTCCGTATCCGAGGCTGGACAAGGCGAATTCGGTGGCTTCGGAGCCCGTGGCCATGTTGGAGCCGAGATTTGGCAAGAAGAAACCACACGACAAGGCGACATGGGAGAGGAGGGAATTGGGGTGGATGGGTGCGGCCATGTGTGCGTTGCGGCTTTCAGAGCTGAAGAGGCAGCAAAGGCCACCGCGGGCCGTCGGTCGATCAGAGAGTCGATTCACAACCACCCCGAGACTTTGAGTCTTCGCTCCAAAGAGCGAATTATGAACTTGGTAGACTACAATATAGAAAGTTCGAGCATGCATATACCTGTGTTGCCTGAAATCTCCTTTTCTTGTCGTTGAGTTGAGTGGTGATAAGGCACCAAAGAAATGATGGGTCTTTGCCATTTTCCATATTCGTTGCCCATTACCTGTTTATTGGGATGCTGATCTCCTTGTTTATGCCACATTCGCTTTTTATGTGTTTGGCATTTTCTTTGATAACCCACTCCGCGTGGAACTCGAAAGATACAACGATCGATGGATATACTTGTCACTATTCTATCTCCTCAATCGGTCCACAGTTATGGATCATCTGGATAAGTATACCGGTGTTAATGAATAGTGGCCGTTGGATACATGATTAGGTATTTTTGCATAGTTTCCACAAGACGAACCTAAGAACCTATTGCCTGAAATTCATTACTCCCTATGATCGCAGTAGAATTTTGGCATGAAATATGGTATTGACCGCGGCAGTATTCGCCGGCACTTGCCTTTTCGGTGCATGTCAACCCAAAAAGCTGGGTCAGGGGCGCCAGGGGTCAGCTGCTATACACGTAACGGGACCCTCCAAAAGGCCCCACCTGACCGCCTGTTCTGTTGTCCTACCACGCATCCAAAGTCCGGGGCCCCGAGGTTCAACTTGACTTCGACAACCACTTTTACCCACGACGAATATACGCAGCACAGCATAGTTTGCAGGCCTCATTCTCATCAATGGACTGTGCTGGTACTACCGGCGCTGGCAAATAAGCAAACATGGACGAGTCGGCGAACGCACCGCTTATACCCCATCGCGAAGACACCAACGACCATCACGAGGATACCGAGAATGTCCCGGACGCGGAACTGCTGGTGCATGATGGCAGGATAGGCGCATTCTTGTGGCTCTTGGTGCTTTCTGCCGGCATCAGCGGATTGCTATTTGGATGTGAGTTCCCTCCAGCAACATTAGATTCCGACTTTATCCACTGACATGTTCGCCCCAAAAGATGATACTGGTGTGATATCCGCGACCCTCGTATCGATAGGCACTTCGCTCTCCGGCAGAGAGCTGACTTCACTCGACAAGTCCGTGATCACGTCCTCCGCCTCGCTCCTTGCTCTGCTAGCCTCCCCGCTGTCCTCTATATTGGCTGATGCCTACGGTCGCAAGCGCGTCATTCTTTTGGCCGACGTGCTCTTTGTCCTCGGTGCTGTAACACAAGCCGGCAGTTATACCGTGTCTTCCATGGTTCTGGGAAGGTCCATCGTCGGCGCTGGTGTTGGAGCCGCCAGTTTTGTCACACCCATGTATATTGCTGAGCTCGCACCGGCCGCGCATCGGGGCCGGCTTGTTACCATGAACAACCTTGCTGTCACTTTTGGTCAAGTGGTTGCATATATTATTGGATGGCTGTTCACCGAGTATGGCGATCCATTGACTGGGTGGAGGTGGATCGTGGGTCTTGGTGCCGTTCCGGCTGCCCTGCAATGCGTTCTGCTCTTCTTCATGCCTGAAACGCCCAGATGGCTGGTCCAGGCAGGCAAGTCTTCGGCTGCTAGACAGGTCATCCAGAGGACTCTTGGTCTCGAATCGCCCAAAGATGCTGCTGTGAGGGCCGTCTTGGCCGACATTCAAACTGAAGTCCGCGAAGAGGCGCAGAGCAGACGGCGCGGCGGCAAAGAGAGCCAAAGCTGGCTTTATGGCTTCCGCGAGCTTGTGACCGTCCCAAAGCACCGTCGCGCGCTGACTATCGCATGTCTGCTGCAGGGTGTGCAGCAGTTGTGCGGTTTCGTGAGTTGCCTCGCCCCATACCAACCAATTATAAGACTAACAAGATATATAGAATTCGTTAATGTATTTTTCAGCGACCATTTTCATGCTTGTCGGGTTCTCTGACCCGACCCTTACCTCGCTTAGCGTTGCTGTAACAAATTTCTTGTTTACTGTAGCCGCACTACTTGTGATTGACCGACTTGGTCGACGACGCACCCTCCTGTACTCGATTCCTTTCATGGTAGCGGGCCTGGCTCTGTCTGGATATGGATTCACCTCTATCCATCTATCTACCACGGACAATTCCGCCCCTGGAACAAGTACAACGCCAGAGAAGACGGCAGCTGCGACTATTCTGGTGAGCATGATCATCTATGTGGCGTCCTATGCCATTGGACTGGGTGTTGTACCCTGGATGCAGAGCGAATTATTCCCGCTCAGCGTGCGCTCACTAGGCAGTGGCATTGCGACAGCGACGAATTGGTCGGCCAACTTTGTGGTGGGACTGACATTCTTGCCGCTTATGGATGTCTTGACACCGACGTGGACATTTATGCTTTACGCGCTTGTCTGTGCTATCGGCTGGGTTGCGATATGGCTCATTTACCCAGAGACATCTGGACTCACGCTCGAAGAGTGCACCAACCTGCTTGAACATGACTGGGGTGTCCGCAGGTAATCCGCTGAGACCAGCTCAAGGTGATACTGAGTATACTTGGACCAAGACTATGCCATCAATGCTTCGTCCTCTGCACTATATCGCGGTCGGCCACGTCACTTGACAAGCCCATAGAGTCAAGACTTGAAGAGTAGAATTTCTTTCTTCACGTATATAGATAGATTGCTGTAAGCGTCAGCTCGTTAGCATCAAGGAAAGGATAGAACTCAATGGCGTTCTGGCGCAACAATGTTGGACCACACGTTTGGTCTATTGCCATTGGCAATGAATATGGAGTAGATGAGTTACCTACCCGGGTACTTATCTTGTTATAGACTGCAACTATCTCCATCAACAACTGATATTTGCTCGGCTAGCTCAGTTGGTTAGAGCGTCGTACTAATATTCTCCACAAGGGAATATAAAGTAATGCGAAGGTCCTCAGTTCAATCCTGTGGCTGAGCAAATTCTTTCTTTTTGCTGTTTATACAAAATTTTTCGGCCTTGAGCTTCCTTTTCGGCCCTGTTCTTTGCTTCTAGCGTTGTGTCTTCTAGCAGCCCCACGGGGGGTTCCATCGGAGTTGTCGCTCCGCAGTGGTACCCGTATTCAGACGGATAGGACTCTGAAGATTCGGGACCGGAATGAGATGGATATAATAGGGAGACCGAGCACTCGGTGGTGACAAGCCAGAACTGTGTACAAGGTACAGAGTATATTTATAAATATCCGGAATTCAATGTGCGAGTTCCGAGAAATAATGCATGCGCCTAATGTTTTGCCATACCAAATATATGAGGAATCATTAAATCACCCGCCGGGCTACCTAAGCTGGCGACAGCCCAAAAAGTCCCAGCTGTACGCCGCTGAGTAACGGCCATCCATGGCATCGGGTCACTAACCGGATCATCTGCCGTAAGGAACTAGGATCGCCCGTCATCTAAGGTTACCTGAGATGGTGTTCGAGCCAAGGAGCCAAGAGGCTCGCGACGCGAGAGTCTCTGTGCTGCGCTAAGTCCGGGCGCCATAACTGCTGTTGAGGAATGAGAAACCAAATATTTTCGTTGCAGCTTACGACACCCTTCAACAATCAGTCTTTCGGAAAACCATAGGAGTCCGGGCATCTCCATTAAAAGGATTGCACGGCCATCGCAGTACCTTAGTTGCCTCAATATGCCCCATAATCGGCTGCTGACCGAGACAGAAATTTCTACCAATTTCCAATATCCCCGCCAGAGGTATACTCGCAGACATGCCGTGGACTCGATCCCGGGCACTAAAGCCGTAAACAGCCGTGGCAACGCGGTGCTTGGATCGGTATTCGCCCCTAGAACGTGGCCGATAGTGGGCTGTCATTTCATTAATCGGCCATTCCATGCCATAGCTTTTGCAGCTTGTCTGCTCCACCAGATTTACGCCCTTTTGACATCTGGTCTGGCCTCTTGTAGAAAATTTTCTATTCTTTACAGTAGTGATTACCTGTTCTAGTTGTAGGGCAAAAGAAAAGAGTCATATTCTTGATGCAGAGAGTCTCGAGTCGTGATTCGTGAAACCCCCGGCTTACAGGGCAGAGGGCCAAGACGGGAATGGCGTCATGAACCTCGCCTTGTCAGTATAATCGCGAGTCAGCCCGCCCAGCCCTTTTTGGATGGTGAAGTTTTTTTCTTCTGTCTCTTGGCTGTCTTAACTAATCCATAGCTTGTTGACTAATGTAGTATTTAGCTTTGTCTGGAACTTGGCCCCTTCCCCCGAGCTTTGTTACAGGTAAACTCTGAATAGTAGTAGAAGCTGGTCCGGAACCTGACAAAACCATTGCAAACCTGACAGTCAAGGGAAAACATGACTCCATCGATTACCAATATCTGCCCAATGCACCCCTGAACGGGTAGCCCACAAGCTTCGTACCCCAGTCCGGGCTGTTCCCTTTCGGCTCCCGTGTTGGTGAATTTTCTATGGAAAGCCCTTCGTATGGGAGGGCAATTTTTATCAGCAGGACAAGCTAGAGGGTACCCTCAGTAGCTCAGTTACCCCCTGGTAATCCAAAGTACTACCCAAATAATGTCTACAATACCTACCCTAGGGGTTTGAGAGAAAGTTAAAGAACGAGCTGTGCCCACCCTCAATTACAAAGATCTCTTTTGCCCTTTGCTCTTTTTTTTTTATTTCAACTTAATCCTCCTGTAGAACATTCCTGGAGTCTGTAATTGCTCTCTCATACCTACTTAATCTAATAACATCCTCTGCTTGCGCTGCAGCTCGTCCCCAAGAAGAGAAGCTTGGCTGCTCACTCGTGAAGCTTTAGTGCTTGTGACGTAGTCTTTGCGATAACCTCGAGTATAGCTGCCACTTTCAAATCCCCCGCGACAAGACTCGGGGCAGCCCCAATTCACAGAGGAAACCATGGTGCAACTGGACGAGGTTGACCGCGAGTTGATCGCGGCCGAGGAGGACGCCCAATGGCAAAACCACCAGCAGCAACAAGGTGTAAGGAGGCCGAGCAATGAGGTCGAACGAGTCGTTACCGCGTCGTCCGTCTCGACGTCCTCGAGCTCTGGCATGGGAAGGCAACGAACGGTCGGCATGAGCAGAGTTCCTACGCAACGCGATCTCGAGAGGCACCCGACCGAGCTCAGCCGGATTCACACGGCCCGCAGCCAGCACAGCGAGACCATTGGGCGCAGCTTGCGCAGCCGTCAGTCTGCAAAGCCGTTGCCAAGCTTCGGCGCCGGCAAGCCCTTCCCTCCTCCTCTGCCGAACCAAGAAGAATATGTCGTCGAGTTTGATGGACCAGACGATCCGTATCATGCTCAGAACTGGCCAACCAGCAGGAAGTGAGTCAATTGGGAATTCTTTTATTCTTTGTGCAATAGGGATGCCTCGATGTTAACGCGCTCTTCCCATAGGCTCCTGACCGCTGCCATGCTGGGCTATACCACCATGACATCCGCTTTCACCTCGAGTATCTTTTCCGCTGCCACATCACACGTCGCCGCCGAGTTCGACGTCAGCTCGGAAGTAGGCATTCTCGGAGTCTCGCTCTACGTCCTGGGCTTTGCGACGGGTCCTACCTTTTGGGCGCCGCTGTCTGAGTTGAAGGGCCGAAGGCTGCCCATTGTCATATCAATGTTTGGCTTCTCCGTCTTTACCATTGCCTGCGCTGTCGCCAAGGATTTGCAAACTCTTTTGATCTGTCGATTCTTTGCCGGTTTCTTTGGAGCTTGCCCCTTGGCTGTTGTTGCTGCCGTGTTTTCCGACATGTTCAACAATGCTACTCGTGGTGCCGCCATTACGATTTTCTCCATGGCCGTGTTTACCGGCCCTCTCCTGGCGCCTTTTGTGGGCGGCTTCATTGTCACCAGCTATTTGGGATGGCGATGGACAATGTACATCACCTCGATCATGGGCTGGGTTGCATTTATTCTCGATTTCCTGTTCCTCAAGGAGACATATCCTCCCGTTATTTTGATCGAAAAGGCAGCAGAGCTACGCCGACGCACCAAGAACTGGGGCATTCACGCCAAGCAGGAAGAAATCGAGGTCGACTTCAAGGAGCTGCTTCAGAAGAACTTTACCCGACCCATGCGTCTCCTGTTCTTTGAGCCCATTGTCACTCTTCTGTCCATTTACATGGCTTTCATCTACGGTCTGCTCTACTTGTTCCTGACTGCGTACCCCTTTGTCTTCCAGGGCGTCCATCACTTCAACGCTGGGCAGTCTGGTCTTGCATTCTTTGGAATGATTATCGGTCAGCTCATTGCTGGCACGGTTGTTTTGCTTGACCAGCCCAGATATCAGAGAAAGTTGGCCGCCAACAATGGTGTGCCCGTTCCCGAATGGCGTCTCCCTGTGGTTATTGCCGGTGGAGTCGCCTTCACTGGTGGTATCTTCTGGTTTGGATGGAGCGGTTACAGAGCTGATATCCACTGGATCGTTCCGGCTGCCTCGGGTCTCCTGACTGGTTTCGGACTAATGGCCATCTTCCTTCAGGCTCTCAATTACCTGGTGGATGCCTATCTCATGTTTGCCGCCTCTGCCATTGCTGGCAACACCTTTTTGCGATCTCTCTGCGGCGCCGGCTTCCCGCTGTTCTCTACCTACATGTTCAACGGACTGGGCATCAACTATGCCTCGACCGTCTTGGGCTGTGTGGCGGGTGTCCTTGTCCCCATTCCCGTCATTTTCTACCTGTACGGTGGCAAGATCAGATCTAAGAGTGCCTTTGCACCAACTAACGTCAATACTCCGCCGGCTGCAGAGGAGGAGGATACCGCGGGCCTCGAAAGCAGTGAAAATAGTACTTCTGACGGTGCCAACGGCGAGAAGACCGAGGCTCCTGACCATGCAGCCCTCTCAAACGTTACGAAATTGCAGCAGGAGAGGTCAAGGGGCCAGGTATAACATACCCACATGTCAAGCGAACATGGAAGCGTATGCTTGCGTCTTGAAAGAAGATGGCTTCAAGAAGTAGGATTCATCATCAAAGACTGGATTGATGACTTCTCGTCCCAATTTATTCACGTCTGAAATGGATTATGACGAGATCTTTTGCGAATTTATAGCGTCTGGAAAAAAGATCAAGCACCTTGATTTATGTTATGGCGGTTTAGCCTTGTGTGTTTAGCCACCTCATCGCCAGGGGCAGTGAGAGTGGATTGATAAAAATAGCCCCTTTGCAAATAATAATAAATACTAAAGAAAAAGTTAAAACAAACTTGAACCACTGATCTTGATTTTTCTCCCCCTCCTTCACATCAAGTCCGTATTGTTTCGAAGCTTTCCACCTACTTGCAAAGTTGGATCATTTTTCAATAGGTAGCCACAAACAGTAAACCATGTGGCGGGTATGCTCTCCATGCTTTCAGTGCATGCTTTGCATGACTTGATTTAAGATATGGTGCTACTTGTGCTTGAAAGACAATTTAGAGTAATGGGTTGCGTGCGTTACTTTCCGCTGATACCGAAGGATCGAAAACCAGAGCTGGTCGCAAAGGTTATGATCACTTACGAGGTGGACAACATCATGTAAAACACAGAAAATAGAATGGATACCCATCATGCTGGCACCTGGTATACTTGTACATATATAGCATCAGGCAAAGCTGAAGTTTGTATAATTACCAGATGATATCTCGCCCAGCAGCTTTCTTGAACCTGGTTTTGCAGAACAGCCAGGGGAGCTCGAGATATTGATTGCTCTTAACCTGGAACTGGAATCGAATGCAACCTTGTATAAAACAAGGTACGTACCGGTGCAGTAGCGGCACACCCCACCAAACCTTTTGCATTAGCGGTCCCCATAACCAATGCACAATACATTGTACGTACGTTGTAGCTACTGCCCACATCGTCACCTCGAACTGGCCACGTCCATCACGACGACATCTCTTTAGAGAAGAACGAAACATCGTGGTCCCGCGATCCTGATCATGACCACTGCGCACCTCCGTGTCTAGCTTTAAATTACCGTGGGGAGACGATTTACCCATTCGACTACCCATCCATCGAAAAACGAAATGTCCTTTACCAATGCCCCCGTCACGCGAGGGCTCGTCTACGGCTTGATCGGGAGCTCCATCGCGGTCAGTCTCCTGGACCTGAAGCACTACTTTTACATTCTGGTCGACCTGCACCTCTGGCGCTTCCACCAGGTCTGGCGCACCCTCATCTATCAGCTATGCTATACCAACTCGTCCGAGGTCCTTTTTGGCGCAATCACTCTGTATAGCTTGCGAACCATTGAGCACTTGTGGGGATCACGCAAGTTCGCTGTACGTTTTTGATGACTTGCTCCCCAGATGGGAAGAGGCACTTTGCTTGCCTATTTCCTTTTTGTTGTGCGTTTCTTACTGACTGAGTCACTCGCAGTCGTTCCTCGTCGTGACATCGCTACTTACGAGCATATTACCGACGGCAATACTTGCCCTGGTCTTGAGGCCATTGACCTTTGGTGTGTTCAACTACTTACCAGCAGGCCCGACACCCATCTTGTTTGCCCTGCTGGCACAGTACCACGCCATTGTGCCGCACATGTACAAGTACCGTATAGCCACGTCCAACACGCCCAGCGATCGATTCCAAGGCTTTACGCTGTCCGATAAGACCTATAAGTATTTACTGGCGGCGCAGTTGGCATTCTTTCAGTGGCCAGGATCTATTCTGGGGGCCTTTATTGGCTGGACAGTCGGATACGCCTGGCGATTGGAACTACTTCCCCGAGCTCTGACGAAATGGAGAATACCCGGCTGGATGGTGGGGGTCCGCACGCAGAGGCGAAGTCAAGAGTTTGAAGGCCTCAGAAGGAGACTGGAAGGCGAAGGGTCAACAGGTACCGCCAGCGGCATTGAGAACGGTGCCGAGGGAGAGGGCGGACGCCGACGGAATATAGGCGAGCAGCTCGTGGACCGTTTTGGAGGAGCAATCTAGAATCATTCCTAGCACGGTAGGCAAAATTAGATGATCCCGTTGGATCTTCATGTAAACAAAGCTCTCGTCAGATGGCCATGGAGCTCCCGCAGCTCGCGTGGGCGCTCTGGGATTGCATCGTCATCCGCTGCGTGGCCGCTCCGGTTTAGTCCTGTACTATCATTGATTACAGCAAAACTTAAAAATTACTTGGCCGGTGGGATCGCTACGAGGAGCTGCCAAACCAGAAGACAGATCGCGAGGCATGCAAGGGATATCCTTACGATTGGCTGAGGCAGTATCCGTATCATAGGGCACTACTCATCTTGGGGATTAGAGAGCAACAAATACGAATAAATACTGCTCGTTCAGCATGCGATATCCGGATCACGATTCGCATTCATATTTTTGGGGGAGAACTTTCATGAGGGTCATGAGATCGTCCCCCGACAAGGCGCTGCTAAGGACGCACAGCCCGAGGTGATGAGGCGGCAGATCTCGTCAGCGTTCCCTCCCTCCCTTTGGCTCGCCCGTGCCGGTTCTAGTACTATTACTCACAAATGTCCTAAATGGGCAAGAAACGGGCTCGTGCTGGTGGGAATGGAGACGAATACATTACCATAGATTTTAGTTCGTGCGCGGAACAGAAAAAGCAGCAAGCACAGATGCCGCTCGGGAAATTAGCAGCCAATTGCCGACCCGTCCGATTCATTTGAATGAACAAAAAAAGTAGCAGACGAAGAGAAGGGGAAAAAAGAGGATTCGAAGATTGACGAGATGTGACGACATGAAACACACAACAGTTGTACCGTAGTACAGGTTTGATTCCTGTTGGACAGTTAAGAGCGTGCAGGACAGAAGTCTCAGCCCCCTCCTCCAGCAAGACGTTGACATGTCTTCCCTTCTGTGGAACAGAGCCAATCGCATTGCAACAAGACATGTTCCGTTGTGGTTTTTTTTTTTAGGGGTTCGAAGCGCTGCGAGCCACCGGACAATGGGGTGGGTGGGTGGGGAGACACGTTGAACAAGTCAGCTATGCGAACTCTCCAAGAGTGCGAATGACAGGCCGCGCAAACAGAAAATAAGGGACCTGCAAGCAAAGTCAATACATTGTATGCCGAGGGAGCTCAACCTTAAAAAGGTCGGATTTGTCTTTGAGGAGGGGGACTTCTAGGTGCGACAGCGCGGCAGACAGTTCAGAGATAAGTTTTTCCATCGAGCTGTTCTTGTACCTAGTTGTGATAATAAAATCATCAATCCATCGTGCGCACAACCGACCCGTCTTCAGTCAGCAACGGCGTGCAAAGACCAGACGGACCAGCCACGACAAGATGTCCAAACAGGGGATATGCAAATTGTATTACCGTCTGTAGGCTAGCGAATCCCATCGACTGGATCCCAAGATGCCCAAAGGAGAAAGGCTAGCCCACTTTTCGCAGGTGTCAACGCTCGTTCTGGGCCAGGGGAAATGCCTGGTTGAGTGGTCGGACTGCCCTGGGTCCTGCGTCTGCGCGGCTTTGAGGGGGGTCTCGGGGGCCATGCAGCGATGCAACTTCGAATCTAATGTTATTATTCCCCCCGGCAAGAAGGAGAACCGCCCATAGGTCTCCCTTTCCTTCGTCCCCCCTGCCTGTCTTTGGTCTTCTCTTGACCTTGCATGCGTACCGCGCGCAGCAACCAAAGTCACTCACTCACTTTGACACTTGACTGCTCCAGCCCTCCAACCACCAACAAATCTCCCTTCTTTCCTCAATCGTCGTCGCCTGGTGGTTGCGCCCAACCTAATCCTCTTCCAGACGCATGTTTCTTGGTCACTTGCCGTGTTTTTGCCTCGAACAGTCATCTTTTCTTTTCTCTTTGCACCTCTTGTCCTGCGCGCCAGTCTTTTTTCAACTCGTATTGTACATATAATAATAAACGTCCCGCAAAAAGCCCGAGCCCGTCCGCTTGTCGATCCTCGGAGCCAATCGACTTTACTCACTAGTACTTCACTGCCCACCCCCGGTGAGAGACGCGAAAACGACCGACGACGTGCGAGAGAGAAAGAGACGAACAGAGGAATCAGGCAGCAGATAACTCCAAACGAACGCAAAAAAGAAACCCTCTTTTTACACCTCAAGCCTCTGCTCTTCTCTCAACCCACCCTTATTTACGCCTTGTTGGATAATGTCTTTTTGATACGTGCGCATGAATTTGCTTGGAATATACACAGAATATGAACGGCATAGCGGCGAGGGGCCCGAATGGGTACGATGCGAGGCCACAGCCGCCCAGGCCATTGGGCGCTCTCAATGGCCCCGTCGTGATCGATGGCTATAGACAGCATGATTCCGTGAGTAATCCCCAGAAGTTTAATCCGGTATGGCCAAGATTTCTTCTATTGTTGTCATGCATATGCGTGCTGCAGACCGGCATGCTAACAATGGTGACAGAGAAATGCAGAGAGAATGCAGAGTTCGGCACATGTGGATTTGCGGGACCCGGTGCAGATGCATCTGCTCACCGAGACGGCCTTGTACGACAGCAGGGAGTACGAGATCCTGTCCCAGGAGGAGGTAGACGACCTGAAGAAGGAAGTCCGGTTTCTCAGCGAGATGATCGAGCAGACCCGGTCCAAGTTGATTGTTCAGGCCAAGTTCCGGGACGCTGCCGTATCCATGGCACGACTGTATACGCCAGCATCCAAGCGTAAGAGCTTGTTAGGTAACCGGACCAGTGTGAGCAGTTCTGCTTCCGAGGTCGAGGCCGAACGTGATGCGATCTTGAAGCGTTGTGATTCTCTCACCTCGGAGCTTCACAACCTGGAGACACGCATCATTGAGCCACAAAGGCGGCTGCTCGAGCACACGGCAGGTATCCTGCAGCTCACACACAAGAACCCGGGCAAGAACAGAGGCGCGGGAACGCCACGGATGAGAGCCCCGTTGGTGAATGGGATCCCGGCTAGCCCTGAGAGCATGTATACCACGTCCAATGGTAGAAACAGCATGGATGCCGACGACATACCTTCCTTTGACGAGGACTCCTGGACCAGGTCCTTCGACGATGTGCTGGACTTTCCTGGAATGAACCCAAAGAAAAACACCATCGAGATACCCCTGAAATCACCAGTACGGGTCCAGCATAAACAGCTTACCGAGGAGAGCGAGAGGCTTCGAGAGGAGAATTTGTCGCTGCAGCAGGAGGCTGAGGAATTACGGAAACAGACCGCATCCCTCAGCGCAGAGTTGGAGACGGTGAAACGGGAAGGTACTGATCAGTGGCGACTGATTTCGGATACCGAGCAGAAGTTGGAGATGTTCAACGAACAAATGCGGGAGATGATTCTGAAGGCGGACCCAGTAAAGAATGCCGACTACAGCAGTCCCCCATCTGGCCAGATGGAACCTGGGAATCTGCTTGGTAGCCATTTGGAATATCTGCAAAAGGCCCTCGCCGCCATGAATGACAGCTCGGGCAACAACCGAGAGGCTTTGGAAACACTCTTTGACCTCAATGGTCAGGTGCAACATCTTCTCACGTCCAACGACGTGGAATATTCGAGCCCACCCAGTGCCGAGGCTGGATTCGAGGAGCAGGTCAGCTACATGTATGGTGCATTCTCTGCCCTTGACACCACTCTCAGAGTGGCCAATGAACGGTCGCTTGCTGGCGCCGCCGACCGGCAAAGGGGTGAACAGAATGACGCCGTCCTCATGGGTGTTTGGGAGATTATTCAATCTGGCTTTGCTGATATCGAGCAACAAAGGCAAGACAGAAAGCAGACTCGCATGGACAAGGGCCTCGAGCCCGAAGACGACGACATGTCGGATACGGAGGCTTTCGATCTTAACGAGGAGTACTCTCTGGCTGCTTTCTCTACCAAGGTGCAGTGGCTGTATGCCCAGGCTACAAACCTCAAGGAGCAAAAGACCGTCCTGAAGCGACAAATCAAGCAGCAACGTGAACTCAACAACAAGTCGGATAGCGAGAAGGACGAAGTCTTGCGACTCAAGGATGGCGAGCTTGAGCAGACTCGTGCTGCGCTTGCCCGCGTGGAGAAAGAGGCCAGCGACGTCCGCCAAAAGCTCTCTGACGCTGTGAACAAGTACGAAACTGCTCAGAACCACATTGCACAGTCAAGCACGGAGCAATCCTCGGCCATAAGCGAGGCTCAGAGTCAACTCAAGGAGCGCAATGCCCAGCTTTCCAACTTGCAGGCCAACACCCAGGAGTTGCAAATGCGCCTATCTGCCGCCGAAGCCAATATTACTACCATCACGAACCAGCTCAGACTGGCCAACGATGCTAAGTATGCTGTTGACCTGCAACTCGAGGAGAAGGAGAAGGAGATGAAGGCTCAGCAGGAAGAGCTCGACGAGATGACTGGCATGGTTGCTGAATATAAGATTGAAGCTACGCTTGCTAAGGCCGAGCTAGATGGTGCATATGGCAGCCGTCGTGAGCGGGCTGCAGATGCCGCAGCTCTCTACAACAATGCCGAGTCAGCCAAGTTGCAGCTTAGAGTCGAACGTCTCCAGCCTCGCATTGATGAACTAGAAAGTGAACTCAAGGGAACCGTCAAGGACTTGAAGGACATTACGAAACAGGCGATCGATGCCGAGACCAAGATAGCAGATCTCGAAACTGAACTGGACCGGGTCAACCAGCGGGCTCGCAAGGACAAGGAGCAACTCCAAGAGTCGCTCGACCAGGAGAGGCTCAAGGCTACCGCCATGCCACTGTCGCCCAGCGGACGGCCCAACGCCAGCATCTTGACGGATTCGTACAGAGACGCGCTCAGAGCAGAGAGAAAGAAGTACGAGCAGCAGCTCAGGGTATGTTATGAAACTTTCACTACTCTTATTCATTCTCGGGCACTAACACAATTTCTAGGAGGAACAAATGAACAGGAGAAAGATCGAGGAGGAACTCAGACAACTCAGAAAAGCCATGGGCCCGGGCAAGAGCCCGCTCAGCCCAGGCCTGAGGTGATCCCGGAGCGAGACCAGCGAAAAGTTTTGACTGTTATTACATTCCGGCATAATATTTACGCTTACATGATCGCTTCTTGTATCAATATTTTTGGCGTCCTTTTTTGCATGGGAAGGTTTTTTTGGATTGAGAAGACCTTCACGATTCTTGTATAAGCGGCTTTTTGGAAACAAAATCAAACTTGGGGAAACTCACTCTTCTTGATCGAAGAGAAGTCAGTTGGATTCCGCCATGAGCATTGATGGTGCATATATGAACTATAGATGGGGAATGGAGAACGAGCTTACTGCTAGCGACACTCCCGAGGGGGAATAAGATAGTATTTTAATTCGACTGATTGTCGGCAAATCCATGGCTCGTTGGACCGTGAGAATTGATGTTTGATATTCTGGCTGCACATGTACCAGTGGAGATGATGTCGTCCTCTCCTGGTCTCGTGTATATATATGTACAGACCAATGTATCAACCTCCAAGACGCGGTGGACGAACCGCTTCTTGGCAAATTGACGTGTTATAATCACCTACTAAGATGAGATCGACCTAGTCACAAATTGACGCGAGAGGGAAAGAAGACACACTGTAACATGATGTCATCGGTGGTTCTTTTTTGTTGTTGCAAAAGCTGACGACATCTTTTTTACTTGGTTCTATTGCCATTGTATACCTTTCTCGACCAGTGCTGCAACGATAGTCTATTTGGCAACGATGGTGATTGCCAAGTCTATTTCTTCTCCATCACATTCGTCTATCTCTTGCTCATGTTATTGTGATGGCGGAATTCGTAAAAGGCATTCCGTTTTCTAGAGGAAATTCCTTGGCAACTAAAGAGAAGGAGATGATGCCAGCTCAACGGTACCCGAAGAACAGGATTGCCAGCAATAGCAGACGCTTACAACGAACTATATTGTGGGCAGGGTCGGCGACAAGCGGCAGATCTGGGGGTTTGATTGGCGTGTAGCAAGTCCTGTGACGAAGACGATCTTGCACTACTTTTTGCATAACCAGAAGGTCCGTGGTCTCGCTCGCTACTAAAGTTCGATCTATCAGAATTCCTTCCGGAACGTCTAATATCCCACTCGTGAGTCTGGTCTGGCCAGCCACCGAAGTTGCCAGCATACATTGCTGTCAAGGAGGAGATTTTAACCCAAATGGATCTTTGATGTAAAGATGAAGCAGGAAATGAGGAGTAGGTTTTTTTTTTTTTTTTTTTTTTATCGTGGCTCACGAGTTTCTACCATACCGTGAAACAAGAGGGCTTATTCACGGCTGGCGCTTGCATAGAAGAACATTGAGTTGACAAGTGGAATTTAGAGCGTCCGGATATATTAATCAGTTATTTAAAACTATTCAGGCTCGAAACACATTTAGATAAGAAGTTACAAGAAGTCAAGTCCCATACAACCTTTAACTCATAGTCATCTTACAAACCATTTGCCATGGCACAACTATCGAACATTATTATAATCATTTGCAATATTCAGCATGTGTCACATACACACGATCAGCCTGTATATTTAGGACCGCCTATGGAAAACGAGCAAGCGAAGTAAAGCCCTTCTAAAGGGAGGAGGGGGAATTCTTCCTTTAATTTAAAAGTAATATAATTCACTTAGGATATAGTTCATTTCGCAATACCTGCGACTTGTGCAAATACCTGTTGCACACGATAGGTTGCACGTATATTCAAGTACAATATACAGCCTTTGGAGTAACACAGTCAATATTACATAAGGTATACATGCGTTTAATACTTGCGACTCATCTCCTCAATGGTTCAGGAAGAAAAGCCTCAGGTGCCCCATTACTGACGCTTCCATGATACAATGCATCCATGATTTGAATGGGTGCCAGGCATCATGTGGGCTGACTATAACCAAGCACGTACCACTGATTGCAACAAAAAGCAAGCCACGCCGTGAATGGGTGTCGGGTATTCTACCTAGACACCTTTGGAGGTGCTTGGCAACGGTTTCTTATTCCCAGCCTTGATACGCCCTCACAATGTCTTGTTCTCGTCGTCGTGATACGTAGACGTGGCCGCTAAATCATTGCAACCGAAATCTGCATCAAACCCAGCCATCCCACTTGGCGAACCATGCAGGGTATAAAGTCAAAAATTTGTCGCCCTTTTGTTTGAATCTAGCGCCAGAGGAGTGCCAGCATGACGGTATTGGTCGGCGTCCCTGTCTGCAAGGGGGAACTTGCATTCACACAAGGTAGGAACCAAAGTCAAAATCATGACATGTTGAAGCATCTTTAAGCTTACAAGAGGTAAATGGCACGTACACACAGTATATCAGTGTTCACGCCCCCTGAAGCCCAATGGCCCGCGGGCTCTTCAGTGGGTCTGGGGATTGGGGCCGAGATCTTTTTAGGGACACTGGATCTGGACCGCTGTCTGTTGAAATCAAGCGCCTAAAATCTTCCATGGGGGCCTGGTGCGCGTCGCAACGCGTGGCTTGACATTTAGTTGTTTCGTGTATTATTACTGACGGAACAGAAATATTTCGTCTATAAACTCTATATATTCAAGTCAATGCATTGACATTATTCTAATTCATTCAATTTCGTCAGAACATGAGTTGGCTTTGAAAATACTCAGGTACATGCCAAGATAGGTAAGCAATATGATTTGACCTGCGGCTTTAAGTCGACCGGGATCATCTTTCTCTCAATTTTAAAAATTTCAGCCGTTATGTTAGGTATTTCCAACAAGCACCGTTCAAGCCATTTGGCACCAGGGCACCAAGCTTCCCAAGCTCCTTTCTCCCCCACCCGTCCCAGTTTGAGACACGATATCTTTAGCACATTCGTGGCTTGGCAACCCCAGCCTTCACTCAAGTGCTCGCTCGATAGTATGAAGAAATATCTTGCTATTCACTAGATTTCATTCATGTTGACTTAGACCATTAGGAAGTGGCTTTCTGCTCTCTAGACGAGAAAGTCCACTGCTCCGTGAAGAGAAAGAGGGCCGCAAACCCACGGCCTAGGGAAATTGCAGTCGGGCGACTCTTCTCGAATCCTGCCAGCCTGCATAGCAGCTCATATATGTGGCGAAGCTCGTAATGATGTGACACTGCTTTTTGGGTGCTGTCGAAGAGGTGCCAAGGAGGCACCGAAAGGACAAAAACCCCCTTCTTTTGGGCCATGGACACTGGACCAGCGGCGGCCACTACTAGGCTGCCACATTATGTTGCTCTGAGTGGTTCGTCTCAACTGCTAACTCCGGAGGTAGCTCAAGTAAATGTACCTAGTGTAGAATCGGGCCCGTCGCCCGGCTGGCCGAGTCGCTGTTGGGAGAGTCTGGATTCTGTTTAGTACCGTTTGGTGGGTGGTACGTAGCTGAAGTTACTGACCCTGACCCTGGACAAATGCCTTCTTGGCAGAACCTATCACGACTCGTCCCAACCAGACCTGGGATGTCCCCCCATCAGAGGTGTACCTAAAGGTAATCCCCTCCCCCAGTCGTCTGTCAGAACCCAGAAACCCAGATGGAAAACCCTAGCACCCTCGCATAAATTCCTTTCTCTCGACGCCATGTTCGTCTCATTCTTAGCATCTTCCCGTTAGCATTCGCGCCGACGATTGTGTCTCCCTCCTCATCGTCGTGGTTGTTGTCGTCGCCGTGATCCTGTGCGGCCGAGTCAGCCAGTAATCACTCATCTGCATTGCCGCGCTACCTTACCTACTACTGCCTGCCGTCTCTGTCGGCTACTGTAGGTACGCGGTACATGCTAAACCCAACTACTTTTACGTTAGTAGCTGGCCGCGATAAGGGGTTAATTGCTACGGCTTCTTATCTCTTCTTTCTTTCCACTCCTTTGCCGAACTTTACATCTTCAAGGCGCGCCTAAGGGTCAGGAGGAACTTGACGGGACCCGCAGATTCCTCGTCAGAAGACGTGAGGACGTTGTCGGTCGCAATTATTCCCCCCCGGTATTCTACTAGGCACTGCGTTTAAAGATGGCGATATTATTACGGCAGGAGCGGGTGAAATACCTCGCGCTTGCTGGTCTTCTCGGCATCTTGGTCTTTTACCTGAGCCTCTATCACAACCTCGACGGCGGTTCTCCTCTCGTGGCCCAGAACCCTGATCTCTCAAAAGGCGGACTCGGGGGCATCAGTAATGATGGTGCTACAGTTGCTCAACCACCAGAGCAATCTCAAGCGCCGCCGCCGCCAAAGCCATGGCACAGGCCAGATGGTCACCCCATCTCCAAGCTGATTGACGAGGCGCAAATGCAATTCAATGAGCGGCTCGGAAAGCGCTCCACTACCCTGGAGCAGGCCGCTTATAGGTATCGCGAGCGTCGCGGTCGCCACCCGCCGCCAGGTTTCGACAAGTGGTTTGAGGCTGCCGTGAAGAGTGATGCCGTGATTGTCGAGGATTTTTTCGACCGTATCCACGACGACATCAACCCCTTCTGGGCTCAAGATCCCTTGGAAATGAGACGGCAGGCCCACCTGCAACCTCAGGTCATCCGGGTTCGCAATGGAAACACCACTTTTGTGACAGATAACCCGCATCGTCCCGAGTATATTCAGCTTTGGCACGCGCTGCTAGCAGAGATGCAGGAGTTTCTTCCAGATCTGGACATGGTCGTCAACGTTATGGACGAGACCCGAGTTTTGGTGCCATGGGAAGACATGGCCGAGCATATTGCCAAGGAGCAGAAGTCGCGAGACTTGTTTTCTCCCGACCTGGCATTGTCCGAGTACACCGACTACAGGCAACTCGACGAGGCCACGGGAGAGAAGCCCTATGATGTGAATTGGATCAAGGGCAAGCAGAACAAGTACTGGGACTTTTTGGTCGAGGCGTGCCCACCAGACAGCCCAGCCCGCAAGTTTGCAAGCCTGGCTTCCTTTGACTCGCCTATTGAAAATGTATACCCGACAGAGCCTCTTCCATACACGTACCAGGGCTTTGTGCAGAACTGGACCATGGCGCAAGATCCATGCCAACAGCCTCACCTTCGCGGCATGCACGGAACCTTTGTCGAGAGCCTGAGTATGTCGACGTCGACAAAACTCTTTCCCATGTTTGGCGGTTCCAAGCTCCCTCAGAACAATGAGCTGCTGGTCCCCGGAGCCATGTATCTCACCAAGCGCGTCTTCTACCACGGTGGTGATGATCACGGAGGCCCCTGGGAGACAAAGAGAAATGGGCTCATTTGGCGTGGCGTGGCTAGTGGTGGCCGCAATCACGCCGACACTTGGTGGCACTTCCAACGCCACCGGTGGGTGCAAATGATGAATGGTACAACGGTTGGTTTGGTCGAGAATGGCGATGCCGCCGCTGGACCGACCTTCACCCTGGATGGCGCCAACAAGTACAACGTCAAGGCGCGTTACAATGGCGGTATCGGCCCCTGGCTAAACACCTTCAGTGACGCCGGGTTTGTCGACCTCGAGTGCTTCCCTCAGGCCCAAGACGCTGAAGGCAAAAGACTGCCAAGTTGTCCGCACACGGATCCGTATTTCCCAATTCAGGAGTCTGTCGATATGAAGATCATGTACGATTACAAGTTTTTGCCAGATGTCGACGGCAACTCGTTCTCTGGACGTTGGCGCGGTTTCCTCAGTAAGCAAACCCTACAAAGCTCTCATACATATTGAAATATTATCTGACTCGTGAAACTTATAGTGAGCACAAGCATGCCGCTCAAATCCACCATCTACACCGAGTGGCACGACGATCGTCTAGCCCCCTGGGTACACTTTGCGCCCTTTGACAACTCCTACATGGACATCTACGCCGTCATGGAGTACTTCCTCGATGGCCACGATGATGCCGCCCGCCGCATCGCCGAGGAGGGCAAGGAGTGGGCCGACAGGGTCCTCCGACGAGAGGACATGAGGCTGTACGTGTGGAGGCTGCTCCTCGAGTACGCCCGAGTCGTTGACCCGAAGCGGGACCGCCTCGGCTATGTGGCAGACCTGACGACGGCCAAGAGCCTGTGATTTTCTGTCTGGACTTACAAAACATAATTAATGACTCTAAAAGTTTTGTGTATATATTGTATCTAACCCACAAGGGACCATCAAGCGATGTTGGAGGCTAGGCGTCGACACAAGGTCTTCCAAAGTGACCATATATTTAATAATGAGAAACGAGATACTGGTCTAATGTAAGAGAGAAATTTCAGAAAGCGAGTAGAAATCATCACAGCATTGCAACTAGTCTATCCCAGAATATGCAGGAACGCGCATTATGTATAATGGCTGCTTGAGGCACCATGTTGAATGCATAAATTCCGCCGATTTGCATCACGCGGCCTCGTCTGTGACTCAAAACGAACTTGCATTATAATATTGATTGGAGGTGGGTATATTCGATATATATGACAAGTATAACTCTAGTATGATCACACAATCATTCGAAATGACATGAGATGGTGTCAGCTCATCTTAGATGCTCTGGTTTCGGCCAACTGATGACGGACGGAGGCTCTACTCAACTCCGTGGTCGCCGGGCGGCGGACTCGGCGCCATATTTCATGGGTATCTTGCTAACCTCTCCCTAACGAACAACGTCTTCTTCGGCATATCTGTTGCTCAAGTGCACCCGAGGCTTTGCATCATATCCTTGAAACGCCACTTTTGCCAAGAGAATCCTGATATATTGATACATCAGGACTGTGAGCCGTTTCCGTCGCCGAAGACCCCGACGTGGTTGACGACGAGGGTGTGGCGGAGGCTGGAGAAGGGGTATCAATAGGTTGGCCAGCCATGTCCAGAATTTGTCCAACCACTGCATTGTCCGACGGCGCAGTTCTCTTGTCGTCGAGGGTCATCTTGTCGAGGAGCAAGGGCGGACCCATTGCTTCCCACTCCCCGTCTGCCACCTTCATCTCTTGGCCCAAATTGTTGATTAATCTCAAGCTCTTGACTCGTGGATCTCTTGTGGGGAATGAGTAGAGGTCCCGATCGGGCGCTGTCCAAGTGTCGTTTTGCAAGATGGCTTTGGCAACTTCCACCCTGTCTGTCAAAGTCGTCACCTTGAGAGGTACCCGCAGAAGAGGTTCCCATACCTCTCCAACCTCTTCGCATATTTCTCTGATTTGTCTGTCTCCAATATCCTTCATCCACCAGGGTCCCAAATTTTGCTTGGTAAAGGCACAATAGTGCGCAATGATGATTAGAGCACGTGGTCGATGTTGCTGCGCCAAGGGAATAAAAGTCCTGGGCAGAAACGTGAAGAAGGTAATGACTCTCAGGTCCATGAGTGGACTAAAGCCTGTTTCAAGCTCTTGATAAAGTGATCCAAGGTAGCGTAGTACCTCGTAGTAGATCTGTTTGTGTTCATAGTCGTCGTCTCCCGGCTGGATGGCTTCGACCATGTAGAGAAGATTATTGGGTATCCATCTTTGAGACTTGTTGAGATTTATGGGCGGCCGAAAGAACAAGGCTGCCAGGCCTGATTCGGCAATGGTGGATGGCGAAATGAGGTCGACAATGAGTCCGATGCCCCTCCAGACGACCAGCCAATCTATGATGTAGAGCGGTTTCGTTTCTGGCTCACGGAACATTTCACTGGCCAGCGCACAGATGAGCAGTGAACCAGCGAGCAAAGCAGGATAATCTTGCGGTCTTGCCAGCTCGATCGAGGTACGATAACCCTCAAAGGCCCTCGCACGATATTTGGCTGCCTTCTCCGGAGGCACAGGTTGCTTCAATATCCGGAAGTGGAGTGCAGAAAGACCCATTAGAGTCTGCATGAGGAACGGTGACTCAAAGGCCAGCTGTGGAATGGTGACTCTGAGCACAGTATCAGTGGCACCCTGGCGGCCACCCTCAATATTGAAGGAGTGACACGTCTCAGCGGTATAAAACCATAGCATCTTCATATCCACAGCATCCGAGGTGCCGGCGGGGATGAACATGGGCTCGGTGACCACGGTGAGAGGGCTGTTGCTACTGCTGGTCATCTGCTGAGGGCTGTGCTCTCTGGGCGATCTTGAAGATGCAGCGGACGAGGGTGATTTGCCTGATCGGACCAAAGCCGTCGAGGTCGCCGCCGGAGTGGGATAGACGCATGTCTCCTTGCGCAGAGTGCATGAACGACAACGTGGCCGGCCTTCATCGCACTTGACTTTCCGCTGTTTGCATTGTTTACAGCCCGCTCTCGACTTTTTGTGCGGACGTTTACTATGATACGGGCGATTTATGTCCTCAGTCGAAGGTTGCGCGGCTGGAGAAGGACCGTCGGCTCCGGGGGACGGATTGTTGAGGGCAAAGTCGAGTTCGACATTGCCAAGGTCTGAAACATTATTGAAGTCCAATTCAAAGTCGAAGTCGAAGCCAACATCGGCCCCGTCATTTAAATTTGATGCCATGATGGTGTTTATCAAGTGAGGTCTAAAAGAATGAGTTGGGATGACTCAGCTCTTTGGTCTTCTCGGACTCGGACTCGGTTCTGTAGACATCAAGAAGGATGAAAGTGCAGCGAGTGTATACGCCCGAGCCAAGAACTAGTCAGACGTTCCAATGGCGATGCGAAGGAGCCGCCCACTTGTGTTGATATCCTTAGGAAAAAAAAGGTGACCTTGGCAGCGACTGTATCCGACGGGACTATCAAAAGGGCAACATTGACTGTTCACTTTTGGGAGCAGGTGTATTTTGTTGAGCCAATGTTGAATTACTCGCAATGACAAGTCCCTGGATCTACGTCAAGACTCGAGTGATTAAGCGATGGAAGGAATAGAAACCAGCTGGTTTCGGACTGGGTTACCGCCAAACGGGGCGCAGCGGCCAAGCAACCCAAGGCAGCTCTTTTTCTAGTGTGCCATAGGTTGGTTCACAGGTAAGCAGGACGCTGGGACGGAATGAATGTGCTTACACTTTGGCCCGATTGGCCCACGTAGGACTTTCCCGACATCCATGGGTGATTCGATGGCCCTATGCATCCTATCAATCGCTAAAGATTTCTAGTTCTGCAGCATCGGTCCC